CCATCTGCTGCTGCGTGATCGTGGCCTGTCGCCTAAGATTCCGCAACTCTCGTAAGTTTCGTGCGTCTTCGTCGTCCTCTTCGTCGTCACTTGGGGTCAGCATTCGTCGTCGATTGCTGGTCGTGGTGCTAGTGCAGGTTCCTGTACTGGTCCACCATTGCTTGCCTGGGATTGAGAGTGATTGTGAGACATCTTGAATCTTAATCGGCGACCTGTTGGTTAATCCTTCCACAAAGACTTGGTGGTGGTCAAAGTGTTACACGGGGTGGATTGCTGATACTTCTCTAATCTCGTTCCGGGTTAGGGCGAGCGAGCCTTTACGGGATCAGCTCCGTGGGATTTTGCCGTATGTTCTTGGTGGAAAAGAGTTATAGGAGTTAACCAAAGGTTAATTAACAAATCCAATCTATATTGCTATAGATTAACAAGTAACAATCTTGTTAAGTAAAGATACTAGTAAGACAGTACAATTTGAGTTGACCACAACGAGAGTAATAATGAAATCCATCCATCCTTATATCCTCATTGCTTCCAGTCCTGACATCTGTGGCATCTCCTGAATGCCCTGGCATCTTGAGATGTTCGAGACGTTCTGGCATCTCCCGGTGTTGTGGCATCTGTCCTCTTGGCAAGATGTCACCTCTCGGCGAGATGCCAAGTCACGTGATCCTCGCCCCGCGATGATCATTACCTTCTGACGTGGACGTCCATAGGCCTTCAGCCATCTCGTCATTTGTCAAGGAGAGAATCCTTCTTGTTACTTGTAACATAAAGTTCTATAATAGAGATAAGTAAAAAAGATAAGTAAGCTTGCTTATAAGAGTATTTATAGTAGTATTAATTAGTAGTATTACTAAACTTAAGTTTTTATTTTAAAGCTAATATTTTTTATAAAGAAGTACTAAAAAGAGAGACTATATAACTATTTTTATTTAAGAAAATAAAGTACTTTTATATACTTACTATGCTTAAAAAACTATATACTAAAATGCTAAAGTAGAGTAGCTCCTATAGCTAAGTAATTTACTTAATTTTCATACTATTAAAGTAGCTTAGCTATAGCTTAAAAGAAAAATAATATAAAAAGGCGTATTAAAAAGTTAGGTAAAAGAGATAAAAGTATAGTAATAGTACTAAGATAAGCTACTTTAATACTAAATTCAAGCTTAGATAAAGTATATTTTATTTTATATTCAAGAGATTCTTAAACTTAAAAGTAGTAATAAGTATAAAAAAGAGTAGTAGGACTAATCTATATAGCTTCGGCCCTATTTTCAGTGGTAATTAATGCACCCCTGTCAGCAAGAACTTTTGACAGTCACCTCCGTACATAGAATATCCCGACGCCGACATGCGACGAGTGCGAATTTAAGATTTGGCAACTGACTAGTGAGGCTGATGCAACAATCCCACAAAGGAACTGGGCTGTGTCCTATAGGGTGATTGTTTTCTGCTTATGAAGCCGCTGGCCCTCAGTGCAATTGGAGGGATGCGGGGCGGGGGGGGGGATGCGGGGACATGGAGGATCCACGAAAGTCAACAAGTTGGGATTGGATACGAATCATGAAACGGGCCTTGTGGTTTGTGTTATATTGGAACTAAGTCGATAGTCTGGCCCGTCTCCGACCTTGGTGGGAACATGTCCAAGCCAGGCCAAGCTCACACTGATACGAACACACACGTTTGTTGCGAGTGGTAATCTGCCCATCCACAGGGCTTTTTCGCCGATGTGCTGGGGGGAAACGCCCTGGCCTTGGCGTCTCTTTGGGCCGACCCGAGGTGTTATTGTGCGAGGCCCTCGACCAAGTTGGAAGCGCGGACGAGTAAGGGACAGTCGCGCCCTGGTGGTCTTGGTCTGGTGATTGATCCAAATAGGCAGTTTGGTCGTCCACATGTTCAGTCAACCCTTCTCCTGACACTCCTCGCTGCATCGTCGGCGGCTCCCATACCACTAACCACGTCCTGGACCAGCTCCCTCAGCTGGCTCTGGACCTCGTCGGAATTGTAGTCTTCTCTTGCGGCGAGTTCCTCGATGCGCTTCCGGATCTCAGGATCGGGCGCCTCTGCAGCGTCCTCTTCCATGGTGCCCATGTTGACGTGGACGCCTCCGGGCAGCGGCGGCGGCGGATGCACGCCCTCGGCCTCCACCAGACCCGCAGGCACCGGCTGCTGGCCTGTCCGGCGGCTTCGCAGGTACTGATATACTTCATGTGCCTCGCCCTCTTCATCGCCAATCTTTTGCTCGGCCGTCTGCCCCTCGCCATTCTGTATGGTGGTGTCGGCGCCGAGTTCCTCGACCAGGCACTTTGCGACCTCGACCTTTTCGGCAGCAAACAGCGGCGTTTCACCGTCCTCGTCCAGGATGTTCACGTCGGCATTGTATTTCTGGACCAGATGGCGCAGCACGGGGAGCTGGTTGTAAGAGGCGGCGGCGTGGACCAGCGAGTAGCCATGGGCGTCGCGGGCAGAGGCGAGCTGGGGGTGCTGGGCCAGCGAGGAGAGAATTGATTGCGGGCGCGTGTCGATGAGGTTGAGGAGAAGGTCGATGGTTGGTGCGGGAAGCGCCATGGCGGGCGGGCTGGCTCGAGGCTGTCTGCCTTTTCTCTGCTGACGGCGCCGTCCGGGGCGGTTCGGGCGCCGTCGGAATCCGAGCTGGCGGGCGGAGGGGGAGGGCGAAGACGCGCGGAGGCTGAGCACGGCGGAGAATGAGCGAGCGGACGATGTGCTGCTGTGGCTACTGCGGCGCAATCGTATACGCGCGCAACTCTAAAAGAATATCCAGCCTGGATGACGTGTGTGTGTGCGGGTGGTGCGGAGACTTTTCCCTCTGGGTCCCGCAAATCATGGCTGCATGGGCCAAGGCGGCCCCGGACTCGCTCGTCATGATGCTGCCGCTGCACTCGCCCGTACGCCAACACGCCCGCCATCCACCGCCTGCCGCCATGTCATCGCCCGCAACCATCGCCCGTCTCGCCGCAACACGCTCACTGCACATACGCCCAGCCCAATGGCTAACTGGCACCACACGCGAGCCCGCGATGGGCGACCTCGTCGTAAAGTAATCACGCCTGCTGCGGCGCTCAGGGCGCCTGCTGAGACGACGCGCTGCCTTCGACAAACGCCAACGCCCAGCGTCGCCTTCACAGCCTCACCGCGTCCGGCTGGGCTCTTGGCGCCTCGCGCGTCCCTACTCGGCTTCCGCCAATCCCGCCCGTCGTCTTTCCTCCATTTCTATAATACCTCTGTTCCAGTCGCTCCTGACACCACTCGCCGTCTCTCTCCATCGCCACGCCATATTCAACCACGCTCAACTACAGCCAAGCAAACCCCGTCCATGCACTGGTATTCCTGAGGCGTTGCTGACGTCTAGCGCCCTCACGCCCCCTGTTTTCCCCAACATACTACTGCTACACATACATACCTCGTCGTTGCTCTAATCCGCTACACCTGCTCCATCGTTGCCGCCATGCGCACAGTAAGGGGGATAGGCGTGCCGTCGGTACGGCTCGTCACATCTTACATCTTTGACTGGATCGTCATCATCATCATTGCTGCCATCGCCGGCGGGTGGGAGTATGTCGAGCCCTTCCGTCGGCCCTTCTCGCCTGTCGATCTCTCCATCTCCTTTCCACACCAGACGGACGAAAAGATCCCCACATGGCTGCTGGTCGTAGTCTCACTGATCATACCTGGTCTCATCATCATGCTCGTGTGTCTGGTCTTCGTTCCGGGGCCCACGGCCGAGCGCGGCACCTCAAAGGCGCTCATCTGGAGGAGGAAACTCTGGGAGTGGAACACGGGATGGATGGGCCTGGCCCTTTCCCTCGCTACCGCCTTCCTCATCACCCAGGGCATGAAGAACTTGTTTGGAAAACCACGACCAGACCTGCTGTCGCGATGCAAGCCAGATCTCAGTCGCATTGCCGATTTCGCAATCAACCCCATCGTTGGAGACATCTTCGACCCAGCCTGGGTTCTCGTTACATCCGCCATCTGCACAGAGACAGACAACGACCTTCTCAAAGACGGCTTCAAGTCTTTCCCCAGTGGACATTCAAGCTGTAAGCCATTCCCGCCATCGCTACCACTCTCCGCGTATCCGGTTTACTGACCCCCCCCCTTTTCACAGTCTCATGGGCAGGCCTCCTCTATCTCACCCTCTTCCTCGCCTCCAAGTTCTCAGTGGCAATCCCCTTCCTTCCACCACGCCCCTTCTCCACCAACCCAGCCCACACATCCGCCGTGGCCCCATCCAATCTCAAGAAACAAGTCCTGCTCCCCATGCACAAGCACGACTCTTCCATGATGCCCACGACTCCCTACGGCGACGACAACATTGTGCCCATCCGCTACCAAAACGCCGCGCCGCCCGTCTACACGCTTGTGCTCGTCCTGGTCCCCATCTGCTCAGCCATTTACATCACCAGCACGCGCTACACGGATTTCCGCCACTTTGGCTTCGACATGCTGTTTGGCTCGCTAATTGGCATCACCTGTGCCTGGTTCTCGTTCCGCTGGTACCATCTCCCCGTCACACGCGGTGCAGGCTGGGCCTGGGGCCCGCGAAGCTACGACCGCGCTTGGGGCATTGGCGTGGGCAGGGGCTCGTACGTTGGCACAGAGGGATGGAGCAGTTCAGGGGCCAGTCAGATGACGACGTCCAGGAGGCAGGTAGACGCACAGACAAATGGACATGGCGTCGATGAGAGTGAAATGCACGTCCTGAATAGGAATGGCGCGCCGCATGCTGGGAACCCCCCCAGCCCCACACATTCGCGGAATGCTCCGGCTCAGGCCTACTAAGGCTGTTGTGTTACGATTTCTCTATTTTTTTTGTTATCGTTGTTGTTACATCTATATATCCATGAGTAGCCCCCTTGTGGGCCACGACGAGAGACGACCTTTTACCAGAAACTATTTTGTATACTAGTCCAGCCCTCAAAGTAAGATCATCACTTGCAATTAATACCCTTGAATGGTAAATCTATTCGTCAACTTGTACAAATTATGGAGTGAAAGGAAATCTTCTTCTATTCTGACATGGAATGCAGAAGAAAAGAATAAAGCACTAGGAACTCACAGCAGGGCACATGGTCGAGACTTGGCCAACAGTAATTACCTACCAGCAAGAAAAGCAAGGGCATGTCGCTCGGGGTGTTGTCGCGTTGGGCTTTCGTGTCATGGCAAATCAACTGTGCTTTTAATGCTACTATATATCCCTTTTCCACCAGCTGGCACTTGAATACCCCTCAAGATATTTCTCAAGGCCATGCTCGACTGTCGTATTGAAAATACGTAGTGCTCCGCCTCTCTCTCGGTTGCGCTGCAGCCGACACACGGCCGTCACAGGACATGTATGCTGCCAAATGTCCTATGACAAGTCTCGTCTAGCGCGGACCAGATCCATTGCGCCGGCTGTGCAGACAAAGTCTCTATTGACCCTTCTTGCCCTGGGCCCTCTGCTCTTCCCGTTTCTGGTAGATCATGGCCGTGAATGGGTCCTCCCACTTGCATGCAATCGAGTATGCGACAGATACCAGTCCCGAAAGCAGGATGCCGGCCGGCTTGCCGTACCATAGTGCAGTCGCCAAGAAGGACATGGTAGAGCCGTGGTACATGGGAGAGCTCGACACGTTGAATGGGAAACTCGTCACAGGCTCGTCCATGAGGATGCCGAAGTAATCGCCGAGATAGGTACCAGTCACACCAAGCGCCCACATGGAAGACAGCACCAGGACGTTTCCAGTCAGGAAAAGCGGGATTACCGAATATTTAACGACGGGCGATAAGAGCGCCGGATGCACAGGTTGGTCCCCAAGGGCATCCTTGTACCTGGGTTCGTCAGCGGTTGAAGCTTATAGACGAGCAAATGAGGCGCCAGGCAAATTCTGTACGTACAGGGCGTCTCGGAAGATACCCAGCGAAAAAATGGCCACAGCAAGCGCATAGCAGCCGAGCCGTGAGTTACCACCGAACAGCTTTGTGATGACCTTGTTGTGGTATTCTGTCGCTAGTTAGGCTAAAGACGGCCTGTGATAATTTTTGACTGCCCGCAGGCAACAATGGTAAAGCGCACCTTGTTGAGCCGCAATGCTATGACCCGCGTTAGTATACCATGCAAGTCATTGATGGCGGCTACTTACTTCCAAAAGGTAGGGTTGAACACAATGCTAGCTGCAGAAACTGCTGCCGTGTCAATTGTCGCATTCGCAAGCGGGGTGCTAATTGCGATTGAAATACTTACTCCACAAGCTGCGCTTGCCAAAGTCGATGTATTCGCTCATGACTACGAGGGTGTCCGGGACAGTCGTTGCTTGTAGAATGAGAAGCACAGCGCGAGCAGAAGGACGACAGAGCTTGTTGCTGGGAGGAATGTGGGGGATGTTGACAGCTTGCCCAGCATGTGTTGACCGGCAGTTGTGGAGCTAGCGAGACGTCATTGCTCCCCGCATGCCAGGGCGGGCGAACCATCCGAGGCCAGTGGGGAGCGTGCCATGTCACGTGTTGGTTGTGAATACTCAATTTCCTCTCGAGTTATTTCTTCATTACATGCCTAGAGGCTTCGGTAGTGCGAGCATTCAATTGCACGAATAACAAGAAGCTAGAATAGTCTCTGCTGCTCATGGGCTTCCCGGTTTCCAAACAGACGTCAACTATCTGGCGCATCTCGACAGCCTCAAAAGTCTAGACAACCTGTTCTATCCATCTCCCGCAAAACACAAACCCAGCTACAAGCCATTATCGGCGCACGTAAATGGTCCACCGAATCCATCAGCTTTGTATCCGTCAATAATGGACTGTACAGTTGCGTACGTTCCCGCCGTGAGGAACAGCAGGCCGATAAGGCACAGTGCGACGTTGAAGAAGAAGCCGAAATACCCGCGGAAACCACGCGTCTTCCAGAAACTTGGCCCATACTTTTCCGAGCGAAGTTGAAAGTATGCAGCGCCCCAGAAAATGAAGCCGAAGAACGAGTCAAAGAGCGAACTCATCAGCGAGAGCAGGTCGGAGAAGAATGGAATGACCTCGGCAATAATGAAAGCTAAAACCCAAAGGGCTGCCAGGATTGCACCCCAGGTGAGCCACCCAGCCACGGTATGGCCAGTCCTGTGTCGTGAGGTAGGCCCGAAGATGCGGAACAGTACAAAGCGTGCAGTGACAGAGGCGTACAAGACACCAAGGAAGATGATGGTGGGTACCATGAACGTGAATGACACCTTCTTGTAGACCTCGTTGGAAATTGATCCAAAAGCCGGCGACGTCATGTAGTTGGTGCCCGTGTATCCGTAAACAACACCGCCCACGAGGCTGAAGACAACGACCTCGCAGATGGTGACAGCCCAAAGCGCCTTTGGGAAATCCCGGGGATTCCTCATCTCAGCGATGAAGCTGGGGAGAGTGATTTGGCCAATGAAGGTGTAGGAGATGTTCATGAATGCGCTCATTCCAAGGACGAAGGTTGTGCCGGGCGGAGGTACAGCGTGGACCTCAACCTCGCCCTTGCTTGGGTAGCCTGCAGGCTTTCCGTCGACTCCAGAAAAGGCCGCCGCGAGGATGACGGAGACGAAGGTGAACAAGGCGGAGGCACTTGCGAGGGTGGCAAGTGTATTGAAAGTGCGTGGAAGGGAGGCCACAAACGAAACAATGGCAGTGATGGCTGCGAAGACAATAGTGCATGTGGCGTGTCCAGTGATGGTATTCCACCACTTGGCACCTACAAGACAGTGCAAGCCCATGATGAAGACGTCTGAGAGCAATGTTAGCCACATGGACAGTTGACGAGAGTTTGCACCCGGCAATTACGGCTTACTGTTTAGAACAAACATGACTGCAGTGGCATAGAAGGCCCATTTCTTTTTCCAAAAAAGCATCTGGCCAATGTCACAGACATCTCGGATCTGGGGGTGGCGCATGCAGAACTCCCTGGACAGTGTAAGAGGATGAACGCTATGACGGAATGCGGACGAGCCTACCATGTCGTCAAAGACGTATACAGGACAAGGCCGGCAATAACGAATGTCAAAATCAGGCCAGGTACAAGGCCAAGGATGGAGTACGACCAGGGAAAGGACATGATGGCCAGGCAAATGTACTCGGAGAACAAGAGAGCGGCCGTCTTCTGCCAGCTGCAAGTACGGTATTTGATGGCGTTGTTGGCCTCGAGTTCAATCTGCCTGCCGATGGTGATGCTCGCGTCCGAGTCGGCATCCTCGGTGGGCGCGGTGATTCCTCTGGCGGCAGCGGCTTCGGCGTCGTAGTTCTTCTCCTGCTCGTAGGCGGGCTTCTCGCTGCTGCTGTGGCTCCTGGTGTCGGGCGGTGGGGCTTTGCGGCCGAGTATGTCCTTCAACGCCATTTTATGCAGCGGATACACGTCTTGTAGGGCGCGTAGTAAAAAGCACGACGGGAGGTCGGTTCCGGGAGCATTAATTGCGCGGGTGAGATGGGGATATTGTGGTAAGGAAGGAGCAGAAGACCCGGCACGCGGGTCGTTATAAATGGTGCGGGGGCACAGTGATGGCGGGTGCAGGGTGTAGGGTAGCTAGAGAGGATAAGCAAGGGAGGAGGAGGAGGAGCAGGAAAGACTAGGCCGAAAGCTGCGGGGCGGTTGAGAGGCTCGGTGAAAGCGAGTAGGGAAAGCACGCGAGTGGAGACGCTCCCAGCCTGTTGGCTCCCACGGCCTATGAAGACTCGCATGCAATGCAACCGCTTGCACGCCATGAAATCTCAGCAAGTCCCGTACGCTCACGACTCCGCCCGCCGCCCTGTGAGCGTTGATCGTCCCTCGACTCGGGCCTAAGCTGCGCGGCGCCCCTCTGTGCCTCGCCCTGGTGCGACACCATGCCCATCCATATCGAAAAAGCCGTATCCTGGCCCGAATCAGAGTTCTCCCTCGCCAGCCACTGCTGACGCTCACGACACATTACCTCAAGACCGCGACCGCTTGCCACACCCTCGCGCGTGCCGGTTCAACCTGATGTCACTGTGGCGCCGGCTAAGCTCCATGTCCAAGGAAACCCATACCAAGTAAGCTCGACTTGGCTTGCTTAGCCTACGCGGAGCCTCGCCAATTTTCCCATGAGCATCAGAACTGTTCGCACCGTGCTGCTCGGAACTCACAATCAGCCGGGTCCCCTGTCGAGCTTTTCACTCTCCACCTTGATCCTGGTTTTCCGGACAATGTCGCCCGCCGCTCTTCCCATCGCAAGCTGCCTTGGCTCCTCATGGCCATCGGATTCTTGCATGGGACACAGGCCTGTTCTCTGCATAGCCGCGGACGCACCTCTCTGACCATCACATTCCGAAATGCATGCGCCACATGGCCCTTGCACCTTCAACTGTGGCTGAACAAATGGCTTGACAAGCGGCAAATAAGCGTTGGTGCTTATACGCTCGCCATATTGCGTGCTCGTCTGCACTCGGTCTTTAGGCACCCTCACCGTCGGCTTGGCACATCAGAAGCAACCATTTCCAGCTCGACGCTGCGCAGAGGATACACGGTCATTTTCTTCGAGTGCCATGGCTTTTGCTTGTGTTCTGTTCGGTTGCGCCATTTGCAGCTGCGCTCTAAGCCTATTTTAAGCTTAACTACGCTTATCTCGATTAAGATTAACAATATTATAGCTACTGCTTCGACAGAGCCAAGAGGCTTGTCCGCTCTCATGCTCTCGCGGGAAGACATGCGCCGAAGGATATATGCGAGGAAGTGTGTTTTCAAATGATGGGCCTCATGTAAAGGTGAGAGCAGTACACACGGCACTCTCTTTCCTACCATTATCCGTATTGGGTCTAGCGCAGAAACGACTAGACCAGATAGAAATTCGCACCAGTTCCCAACACCTCGACTGCAGGACCTGAATTCCTTCAAAAAGTTGGTATTTCCTCTTTTCCTCTGCAGCGGCCGCATCCATATGACATGTTGTCATTTGCATGTGTACTCTAGCAGCCAGATCCTCATAAAAGTCGATTACGCACACAAAGGCTTCCGAATTATACAGCGTGGTCTAGCAATCGACAACGACCATGATTTGGAAGTCACTGAATCTCTACCAGGAACTCAAACTTATACCATCTTTCTTTCCACTCACTCAACCTCCATGCAACCATCATTCCTGCTGAGCTCCGTCTTCCGCCCATGCAACATCACACCACAGCCCAAAATGATCGCTAAAATGCTCTTTTGACGCCGACTCCGTCCCACCAACCGCCGTCTCTCCGGCATAGACTCCAACTTCGCGCGTTGGCAGAATGCCCATGGCTGAAGGGCTCAGGTTCAACAGAGCCACCTTGTCCAGCCGGTTTGGCGGGAAACTCTGCTCACCATCTACGCCCCAAGTATATCCCGGCTCCCTCGGATGACACTGTACCCACGCATCTACAAGACCATTTGCACGAACCAGGTCCTCATCTTCCGCAAGAACAGGATTGAAGTCGCCTGCGATAACACCACGGCCCGCAGCACGAAGATACGACGCCGCGAAGGAGAGTTGGCGAGGCCTGAGCGACGGATTGATTGGCAGCGAGTCCAAGTGCACATTTACAAGCCGAATCCGGAGTTCCCTTCCCGGGCAGACATTCTCGCTCGCCGAATTAAACACCACGTCGCAGCACAGTGCGTCTCGTGCGAAGCGGCTCGGCAACGCGACTCTCCAGATGGCACCGAGCAGGATCCCAGCTGTAGCTACCCAGCGTCTGGACACGAGCGTGACGCTGATAAACTTTTGAGTCCTAAATGCAGTACCATCCACGTCGCTTGTGTACCACTGCTGCTGGATCCACGTTTCTTCCAGCAGCGCCGCAAGCGCTTCGCGGCATACTTCTTGCAGGAAAACCACATCGGCGTTCCCCATCGTTTTAACCGCCTGCAGGAGTGCGCAGATGCGCGATTCAGGGAACGAAGTAGATGCGTTTGTGTTCCAGCTTACAAGCCGGAATGACCCTGTCCATTGGTGTTTGGTGGTAGTGGTGGTGCCTGGCCGACTCGTCGTTTTGCCACTGACAACGGGCATCCAGCGTTGTTGCTCAAATTCGTGCCATTTCTGGAAGTGAGGCGGTGCTGCTGTGCTTGGTGGCGGCAAGGGTGTATGGTGCCACCATGATGCCATGTAGCTGCGTATTTGCGATAGCATGGCGAAATGGTGGGAGGGCGTGAAGCGCACAAGGGGCGAGTATGTGGTGATCTCGTTATTATGTAGTCGTAGTATAGTAGCAAAGAAGAAAAAAAAGGAAAAAAAAGGGTGAAAGCCGTAGATATCAATCTCAATAGTGAAGAGGGGGGAAAACAGAGTCAAAATCAAATTCCGCAACCATTTTTCCCCCTTCTAAAGTACTTGTCCCGTAATCAAGCCAACAGCAAAAAAAAATGAAAAGAGGAATGAAAATTCGTCTCTGTGCACTCGCTACCCATGGTCCCGTCCCATCTTGCTCCCTCGAAACGTCTTCCACTATTCTCCCCTCGCGGCCATCGAACAACCTCACAAAATCCAACAACCCATCTCCAGCTGCAACATTCTCGTGGTCTACCCCTCCAGTTTCACCGCCACCAGCGACGAATCTCTCAGCTCCCAAACCACAGGGGCGTTCCGTCACACCCGACGCCACACTCAGCTCACTCAACTCATCCTTCCCAGCTCTGAGTGCAGCCAACCCAGGCATCGGCAGCTCATCTTATAACCCGCCCCAACAGCAATCAAGACCAGCCATGAGCATGGGTAGTACGATGACCCCCAGTACCACTACCATCACACCGCAGAGTTCGGGCATCGACTGGAGTAAAGCAGCCAACTCTTCCTCAAACGCCTGGGCCAGCACCTCATCTACCCCATCCACAAACACATCCTCACTATCCAGCTTCCCCTCGATGACGCCTGCACTCGCACAACCTTCAGCCCACGGTAACCCATACTCTTCGTTCAGCATTGCACCCCCGCCTATAAAGCCAGCAAACACGGGCACGTTCAGTATACCGCCTCCACCCAGTATGGGCAGTAGGACTACGAGTGCGACAAGTGGCATGGGCATGGGCATGAATAATAGCATGGCGAGTTTGAGGGCGCAGACACAGACTCAGAATCAGCATCCACCGCCAAAACAACAGCAGCAGCAACAGATGAACTGGGGCAGCGGTGGTGATAGTCTGATTTGAGTTGATTAATGTTATTGGTTGTTGTGTCGGGTGATGGAAGGGATATGTTTATTTTAGACTTGAATATTAGCAGAGCGCTTTCTCTCTCTCTCTCTCTTTCTTTCTTTCTTTTCTATTCTGTTGTGTCCCAGTGTCTTTGGTGAGGACAATAATACGTGGGAAATAAGTGTTGCTGCGTGTTGTGGTAGATATATCCATATCTGTATGTGTGTGTGTGATGAAAGTAACAATCCTGAATTGTATTCATGTCTGAACCTGTTCTTTCTTTCTTTTCTTTTCTTTTCTTTTCTTTTCTTTTCTTTTCCTTTCTTTTCCTTTCTTTTTTCCTTCTTTTTTCCTTCTTTTTTTTTTGGGGGGGGGGGGAAGAAATGCAGAAATGGGAAATAACGCTCATGATATAACTGGGTTTTGTTCGTTGAACCGTGGTGCAGATGATGCGCCGTTTGCCCATGAGTCTCCCCCAAGCATATCCGTTCCACCTGAGGATCCTTGCTTTCCGCCACGTACAAGTGCTTCAAAGTCTGCTTCGCCGTTCTCATTGCCAGAGTCAAAGCCATTGGCGGCAGGCGGGCCTCCAAAGGTCATAAATTCGTTGCGTGTTGTTGCAGTGGAGCCGTTTGCACCCAGCTCCTGGAGTTTACGGGTTTGCTCATTCTCCACACGTGCTGAAGTCGTCTTGATGAGGCTCATGTACGCTTGGAATTGGGGAAGATTGAGTAGCGGCCCCAAACTGAATTGCCACAGAATGGGTAGGACATCCATGGCTAGAAAGTCGCTGTCGACTTGGTTGCTAATGGCTTTGAACACATCGAGCGCAGCCATCTGCAATAGTAAGCCATCTGTTTGGAGAATGATTGGTTGAACTTACCATGACTGCAGGCTCCTTTGTCTTGATAGCACGAAGCAGCGGGACCACCTTTTCTTGAATGGTGTACTTGTCGAGAATTGATACGTTTGAGCTTTTGGCCTTGGGCGCTGCTACCACCCCATTCAAACCATCGTCTTGGTAGTCGTCTTGTTGTTCGTTTCCGCCACCACACAGAGTCTTGAATGCCTCTAGACCGCGGATCTTGATGCCCATACTACTTGTTTTTGCAAAGATGCTAGCAATGACTGGGAACAGTTCGTTCTTGACGGTGGAGAAGTCGAGAATCGGCAGAGCGACAGGCAAGGTCCTCAGGGCAGCATCGACTAGTGAATGTGTAGGAGATTCGAGAGCATAGTTGATGATAGGAAGGATATCTTCCTTGAACTCCTTGCCACTGCAGTTATCGGCAGCCACCTGTATGTTTTCAAGTACCACCATTAGTCCGGCTTCTTTCAAACTGTCTCTTTCCTGGCCCGGTGGTTTCGCGCTCGCAGCCGCAGGTGTTAGAAATGTCTCTCGCAACTTGGGAATCACCCTCTCGGTAAAGGCTCGTTTGCCGGACGGAAGCATGGTGACGATCTTGAAGACATTTTGAAGTATCAGCGTGAGAAGCTCGCGGTCCTTCATTTCCTCAAGCAAAGCCGGTAGTATCTTCTTGTCTATTACAGACTTGGGGAACTGATTCAGAATGCGGGGTAGGCCTCTCATGAACTGTGACTTCTCATTAGGTGTCTTTGCCGGAAGCGAGTCAAGGAACCGGATGGTGGACACGAGGATGTTGTCAAAGTATTGTGCCTGCTGAAACTCTCGGGCGTCGAGACGCTGCGCAGGCCGTCGAGTGATTAAGCGATCCAGGACGCCATTGGTAATATCCCGTGGCAGTGGCTGCGAAGACATGAAGTTGTTGGCTTTGCTTGGAACCGAAGAGGCTGAGGAGAAAGCCCGCTTATATGACGAGGTGCTTCCATTGAACTCGAGTGGACTCCTGTGCGGCGAGTTGTATAATGCGATGATGAGCATACCCAGACTAAACATGTCTGCCGCGGGTGTGATGTTGGTGTCCATGACGAAGTCGGGCGAGGTGTAGTCGATGTTGAGCTGGACGTGTCGAGGGAGTCGGGCATCGTAGTTGAGGGCTTCAGAGAGAGAAATGGGCGTTACGGATGTGGGCTTGGTAGAGTTGTCTGGGGGCGTGGAGAAGCCCAAACCTGATATTTTCCAATCAGACTATGGCACAATCAGTACGTTGCTCTCGAAGCATGTATAGTATTACTACTACCTACTTTGGCATTGATGAAGATGGCGTCTGGCGTCAGGTTGGCATGGACCAAGCCTGCGCTCTCGTGCAAGAATTCCAGGCCCTTTGCAATTTGCAACAATCCCTTTTGTATTTCGAGCTCGTCAATCTCGAGTTCGCGCCTGCGCTTCTGCCCGTCGGCTTCTTCAATGACATAGCGACTGCGACGTCCCCCGACACCACCAGCCTTCTCTTGCTCGTCCTTGTCCTGCAGCAAGCCAGCAAGGGAGGCTGTGACTGGTTCTGTTGCGAACATGAGGCCGCCGCCGCGCGTCTCTTCGACGGGCTCGACTAGCTCCAGGACGCTTGGGTGCCGCAGTCTGGCAAGCGAACTGGCCTCCTTCTTGAGGCGCTCGACTACTTCTTCGTGTGCGCGCTTGAGCCCCGAGGCTGCAGAGCGGCCGCCGAAGCCGGCGGCCGCCGAGGGCTCCAGCGACTTCTTTTCGAAGATGAAGACGGAGGCGGCCTTGCCCGTCGACTTCTTCTTGGCATCGTATATCTTCCATGGGCCCGAGTAGGACGTGGGCTGGGGGCTGAGGGAGTAGTTGCTCGAGATGTTCGAGGTAAAGGACTTTAGGGCGTTGGAGAACATGGTGCTGGTGGTCTGTCCGCCCGCGCGGCGATGTCGAGCGCGTCGAGCGAGGGCGTCATGGACTGAGATGTGGGCGTCGGGGTGTCTGCGTTGGTGTTCGCCTGAGACGTGGGACAGGCAGCTGGAACCGCGGCCGACTCAGGGCATGCCCGACGGCGTCTTCGAGTGCACCGCGCGCTGCAACGGCAATTGGCGAGTGTTCGCGGTCATGTACCCAGCGCCGTGTGTCGGGGGGCGAATTGAGTGATGGGCGAGGCCAAGTGCAGGTGTGTTCGGGGACCCCACGCGAGCTGTGGAGAAGCTGTGGCCAGGCCAGAGCATCCTACCACTACTGCTACTGCTACCTACCTTTAGTGTGTCCCGCCAATGCATGGCCTGAACGCCGCCTGCACCACCACCAGCAACGACTCCAGACTCGGGAATAGCCCCAAAGAGCCGGCCCACGGCGGCTCGTATGAAACGGCCAGCTGGCCACCGCGCCCTGCCCGTCCCCGCCGGGCGGTGAAGCCGGGCGGCATTGGGCCTGGCAGCGCGCGGCTCTTGGATGCGCGGCCCCGAGGCCTCCTGGGTGCGGTCAGACGCGGGAGTTGCAGTCTAGAATAATCAGAACATCCTCGAGCCCAGCATCCGCTCCCACACACCTCCAACCCCCCCTTCCTGTTGCCTGTGCAGCCCGCCTCACAATGCTCCAGCAGCGGTCGTCACGGCTGCTCTCGTCGCTGTCCCATTGCGCCCCCCGCGCGCCGGCAGCGCCGCTCAGCGCCGCATTGCGATGTCGGACCCAGAGGCCGTACAGCATCCACGCCGATGCCTCTGTTGGCGACAAGATCCAGGGCATAGATCCCTCCAAACTCACCATCGCCCGGACGGCCAAGCCAAAGGACCTGCTGCCGCCCGAGGAGCTCGTCTTTGGCCGCAACTTCTCAGGTAATGACTCCGTTGGCGCTGTGCTTCCGCATCTGACTCCCAGCCCAAAGACCACATGCTCTCGCTCGAATGGACGGCTACCCAAGGATGGCTCCCCGCGCGCATCACGCCCTACCAGAACCTCAGTCTCGATCCCGCCACGTGCGTCTTCCACTATGCCTTTGAGTGCTTCGAGGGCATGAAGGCCTACAAGGACAAGAACGGCAGCATCCGCCTCTTCAGGCCGGACAAGAACATGGCCAGGTTGAACAAGTCGTCGGCACGCATTGCATTGCCCACCTTTGACCCTGATGCCCTGACGGAGCTCATTGGCAAGTTTGTCAAGGAGGACGAGCGCTTCGTTCCCGAGTACGTTCGCCGTCCGCCCTTTTTGCATGCTTCACGCGCACACGACTAACCACACGGCAGTGCGCGCGGATACTCGCTCTACCTGCGCCCTACCATGATTGGCACTCAGCGCACCCTCGGCGTAGGCCCTCCGGCCTCTGCACTGCTCTACGTGATTGCTTCGCCAGTCGGCCCCTACTATCCCACGGGCTTCAAGGCCATTTCGCTCGAGGCTACCGACTACGCCGTGCGTGCATGGCCCGGAGGTGTCGGAGACAAGAAGCTTGGTGCCAACTACGCCCCTTGCATCGTGCCACAAATGCAGGCTGCCAGCCGTGGGTTCCACCAGAACCTGTGGCTGTTTGGCGAGGAGGAATACATCACCGAGGTCGGCACCATGAACCTGTTTGCCGCCCTAAAGAACAAGGAGACGGGCCAGCCCGAGCTGCTCACTGCGCCGCTCGACGGCACCATTCTCGAGGGCGTCACGCGCGACTCGATCCTCCAGCTGGCACGGGAGCGACTGGAGCCCAAGGGATGGAAGGTGACGGAACGCAAGTTCACCATGAAGGAGGTGGCCGACGCAGCCGACGAGGGCCGCATGATGGAGATCTTTGGCGCGGGGACGGCTGCCATTGTCGCGCCGGTGCGAAAGATCAGCTGGAAAGGACGCCTTGTTGACTGTGGGCTCGCGGACCACGTCGAAGCTGGCCCCGTTGCCCAGCAGATGAAGGAATGGATGGAGGCTATTCAGTATGGTGACGAGGACCACCCATGGAGGTATGTGCTATGGACCGGCTCTGTGGATGCAGTTGCTAACACACGACAGCTACAAGGTCCTCTGAGGAACACGCGTGCGGTGGCGGGCATGTTCTCTGGAAGCGTGTTTTGCTGCAACAGGCGTGGAATAGATAGACACGGTGGAGGGCATGTTGGTGTCAGTGCCGCGGGCACAGGTAGAGTGGGGCGAAGACGTAGACAAGGCAATAGATTTCCCCGCAGGCTCCCGGAGCATGGCCGCAGCGCTGTCTCGGGCGCAGTTGGAGGCGCCCGGCACGTGTGGACGGCTGCGTGCGTTTGTGAGGCGTGGATATACTTGCACAGGCTGGCGGTGGGGTGGATGCGCGGCGTGCCTGGCGACATGACGTTGGTGTGGCATCGGGGCTAATGGGAAGGCCCAAGCTCGTCGCACGCACGCTCTGCCTCTGCTCGCTGTTTGCACTCCGCCCACACGCCCTGCGCACCACCGTCTGCCACCAATTGCCCGCCAGAGCTGCGTCGCTGCTTGCAGAACCCACCAGTAGACGCCCCGTACGTATCCCCTCAGCCTCTGCACAATGCTGGCCGGCGCCCTCTGCCGCTTGGCAGCCGACGTTCCCAGAAGATCCCCACACGACATGCCGCAGCTCGCACGCCACCTGGGCCGCACGCTCCTCGCTCTCAGTGCCCGCGAGGCGCCCGCAGCCCGCGCCCTCCCATGCGCCCTCTACTCGCATCGCTCCTATGCCACTACTGCCACCGCCACGCGCGCAACCAAGCCCACTGCCACGGTCAAGAAGGCGGTCAAGGCTGCCGCTGCCGAAAAGCCCCCGCCAAAGAAGGCGGCTGCACCGGCCAAGAAGACGACTGCGCAAAAGCCCGCTGCGAAGACCACCAAGAAGGCGGAGGCCAAGAAGCCAGCCGCTAAGAAAGCAAGGCCTGGGCGCAAGAGGAAGGTCCTGACCGACGAGGAGAAGGAAAAAATCAAGATACGGGATCTACGCGCCAAGGCGCTCAAGGAGCCCGTCACCCAGCGTGCACTCTCGGCCTACAATGCCTTTATTGCTGAGGCCGCCGTTGGCAAAGTCGATGAGGGTGCCAAGCAGGCCACCAAGATTGCAGACCTCTCCCGTCAATTCAAGGAACTGACACCCGCACAGCTCGAGGTAAGCCCAAAGCCCTGGTTATGTTCAATAACACGAGCGTACTGAATGCCATTCCAGCACTACAATCACCTTGCTCAGCAATTGAATGCCGCCAATAAAGCCAAGCTGGACGCGTGGATCAACTCGCACACCCCCGAAGAGATCAGAGTTGCCAACCGGGCTCGTGCCTTGTTGCGAAAGAAACTTATGGGCAAGCAAAAATCGGCCCCTGCCTACACCAGCAAACTGCACGACGACCGACAAGTCAAGACTGTGCCAAGTGCATATATCTTTTTCTTCACGGCTAGACACGCCTCCGGCGACTTCAAAAACATCAAGGCTCAGGACGCGTCCAAGCTCATTGGCAACGAGTGGAAGGCATTGAGCGATGCTGAGAAAAAGGTGCGCATAGATACAGCTTCCACAAGCGAAGCGTCCTTGCTAACAGACGAGCAGAAATACGAAGAAGAGCGTCAAGCTGCAAAGCAGCGGGTAAACGCCGCTTAAGACTTGTATACCGCGTGAGCTCAGCTGAGCGTCAAGACCCCATCAGCAGTAGCTCAATCCACCACAGCCTGTGTTTTCCTGTCACGCTGTATTCTGGCCCGCAAACATTTCCTTTATCAGTCAAGGTTTGGAAGGTAATGCCCCTTTGCGCTTGTCTGGTCTAGTCTGGATACTAGACAACGATTCAGTATTTTTCTTGTCCAAGAAGAGGCGGAGAGCACTAGCGGCCAGTCAGGATTACGTTCAAGGGAGATGGTGGTTTAATGTCCTGTATGTAGTAGTAGCTGATCACATTCACACTATACTTACACTATTTGACAACCTCGTCGGGTACAAATTTCCGGTTTTCCTGTTTTCTTGTTTCTGATCTTTCTAACCGACCACACTCCCGATTGATTGGATCTCTTGGGTCCCTTGTCCTTTCTTTGAAAGGTGTGTGTGTGTGTGTGTGGTCGCCTTGGAAGTACCCTTACTGGTAACTAACCGCAAGTAGAACTACTTCCTTCTGATCCCCCTTTCCCTCCTGCATGTCAAGATATTATATCACATGCATCGTCTGGGATCATGCCTCGTGTAACCCCCGTTTCCCTTTTTCGTGGTGTGAGCTCTTTCATCCTGGTAAGTAGCAAGTAAGCAAGTAAGCCTTGGGGATCGACATGAGCTATACGAGCTCCTTCGTATAATGCCTTGATAGTTATTGCCCTATGTACTGACATTTTTTTGGGGGTGTTCTAGCTGCGCGTCCAATGGGTACCTGAGGGGTACGCCAGTCACGTTGTTGTTGTTGTTGTTTGTTTCTAGTGGCCTATATTCCCAGGCTAGGCGAGTGTTCTAGAGTAGAAAAAATCAGACTACTTCCGATAAACTAAGCCAGGAATGAGTCCTGTGTAGATGAACTATGCCAGCTTGAGTGGTGTCGAGAGTACTGGGTATGCGTGACGCATACATTGGATCGTTCGTTTCATCTTTCTTCTTTCTTATTTCCGTTCATTTATTTCCAGACCTGATCGACATTCCCATGCTAACATGCACACACACACACACACACACATACACCGCCATAGTCTAGCTAATAAAGTTCTATACGGGCTTACATCCACCCATCCATCCATCCACATGTACGTGAAACAAACTCCTCTAGAAACGGAGACCGTTGCGAGAAAGAAACACCCCGGCCCAGGGAAGCTATTGAAATTTTTTAAACTTTCAGTCAAATACCATGGTATTGCATAGATTGCCATATTGTCGATCGATTCACATTTTCTTTTTCGGACCGAGTTTTTTTTTTGGATGGCTGGCTGGCTGGCTGACTAGCCTGTACGTAGGACATGGTACATAATAGCAATACTTGAATTTATCTATTCAAGACCGAGCGTGCAAGCGAGTACGACGAGGAGACAGATAGGATATATATAAATACATGTACGGTATGCTTTCTCGTTTGAAAAAAGAAAACTAAATAAACTAGTTTCTTATTATCTTCCTATCCCCCCCTAAAAAAAAGAGAGAGAGAGAGACATATAAGCAAGCTTTTCCAGGTCGCGTATAGAAAGAACACTTGCTCTTGTACATTACCCTCAGAAGAAGTCATTGTTATTGCATCTACATCTACTACTTACTTTCAGCCACACTACTTTGTTATTTCCCCCTTACTTGGCCTGAAAATCCCAACATGCGAATTAGCATAATCGTCGCCCTCTTCATCGCCGCCGCGTCCGCCGACTGCACCCAGCAAGCGGCGCCCACATGCATTGCCACCTACGGCGTCAACTGTAAAACGGTCGATAATGGTAGCTGCGGGGGACCTTCGTGTACTCTGTGCTGTACGAGCGTAAGTAGTCCTCCTGCCCTGTATTCATGTCTCTCTCCCTCTCTCTCTCTCTCTCTCTCTCTGTGTGTGTGTGTGTGTCTCTATGTATATAAGTGTGAGTGAGAAGCTTCAAAATGCTAATTCCGTAATAGAGCGTAAGTCTATCCGTATTAAAATACGCTTTGCACCCCCTTGGTCTAGTTCCAGTGTACTAATAGATCTGTCATTTGCAACTCGGTCGACTCTGCGTTAACGTCTTCTTTTTTTCAGGAAGTAAGTCTCATCTTCTTCTAAAACTACCCTATTCATCTTTCATCATCATCATCATCACCCTACGGCTACACAGTATACTAACTCTGCACAACCAGTGCACTTAAATCACTCTCCGTAGAGGAAGGAGTTTTCTAGTTCTTACTAGGCGTCTGTTGTTGGACTCAGTGCGGGGGCATATATTTAGCATACAGTACGACTTGACTTGGGAAGATATATACGTAGGCCGAGGGAGAGGGAAGAGGAGGAGGGGTAGTATGGATGATGTGTGTGTTTTCTGAAGAGAGAGATATATATATGATAAGAATAACTAACGCCATGTCACATCACCATGGCGTTTAGATCGAAGACTAATTCGATGCTGTCTTTACTGCGCATAATTTACTATTCACTAGTACCCCGCCATTCTTCTTTGTCTGGTTTAGGAGTGATTTGGAAGTGCGAATATAGTACTACTTAGGTTACTAGAAAACTAGTAAAAGTGTCAGGGGGTTGCGGTTTCTAGGTACACCGCCGAATGCCCACACCCCTCGTATGGAGAGAAAGACTAATATTTCGACTAGTTATTCGTGAAAGTATATATAATAAACGAATGAATCAATACCCTCATAAATCTCAATGTCGCCCTACTTTCTTTACATCAAGGCCGTCTCCGCTATCTTAACCCTTTACCACCAACCCTATTATACCCTGTTACGTAGAATATGCAATACCGCGCTCGTATAAAGCCCCCCACCCCCCCTCCCTCCCAAAAAACAAAACACCCACAAACGTCGAACCCGACCAGTATAATAATAGTGATAGTATTAATTCAGAATTTCAAAGGTACCTACTCGAGGGTATCTTGGAGTACTACCTGACAGAAAACAAGTTTTTCATAGATAGTTTTTCTGCAAAATGGTACGAGGCACTTAAGTATAAGTACTGACCCCGCCATGACATTTGGACCCCGCAAAAAACAGAAAAACAAACAAACAAAGGACCAAAAGGAATTGCTGTAACACAGCGTAGTACCCCCGCAGTGTCAAGGAGAAAAAAAAAGCAACAAGAGAAATCAGTCGACTCAACATCGCTAGTCCTACTGTACTCGAAGCAGGGGCTTTTCAGCGTCATCACTCATGCCTCTTCCACGTCAGTCACGCATATCTCATCTGCTCTCACAACTGCAATCTAGACAAAGAATACAGGACAGCCAACATCAATTATAGTGTCGTTTGCAACACCAAGCAAATAGTATTAGAGAATATATCACTTCACACTTCACGGTGCACCTACAGAATTACATGTATGATGATTGATTACAGCATCTTTTCGCTAACAAGAAGTTCAAAGAGAATGGTGCCGCTGCCCGTGACGATGCTTTGTCGCGGGAATTAGACTACCACTCCCACATCATTGCACCCCATGAGACACGACCCGATTGCTCAGAATACGAATCGAATTGACAATATGGATGTTGTTCCCATTTGCAAAACTCCAACAGCCAAGCCCAGCGCGGGTCTTAATCATGGCCAGCTTACTCCTCAGGCTCCATAGGAGCCTCCTCGTCGTACTCCTCCTCACCCTCGGAGACGGAAGCCTCCTGGTATTGCTGGTACTCGGAGACCAAGTCGTTCATGTTGGACTCAGCCTCAGTGAACTCCATCTCGTCCATACCCTCACCAGTGTACCAATGCAAGAAAGCCTTGCGCCTGAACATGGCACCGAACTGGTCACCGACACGCTTGAAGAGCTCCTGGATGGAGGTCGAGTTACCGACAAAGGTGGACGACATCTTCAGGCCGCGAGGAGGAATGGAGCAGAGAGCGGTCTGGACGTTGTTGGGGATCCACTCAACAAAGTAGGAAGAGTTCTTGTTCTGGACGTTGCGCATCTGGTCCTCGACCTCCTTCATTGACACCTTGCCACGGAAGTAGGCAGAGCAGGTCAGGTAGCGACCGTTGCGGAAGTCAGAGGCAGCCATCATGTTCTTAGGGTCGAACATTTGCTGGGTGAGCTCGGGAACGGTGACGGCGCGGAAGGAGTGGGCGCCACGGCTGGTAAGAGGAGCGAATCCAACCATGAAGAAGTGGAGACGGGGGAAGGGCACCATGTTGACGGCCAGCTTCCTCAGGTCAGAGTTAAGCTGACCAGGGAAACGCAGGCAGGTGGTGACACCGGACATGACGGCGGAGACGAGGTGGTTCAGGTCGCCGTACGAGGGGTTGTTCAGCTTGAGGGTCCTCATGCAAATGTCGTAGAGAGCCTCGTTGTCAATGCAGAAGGTCTCGTCAGAGTTCTCCACCAGCTGGTGGATCGAGAGGGTGGCGTTGTAGGGCTCGACAACCGTGTCGGAGACCTTGGGCGAGGGGACGACCGAGTATGTGGCCATCATGCGGTCGGGGAACTCCTCACGGATCTTGGAGATGAGGAGCGTTCCCATACCGGCACCGGTACCGCCACCGAGCGAGTGGGTGATCTGGAAACCCTGGAGGCAGTCGCAGCCCTCGGCCTCGCGGCGCACCACGTCGAGGACCTGGTCGACCAGCTCGGCACCCTCGGTGTAGTGACCCTTTGCCCAGTTGTTACCAGCACCAGACTGGCCAAAGACGAAGTTGTCGGGGCGGAACAGCTGGCCAAAGGGACCGGCGCGCACGGCGTCCATGGTGCCGGGCTCGAGATCGACGAGGACGGCACGGGGCACGAACTTGTTGTTGGAGGCCTGCTGCACATGAGTATTGGCCTTCTATCTGTTGCATGTCTCGCTGGGCGACGTACTTCGTTGAAGTAGACGTTCATGCGCTCGAGCTGGAGGTCCGACGTGCCGTTGTAGACACCGGAGCCGTCGAGGCCATGCTCGCCCGAGATGGTCTGCCAGAAGGCGGCACCAATCTGGTTACCCTGCAGCGTTGGTTAGCAGCCGTGTGCGTGGTGCTGGCGAGGGCGGCGACTTACGCATTGACCGGTCTGGAGGTGAACCTGTGGGCGAGAAACGTTGTTAGCTGTCTTGTTTGCGTGCAATCTGGTGTTGTCCCTGAAGGCGGAAGTGGGGCAGGGATGCGCCACGGGCTGCAGACAGCCAGGGCGCCTGGGATACGTACAATCTCACGCATGATGGCGGCTGGAGAGGATCGGGGGGTGCAAAAGTGGTGAGCTGAGAAGAGGAGGAAGCTGGGTTGAAGGGCGGCCGATGGGTGGTGGTGGTGCTGGTGTGGAGAGAGCAGGAGGAGCAGAAGCGGTGAGTGCGTTAAAGATCTCTGTGGGTCTGCACAGGCCCTCGTTGGCGCTAACGCTATTTACTAACAACGCGCGCCAGGCACCAGCTTTTGCCCGTGGCGGCAGCGCACAGGATAAGCCCGAATAGGGGAGCGGGCATAACAGCGCGACCACGACGACATGTGCAGCCGTCGACATGTACATATCTACATGTCTGTTCTATTGCGCCGCGCCGCGCCGCGCCGCGCCACCGTTACCGCGCGACCCCTTCCCATGCCTTCCCATGCCTTCTCCCCCCTCTCCCTCTCCCTCTCCCTCTCCCTCTCCTCTCTCCCACAGCCGCATACCGCATATGCACATACACAATGCCGATCCCGCCAGCCCGCGTATCCCTCCCTTGCCTCAAAGCTTCTTCTTCGCTGGCCCATTGGCCCCCGCGTCCTGTCTCCTGACCACTTCTGGCATCGTCCAGAAATTCCGCCACCGCAGCTCGTACTCGTCCTGCCGATAGTTGAGGCAGTGTCGCAGCCAGATGCCCCATACAATGTAGAAGTAGGCCCCCACGCCCGTCATAAGATGCCTGCACACGTGTGAGCTTTCGCGTCGCCGGAACCGCGTCTAGCATACTCACCACCACCCATGCCCCTCAAGCACGAACCCCCACGGCATGCCCACCTCCCTTCGCCATCGGATCAGCTTTGAGCAGTACACGTTGTCAAGATTCCAGATGGCAAAGCCGCCCACAAAGATGCTGAGGCCAAACGCAATCATGGTCCACATGGTGCTGATAATCTCCTGGTCCCGCTGGTCCTCCTTCTGTCGCGCCCCCTTGGCACCCCCGTGCAGACGCGGGTTCGCTGCTTCTCTCTCCCGCGTCCTGAAGCGTGGACGGATGTTGATCTCCATGACGTACACGGCGCGGAACAGGACAATTGCCGTGAGGGCGGCGTAGGCATTCTGGTGAAAAGTTGGGTCTTGCAAGTAGTGGTAGTAGAGCGTGATGAAGACGGCAAGGGACATCAGGCCGACACCGAGCATGGTCGCGTACAGTCGCGACTTGCCATACGAGAAGGTTGCAAAGTTCATGAGACACGTCGTGTAGATCATCGAAAGCTCGTCGACCAGTTGCATAGGGTCTACACGGCGCGTCAGGGCTTGCTCCAACCAATCTCTCTGCTGCCAGACGTACACTTTAGTGACGCATGAAACCAGAAGCTTCCCGTTCCAACAATCAGATAGCCAACAAAGGCAACGAGAAAGACTGTATCATGTCCATTCTTCAGGCAGTTGCGTATGCCCTTGGCCGCCAGGTACATGAACAAAAGATTGGTAAAGGTGTTGACAAGCTCGGCGACGTAGTGAGTGACAACATAGTTCTTGCTACTGTTAGCAGCCTGTTCTGCCCAGCGTGTTTGTCAGACGTAGGAACGGACCTCTTCGCACCAATCCAGAGTAGACGTGACGGGCGAAAACCAGCCGTCCTGTTCAGGCGGGTACGGTATTGATGGCAGGTGAGAGAGTAGCGTAGCCATGCTGTTGGACTCGATACTCGGGCAGCGAGCAAGTCGGTACTGTAAATAAATAGCGACGGGCAAAAACAATGGGCTGTTTCACGCTGGAAGTCAAACCTGTATCTAGGCTCCTCCCGGACGTTGCGGAAGGAAGACAGCGAGGTCAATGCTTCGAGGACAACACTCGTTTCTTACGCCCACGCCCACGTCGCTCAGCGCAGAATTGCTAATAGACTTGGCTGCTTCGCCATCCCGTTTCCCACTAGCAGCATCTAGCACATGCAAAGTAATCGTTGCGAGTAGCAGCGGTGCTGTTTTCGGTGTGAGATCCATGGGCCAATCACATCGCGGCGGGAGGGCTCGTAAGTAGCTTTCCGACCCGCGAAAGCTTGAGCAGCAACACCAGCAGTGGCGGCGGCCTTCAACTCACGAAGCGTGCCGGAACCTGTCGACCCATAAATCCGCCACCATGTCTATGCCAAACGAGGCTCTGCAGAAGGTGCGTAGTGGCAGTGGATTTTTCATGGCAGCAAGTGCTTGGGTCTGACAAAAGTCAGGTCCTGCAAGAGATCAGCCAGAAGAAGGCCTTTGCTGAGCAGCAACTCGCCATCGTCAAGCAGCAAAAGGCAGCCCGGGCGCGAGAGAGCCGCATGCTGCAACTAACCTCGTCCGAGGTTTCTTCATTGCCCGAGGACACAAAGGTGTACGAGGGTGTTGGGAAGATGTAAGTCCCGTGACTGCGGGGACACAGATGGCAGCGAGACTGATCGAATACTCAGGTTCGTCTGCACGCCTATTCCAGACGTACAGAAAAGGCTCAAGGAGGAGAGCGAGGCTCTAACCAAAGAAATGGCCAACTTGGACAAGAAGGAAGACTACCTGGAGAAGACGTACGCGAACAGCAAGAGTAGCCTGGAACAGGTGCTCAAGGGCGCGGCGTAAGCTTATTCCCACATGGGGCGTATCAGAAGTAGAACATCAGAAGCCGAAAAGACCAAATGTCATGGTTAATAGCGGTGCGTTGATATGCCCGCTGCTACTCCGAGCCACTTCGTAGATAGGCGGTGGACAGACCTTGACACCATTCGCAATACTGAGCATGGTTGAGCTCATGGTAGAAACGAAAAACTGCTCACATCTCCAAATCCACACCACTCAATTCCAAGGGAATGAGCCTGTAACAGCCCCAATTTGCATTCCGTCTACTATTATCTGTTTTTTTACCGCATCCTCACAAGCATGCCCTCTACACTCTCAATGTACTTCTTGACCTCATCCGCCGCCCTCGCCACATACGCCCCGTCCAATACCCTGTGGTCTGCACTCCAACTAAACACACACTCCTCCTTCCTGATGAGCTCACCATTCTCTCCGAATGCAGGCACCACTTTCGCCTTGCCAATGCCCACTATACCGACTTGCGGCCCCACAATGACGGGCGCTACAGCACCCCCACCAATGCTGCCAATGTTGCTCACGGTGAAAGTTCCATCCGTAAGGTCGGCAGAGGTCAGCTTGCCAGAGCGAGCAAGCGAACTCAAGCGTTGAATTTCTTGAGCTAGCGAAGCAATGCTGTGGTTTTGTACATTCTTGATAACCGGCACAAGCAATCCAGAAGGCGAGTCGACAGCCACCCCGATATTGTGGCTGCCTTTCAGGATTACCTGAGGCTTGTCTGGATTAGTGCTCGTGTCCAGATGAGAGTTGAGCAGAGGAAACTGTTGGAAAACCAGTGAGATAGCCTTGATGATGATTGGTAGTGGTGTTATTCGGTCCGGCTTCTCACGGCCAATGTTATACTTCTGACGCAGGCTTGTGAGAGAACTGAAATCCACGGCATCTGTGTAGAGGAAATGCGGTATTGCCAGCGACTTGGTCATTTGCTTGAACATGCCCGCTTGTACCGGTGTGAGTGGCTTGACCTGGTCTTCCAGTTGCTGTGTTGGCACAGGTGTCGGCGCTGATGGTGCATTTGCGGTCTCCTTAGCAGCCGCAATGTGCCGCTGAACATCTTCTTTGAGCACACGGCCTTCCTTGCCCGTTCCTTGAATGTCTTCTATCTTGAGCTTGTGTTCCTTGACCATATGCCGCACGGCTGGTGTGGCAAGCGATGCATATTTGCCCCGTTGCTGGGGTGCTGACGACCCCGCTTGGGACAATTCAGACGGTAGAGCCGTACTCTGATCTGATACCGGGACGTCTCCAATTGTGGCCTTGGTGTCGTTGCGATCAACCTCGATTCCCTGCTCTTGTGGCTCTGTCGTCTTGGCTCCTTCTTGCTTTGGTGGTGTGCCTCCGCCCCCGGTGAGCAGAGCCTCGTCGTCTTGTTTCCCTGAGCCTCCGTTGAGTAGGGCTTCGTCGGCAGCAGAGATCTCGCTCTGAATGTCAATGTCCACTAGGGGCTTTTGAAATCAGCTTATTTACGCGGAATACTTCGGAGAGCAACATTACCTTGCCAACCTTGGCCATGTCATCTGGCTCATAGTACAGCTTCTTGATGACGCCATCGAACCGCGACGTGATCTGCCCGTCTTAGCCACTGTTTCGCATGCCGTTTTAAAGCTTCCCACCTCTACAGATGCCTTATCTGATTGCACTTCGCATATGGGGTCGAATTGCTCGACGCGCGCTCCTGGCTTCACGAACCACTGGATAACTTGGCACTCAGTGATACCTAGGCACAGCATGTTTAGCTTCAGCCGGCGCGTGCTTTAGTTTGCGCACTAACCTTCTCCAATATCTGCCAGCAGATACGGCTTGACCACGAGCTGTCTTCTCGATTCCCGAAACCCTCTTCGTTGTTCCAGAATGCGGATGTTTGTATGTCTCGGAACGGCAATTGACGTTCGCTGGGCGAGGTTTGACCGGGAAAAAAGGCGCGATGCCTCTCTGCTCGCAAAGGACTTCATGGTGGGTGGAGTGCGTTTGCAGAAATCCGCAGTGGAAGAAACATATCCAAGAAGGCCGCCGAGGTGTGGTGATTGTCAAGACTCAAAGCCGACGGTTACCGGCCTCGGTCGTGACCGTGGCACACAAGCGGAAGCTGGGGAAGCGAGCCACGACGGTTCGGGTATAGCGACACGCGGGTTAAGGAACCATGGGTCGACCCGACGGAACTGGGAAAGCCGGGAATAGAGAACAATCGGCTCTCGCCCACCAAAACTCGGGATTTTCACTACGATATACCAGCACCATAATACCTTATTCTTCTGTTCTGCACACGTACAAAACAACGGAATATCTTAGTAAGCATTTGGTAAGATATAGCACAGCAAAAACTATAGGTAAGCTGTGCGTCTGCTGTTGGAGCTGACAGCCAGCGCGCGCACACCACCTGAAGCGGTTTAGTCGGCAATTCAGCCTTCTCTATTTCCGTCTTCCCCAGTTCCGTAAGAAACGGTACCCCTCCTCTCCACGCGGGCCTACAGTACAGGGAATATGCTATGTCTGCAGACGCTCGTTCAAGGTATTAGTCACCAACACGCCGAAGGGCATTTGCCTATGCAGGTCAGGATGCTCGTACGACCTACTTACATCGACAAGACACATCGTAGAAAATGACCCGTATAAGGTTCATTGCTGGTCGATAGTTGTAAGGTTAATACGCGCGTCATGCATTTATGCGAGCCTGCTGGCGATCTGAGTAGCAACCAATCTGAAAAGTTTAAGTCCTCAACGTTGATATTTCACGTAGTTATAGCAGTGTAAGCGCTCAGTTCAATATTATCTTGCCATCCACAGGCCATCCAGCACGTTCATATCAAGTACGCCCAGTCTGTTGAAGGGATATCACCTGATCTTCGAGTATGAGCATGAAAATACTAGGTACCTTGGCTTTGACCAGCCTTGCGTGGGCAACAGAATACTGGCAGACGCCTCCCGGTGGCTACCGCCCCTTCGGACCTGGATACACCAATGGCGCCTATCCTACCGACTTCTCTCTGGCAGGACCGCCTCTGGAGGCAATTCACGACTCTCAAACGCCTTCCACTGGATTAGCCGTCGATTCGAACAACAGACTCTATTTGGCATATCCCCGCAACAGTGGACAGACACCCAACAACGTCGTGGTTTGCACTTCTTTCAACGACGAGAAGCCGTGGCCCAATGCAGGCATTCAGAATTGCACCGCTGGCCAAGATCCTAGCACATGCTTTATCAATGTACAGAACATCATTCTGGACAACAAGGGGAGACTCTGGGTTATCGACAGTGGCATTCCTTACAACGCAACACCGGAAACCGGTGCCATATTTGGTGGGGCAAAGATTATGAGCTTTGACGAGACAACGGGCGAGCACCTTCGGACTTACGTGATACCCGAGCGCTTATTATCACACCGCATGAATATGAATGACCTGCGTATCAACACAACTCTTGGTGGAAAAAGTGGATACGCCTTTATCCCAGATGCTAGTACCAATAGTTCACTCGTGACAATCGATCTTGATGATGGTAGCGCTCTGCGGAGATTGTTCAACACCAGTGTTGTTCGAGCAGATGAGAATTATGTTGGCTCATATGACGGGCAGCCCATCTATACTTGGAACGGTACGAAGAAGGGCCATCTTACCACAGCAGCAGATGGGGTGGCATTGGTTGAGCACTATTAAGCCAACTTGTGTTCTTAGTACTGACGGCGACAACAGCATCCGGCAACTTTTACTGGGGTGTCCTAGCCTCTAGACGCTTCTACTACATCTCTCAGGAGATCCTTGTCGACCCCAACAAGACAGAAGACGAGGTCTTGGCTGCAGTGCAAAACCCAGGCCAATGTGGTTCTGAACAAGCCGGTTTCACTGCTGACGACCGGGGGCGTGTGTACATTGCGGCAAGTGAGCAAAACGCCATATACTACGTCGACACACTCAAATCCGAAGTCAATATGACTATCAATGGAGACGCGCCTGGTGGTTCCGGCTTGATCCCAGCCAACAATTACGTAGTCAAAGTACTGGCCAGAAGCGCGTTGATCCAACATGCGGATTCAATGGCCATCCTGAATGGGTGGATGTACTTCAACACCAATCAGCTTATGCTGAGCCCAAAATTTAATTATGACAACGTTGATAGGAGGCGTGGCCCCTTTCGCAGTTACCGGCTTTGGATTGGGAGAGGACCTGCTGCTTGAGGCGCATAATCGTAATTTCAGTTATCTGAGCCAGGGTAGAATCCCCCGTCTACATTCAGACATCACTCGGACAGATGCAGTATGAAGCCCAGCACGTGCAGACTTGCTGATACGATCCCAAGGATCAACCATGGAATTTAAGTTGTGTCTATTGGTTCTGAAAGTTTGGTTTGACCGTGTTACGCCCAGGCAAAGGGCTACGATTGCTTTCCCGATTTGCTCTGGTGCAAAAGCTGCCAAACAAGCGATGTAGGTTTCAAACGTCTATGTAATATGGATTTCTGTGAAGTGATTTCGTAAGCTTAGGGGATAGTTGAACTGACTAAGATGTCGAAGAAGGCTGTGGATTGTGTACCAAGACGGTGTGATTGTGTAAACATCCGTCGCGCCAGAGTAAGAAATCAGGTGACTGTAGTGGTTCTGTATTGTCGAAAAAATATTCGTAGGATACGGCTTGAGAATCAGTGTTGCATACCACTGCCCAAGTTTTTTCTTTGCTCGCACAGTGTTGCTGGGGCCAATGGGGAGGCTATGGTGGGAATGACGTTGCAGTGTGGGAGATCACAGTGCACGAGCCTTCGTGATGCGCGACTCCCGTACCCAACGCGTTTGCGGAGAGAGGCATAATCAACCCACATCGAGAATCGCCTGCCGCATCCCACACCCCACGGACAGCCATGCGCAGTTCCGATGTCCACATGCGCATTGCAAACGAAGACAATGCTTCACACCGTTCCAGACACGCCAACCCAACTGCTGCGACTAGCCATCAAACATGAGGAACCCAGGACTCAGCTCCCTTCGAAACTAAAGCGAGCCTCGCTTTGCGGCCTCGGGAATTTCAACAAGCCCTTTACAATCAGGCCGCACTCTGAATTCCCAAACACTGAGCCCGTCACCTTCAAGCCTATCCGTGTAGTTGGGCGCTCTCAACTGCCGCTTACATTCCTCGATGCGTCCGCCGACGACAACTTCGCTTCACATAGCCTCTTCGCCGCTCACATAGACATTCTAGAGGATGAAGAGACGGACAAGGACGAGGGCGAGACCCTCAGAGTGCTGATTGCGCAGCTCGAGGCGAAGAAGACGTTGTATGCCATAGAGCGGGTACAAGCACGCATCTACAGTATATCCAAACTGGCAAGCTGGCTGAAAGAGAAAGATGTCGCAGATCTATGGGATCCCGGAAACATACACAGACTGCCGATTAGGGCCAAGCCGGATACAAATACAGACGCCCCCGGCGAGTGGTGGCAATGTGCTGCAGTAGAGACGCAGGCTACGGAGCTATTACTGCGCCGTACACGAATGGGTATGCTTCGACCAAAGCTGCCGCAAGCACATATTACCCTGGATTCTCAACAACTGGAAGATGTCCCAGCACCACAGGATACCGAAAGCCTAGACACTGTGCCAACAGAGCCCTCGTTTGAGCCACCGCCAGTCTTACCGTCACCACAAGAGCAGCTCGAGTTGCTGATTAGCCAATATCTTGATGCCGTGTACATGTCAAAAACATCTCTGGCATATTTTGCAAAGGGACCTCTGACTCGAGCACGCAATGCCTTCACTTTGGCTGAAGAAGGGGCTCCTCCCACACACGAGCTTATTGCATCTTTACGTGCAATGCTGCTCAGCCCAAAGGCTAGTGAAAAGAAGTACTATGAAAAACTACCCGCGTTGATCAAAGCCATGTCACCGGGAAGTACTTCAGACGACGAGCCTAGCGCTGGGGCCGGTAAAACAAAAAAGTCAAAGAAGAAGGCGAGACTTGGTCGCGAGGGCGTATACCCACAAGAAGAGGCACTTGTCAAAAAGTGGTGGCGGTCGGAGTTGCCTGGTGGTGAGGCCATGGCTGCAGAGACGATGGACCAGCGTATCAAGAGGCGCATTGGTGATTTACGAGTTCGCGAGACACTGGCGCAACTGATGCTCATGCTTGAGATTATCGCGCTCGAGGCCATGTCCACAAGCACCAATGCTCTTGGCCAAGATGGTGCAAAAGAAGAAAGCCAAGATCACAACGAGCAGCCCGTGCCGAAGAAGCGGAAGAAGAAACTCGACGATATCAACGTCCAGCTTGATTTGCTGCTGGACAAGCTCTGCATATGGCATGCTACTGAGGAAATGGGCATACTGGAGTTTGACGCCAAGCCATCGCAGCAGAATGAGGGCTCGGACGGGACTGGCCGCAACGGGTCAAGCGATCGCCTGCACAGCTTCTGTGTCGAAGTGATAATACCTTTCTACATCAACCGCCTTCCCGAACAGGCGGTAATGGTCAACAAAAAGCTCGGTGGACCAGCGCACAGCTTGCCGGCCAAGCGAAAGGCAAACAAGCCACCCTCTACCTCACGCAGATTAAAAGACTCCAAGGAACCTGAAACGAAGAAGCCGCGGCGCTCGCTAGTACGAGTAGCCACCGACAACACCGGAAGGACGGTTGAGCGGACAACGCCATCTCTGAACCGATCGGCTACTGACTCGGTGATAGTAGAGGGGATCAAAAGAGAAGGAAGCGAGACACCACTGTCGGCTATACCTTTTCGACGCAGCCCGTCCAAGGGTGCAAGGCAGTCGATGTCGCAGATTCGACATTTGCAGGGGCGTCAAATCGATCTGGCTCAACCTTCGGCGGCTGCATCAGCAAAGATGAAGCAGAAACAGCGAGTAGAAGAAGATTTGCAAGAGGCAATACTAGCGCTTAAGAAGCCCAACCGAGGGCTAGCAGCTGGCAGCTATGTGAGCGACCGGGAGCAACGTGGTCTCGGGTTGCCCAGCAAATCGCGGAAACCGGCAGTTACGGTTCGAAAGACGATCAAGGAGGTGCAGGTAACGGCCACGCCACGGGCAGGCCGCAAGACGAAGAACATGGTTGAGCAAACGCCTGTGCAACAGCACTATGACCCGTTTGTCAGGTCGCCGGGGGAGGGAGCGCCTCCATCGAGCGGGTTCTGCGTACCCTCGTCAGGCGTGCGACCGCCGCCTGCGATGATACCCGCAACGGGCCACCGCCACACGACGGCGCCAAACCTAGTGGATTCCAGCATTGCTGAGACGCCGTCGAAAGCGCCACAGGCGAAACCTTTTTCTTCGGATGCGGTGCGGAGGAGGATTTTTGCGACCCCGTTAAAGACAGCGGGCCCTGCTCCGGACGCGGGACTCGATGAAGCAGCACCGCATGTGTTCGAGACGCCCGCCAAGGCCCTCGACAGTCCTCCGTGCAACAGTATCACGGCTGGGCCTCGCGATGTTGCTGCAACGCCCACCAAGTCGGTTGCCGTGGCGGCGCGTGAAGCTGGTGTGGATCCTTTTGCCGGGCCGTCGATATACGACGCGTTAGGATGGGACGACGATGAGGACGACGGTTTTGTATAGAAGAAATGCTTCTGTTGTCGAGTAGTCGTCTTTTTTTTATTGTCTTTCAGCTTCCTCGCCGCCGTGATATCGCGTCGACGGTGGTTGTGGTTGTACCTGCATTAGCGAGCACGGGGGTTTGGCACATCACGAAGCATTGGGCAGCGTGCATGTACACGTATACGGCAAAACCTACTCATCCCGGTGTTGGAGGCGAAGCACTGGGGAGGTGACGTGGTGCTGAGCTCGTCGTGCAGCAGGACAGGCGAGGGCTTGCACTAGCAGGACGAGTCGGCAGGCGGCGCGCAGACAGACCATGCTGATCATGAAGCTACGGCCCGGAAGGGGGAAGCGGACCGCGAGGGCGTTGGGGGAGTGTGTGGGTGTGTGGCGCATCCGGGAGGCTTGGGTGGTGGCCGGGTGTCGTGGTGGTTGTGGTTGTGGTTGTGGTTGTCGTCGCCGCGGTGCCCATGGCCTTCATCATGGCCATGGCCATGGCCGTGGTCGGGCAGAGCGGGCTGGGCTGGGGCGCAGGCGACAGGTACCCGCAAGCTGGGGAGCAGGGATCGCCGCCATAGCGGCGCTTCAGTCAGCGTACCTTGCAGACGAGGGCGGGCATGGGCGTCTCACGAATCACAGGCGATGGGCGGCGTGCAATTTGCCGGGGAGCAGCCATAGCCGGCCCCCTAGCATGTGCCCCTAAAAAGGCCTTCTCCAGGTGCCGGCTGGCCCATGCTGGCTCGACGGTCCAGCGAGCTAATCACGCTGAAATTATGAAAATCCCGGGCCAGACACCCACTGTCTTTCCGCTACTTGAGTCCTGTCCCGCTTGCCCAACCATTCATTGCTTTTTGCCCTCACGGTTCCCCCCCCCAACTAAAGTTTCGTCGACCTGCGCGCCGACCGACGAATATGTCCAGCGCTGCAGCCAAGCCCAGGTAACCATCCTCCCCCCCCATCCTCCGCACCCCTGCTCGCAATCATGGCCGTCTCTGCTGCTGCATCCCGTCCTGCACCCCCCCGTGGACAGCGCTCGCCGACGCTCAGCGATGCGGGCATGATCCTGCCTGCACTCGAGGCCGACCTGGAGCGCGCCGCTTCGCCCATCCCCCTCATTGAGCGCCCGCCCTCGCCCTCGGACCTGTACAGGCACACCGACTCAAGCCCCGTCCGGCTGTCTTCAGGATTGGGAATCTACAGCCGGCGCCGCGCCTCGCAACAGACAAAGTCACCATCGCTATCTGCACAGTCCTCGCTCTCAGCACAGTCCTCGCGCTCCACGCTGCGGAACCCAACCGACTCAGTTGCCTCGACTAGGAGCATGACTACCCGCGACAATGTCCTGGCCTCGTCGCCCACCATCCACACTGCTCCCAGCAGCCACTCGCCCGGCAGCTGGCGCGGCCTCGACCAGCGCCGACTGAGCCCTTCTGCCAGCTCCATCTTCACCGAGGACCTTGACCACTGGCCGGGCTTCGACAGCCACGACTCCTTCGAGGACAGCGCCGTCGACCTGGAAGAGCAGGAAAGGCGGGACCGCTCCAAGTCTGGTACCGACACTGACGGCGGAGACGGCATGACGCCCACGGAGCGCTGGACCCGTGAGCGCAGCACTGGCAGTGACGACGAAGACGACCCATACTCGTCGGCCGCGCTCAGCAGACGGGCAGAAATCATTCTGGCAAACGCAAAGAAGCGGCTAAACGTACGCACCACCACCACCATCTCCCCTCCCCCCTCCCGCTGCAGAGCACCTCCCCATTGAGCCAATTGCTTACCATGAACAGGTTATGGAGGGAAATCTCCGGGGTGCACGAGAGTCATTGGTTGTGTCGCCCACCTTCAGCCCCAAAGCAAAGACCTCGGACCTCCCGCACCACATGGCAGCCAGCCGCGAGCGAGATCGAAGACTGTATGCTGGCATGGGCCCAATACCGCCACGCCTGCCCCCTTATCGACCGTCGCTACTGACGCCGAATGGCAATTCTGGCCATGCGCGCGGTTTGAGCGAAACCTCATTTACGCCTTCGTACATCACGAGAACCATATCGACCAAGCGCGCGTCCAGTGCATTCGGCCACACGACCGGGCCATGGGCTCCCGAGAGCTACGGTCAGGGGCGTTTTCCCATCAAAGAGTCGCGCAGCGTCGAGCAGCTCCGCGATCCACGGACTACCTGGACCACGTCGGAACGAGACCACGGCCCAAGGTCTACTTCCAGGTCCGCGTCGAGAAGCTCAAAGTCACCCCCCGTGTTGGAAACCTTGCGAGAAGACGAGGACGGGGCCAGGATACACCGGTCCACGTCTGCAGCTAGCGGTCTTCGCGACCAGATGAACGATCTCAGGGGAAGGATCTCCAGCCTTAAACTAAAGGCGCAAGAAGACCATCTCCGGCGACGCAGCATGCAAAGCCTGCGCGCTCCTAGTCCCTTTACCTCGGCCGACACATGGTATCCTGGGTCTCCCGGATATCAGTCTGAGAGCCCCATTTCCGCAAGCGCCGGACTAGGCATCTCTACGGAACCCCTCACTCGGACTGGGCTCTACCCCGAAACCCAGGATCGACCATTGACTGCCACGACTACTCCCTCACAAGCACACGGCGAGAAGCTGGTGACGCAAATCAAGGACCACAACAGCAGCAGCGATGGTTATTCGGAAACCGAGCCTGAAGGATCCGAGGCATACGAGGCGTCTGATGCGGGCGATGGGGACGACTATGTCTCGGTCTATGGCGAAGATGCAGGTGAGCCCGAGAGCGTGTACGAGGACGCAGTGTACGAGATGCCCACGACGGAGCGGCACGAGGACCGAGTCGACGCATTCGATTACCAGACGTTTTTCCTGCACAGCGCAATGGGGACGTACAGCCTGGAAGACCGTCGATCCAGCACCAGCTCGGGCACGTCGATTGCGACGACGCGGCCCATGACTGCTGTTCAGAATGGCGATATTACCGCGGCCGAGAAGAGACTCTCGTTTCACCAACGGAACCCGAGCGTGGATTCCGTGTCGACGGTAGCGACGTTTGCCACTGCAGCCGAAGAGCAGGACGACGACAACGAGCACGACAACGAGCAGATGGACCAGTTCTCGCAGCAGCTACTATCGAACCAGTCGCGGTCATTCACTCACCACGGTGGCCACAACGGCTACTTGTCGCTTCGGGCTGACTCGGCCATCAACATGCGGAGCGGCGGGGGCGCATCACCCCAGCCGTCGCTGCCCGTGGGGTCGCCTTCGTCTGCAGAGTTTGCCAACGGGCTCCAAACGTCCAAGATCTTTTCGATCCTGACCGAAGGGTCCCGAGACGAGCCGCGCATTGCGCTCAGCGAAGAAGAGACGCAGCTTGTGTACGGGGTTGCTGCCAGCATCCAGCACGTGTGCTCTCAGCTGCAAAGCACGTACGGGGAGGCATACGAGCGCAAGGCATGGCGGCGACGACTGGACGAAGCGCGCAAGATCCTCATGGGTGAGGACGCCGAAGACAGCCACGCCTACTGACGGGCTGGCTGCATCCACTCGCTTGAATTTCCTTTGGTTTCCCCTGGCTATACGTTAATGTCTAACTCGAAAGCTGCGACACAGCATACGTCGAACCCTGTTCCCCACGAACCTTAACTCGATATCATGTATAATTATTCACACCCCCCCCCCCGACTTTTTTTTTTTAAGGTCATTATTGTTTATTCTCTGTGGGCCATTGATTTGATGGCCGGACTTCGGTTTCACAATCGCTTTTATTCTCTTGGATTATTCTTTTTTTATTCTTACCCCTCCCCCTTACCTCCTTTTCTTGGGTGTTTTGGACAAGTGTTCGGCAAAGTTTCTTGCATCTCTTTTGGGGAGGTGACGACTATAGATAGCTTTCTTCTGATTCATGTGTATTGATACCCCGGGGCGGTGCGGCGGGGTTACGGGCTCCGGTGTAGTCGGTGGACGGTTTTTTTGGTGTTGTTGTTGCTTTTGTGGGTGCAAGTAGTGGTGGTAGGTGGTGGTAGGTGGTGGGGTGGGGTGGTATGGTGTGGTATGGCATGGCATGGCATGGTATGTAGTGGTAGTGGTAGCTCTAGAGGCCTGGGGCGGCTGTCAGGCGCGGCGGTAGGGCTAGCAAAGCAATGTAAAAAAGCGCGCGCGCCCGGACCAGCAGGCGGAAACGGCCAAAATAAACAAGAGAGAGGAAGAGAGGGAAAAAATGAGGGGTCGGCTCGTCGAGGGGGGGGGGAACGAGGGGCGTGGGCGTGGGCGTGGGCGACGAGGGGTGTGCGGCGCGGGAAACGGGTAGCGGGTGTAGGGGTGTGGCTGTATGTAGGTATCGTATGCGTCGAGCAGGGCAACGGACGGACGGCGAGAAAAAAAAAGGTGGCAATGGCCGTCTGGCTGGCACAGTCGAGTGGCAGAGGCGGATGCAGGGGGAAAAAGAGCGATTGCGCGATGCGGGCGGCAGAGTCAGGCAAGTTATGACGGCGCTGGGGGGGAGAAATTTGAGCGGCTTAGACCCGGGGTGCATACATGTCGACTGTCTTGTGCGAAGCAGTGTTGTCTGGCCATGTCTGTCTAGCAGCGACTCGCAGCCATGCATCCAGGCCGCGTGGGCCAATTGCCGAGGCTGCGGTGGGTATGCGGTGCTGCTGGCAGCCTTTGCAGGCACAGGTAGTAGGTGTACGCCTACTCGCATCCAACCCCCCCCCTCGCCCCCCAGGCCCAGCCTGCCCGCTAGCTGTACACCGCCAGTCCTCTTCAACAAGACCCCCCCGCCACCAGCATCCCATCGCCGACCGCGGCACAGCCTGCACCCACGCACGCTTACACCTACACACACGCACACACACACACACACACTTACACACACACCTACATTTCCATACGAGACGGCCGCCTGGCCAGCCGCCTGCACGGCCCTGTGCTGCGCTGCCATGCCATGCCATGCCATGCACTGCGCAGTGTCTGCTGTATCTACGGCGCGTGGGACGTGGACAACGCATAGCGTACTGTGGTTTGCATAACAACTCTGCTCTCTCGCCGCCTGCACCTGGCGCCCGTCGCCCGCACGTGCACGCGCCCGCCATGACATGACGGCCGGTTCGGTGGGGCTAGGGCTGTCAACCACCCACACACCCACACGACGCACGACTCACTCCCTCGCGCTAGAAGCTCAAGCTCTTCTTCCCGCCCATGTGCCTTCGTCACCCCCCCGCCGTCTCTCCGCTACGCCCCTTCTCGGCCCACGCCGCCCCTTCTCGTTGGCTGCCCTCGACACCGGTTCAGGCCCAACAGCTTGCGTTGCATGCATGCATACGTATAGAGAGTGTGTGTGTGACGAGGTGGATGAAACGCTGCGCAGGCTCCAACAGGCTTGGTGCGCCCAGCGGCGGCGGAGAGGCTATTCGACGCCCGTAGCCATTGGATTGGCCCTGCCCCAAAATACATCGACACCCACCCACCACACCACACCACACCACACCACACCACCACCACAAGAGTCCTTGTGACCACTTGCGACGCCTGCGCCCCTGCTGCCTCCCTTTGCTCGCTCGCTGCCCGCCCCCCGCGTCGCGTTTCTCTTGGACTTTGAATCGCAATCGCAGTCTTCTGTTGCGACTGCTCTGCTCTGCTCTGCTCCGCACTGCGCTGCGCTGCTGCACCAGTCTTGTTTTGGAGGGGGGCAACACCCTGGTGTTGTACCTGTTGCGTTGCGAATGCGGCTGTTGCCACACTGATAGTACTGCATACATACTCCCGCCATTACATACTGCCATAGCGAGCGCCCCAAGCGAGCGAGAGCCCCTGCAGCAACGTTACCGCGAGCCAAAGTCACGCTGCCCTGGTCCCGCGCCCACGCCCGCATCCTGCCTACATACACGACGACACCTGCCGCTCGCCTCTTGCGGTCTTGCACGAGCTCTCATGTGCCCACCTCCGCCGTGCTCCCTCCACTTGAGCCTCTCATATTCGCACAATGTCGCCTGCCACCTCTCGTCGCGCCGCCGCCGTCGCGCCATCCGCGAGACAAAAGACCCTGCTGGCTTCGACGACTGGATCGGCTGAAGCGGTGTGGGATACAACGGGTGCAATTTCACAATTCTACGCCGCTGGGCCGACAACCCGCTACAACGCGCGCGTCATGGCTGCATGGGAGTCTGGAAATGACTTTCCCATGGTCGAATGCATAGAGGGCTTCGAGTTTGCGCCGGACTCGCTGGAGCGCCGCGACTCTGGTTGTAGGAAATCAAAGAGCGACCATATCCCGGTATGACGACTGTGCTTTGTTTGGTCATTTGTCCGCATATCTTTTTTTGGTTCACAGTTTACCCCCCCATACTTCAATCTTGCACCCTTATCCACAATCCTCGCGCTCGTCAATTTTTGCTGGCCTTTGTTTTCGTTTCTTTTTTTTAATCTGCTCTAACTTGCATCTAGCCGAACGACCTCGCAATCCGATTGTCTGGTCTACTTTCAGGCGCATCCGTGCCCTCATCAGAACTATGGAACCCTTCAGCTCGGGCCTATGGTTCCCCGCCGCCCTCTTACGACGAGTCTATCGCAGATGCACCTCCAGACTACACCTCTACCGATGCGCTCGCGGCTGCGCAAACACCCAAACATTCTCCGTTTTCCTTCCTCGACGCCTCGCGGCGCGTCACCGCTCCCAAACGCCTGCGCATAAATAACAAGGGCTCACCTACTTCTTCCGTCTTCCGATTGGATGCGAAAGCGTCATACGTGGACATTGACTTTGGCTACTGTGAATCTGGCATCAAATCACACGCAAAGAAGACAAAAAAGACCGCAGCAAAGAAACCGGCAGCTGCTGCAGCTCCGGCAGATGACGGGAAGAAGGATGAAGTTACCGGCGGTGGCGACAACGGCGGTGACCCTCCCGCTGACGGTGGGGCTGCCGGTGGAGACGGTGGAGACGGAGACAAGGGCAAGAAGAAGTCGAAAAAGGAGAGAGAGGAAGAGGAGAGGTTGAAGAGAGAAGAGGAAGAGCGCCTCAAGAAAGAAGAAGAGGAGCGCCTGGCAAGGGAGGAAGAGGAGCGTCTGGCAAAGGAGGAAGAAGAGCGCCTTGCCAAGGAGGCCGAAGAAGAGGCCGAGCGCAAGAAGAAGGAAGAGGAAGAAGCTGCCGCTGCTGCAGCAGCAGTGGTTGCCGCCTCAGCAACTACACTTTCGATAACCAAAGCAACGGCTGATTTAAGTTGGGCGAATCCGAGCACAGATGAATGGGCCTCGTTCGGCGCGGGCGCTCCCGGCAAGAAGAAGAAGGGCAAAAAGGGGAAGGTCTGTGTCCCGTCTCTTTTCGTTATATGTCTCATCACGCTAACTCACGATAGGTTGCCGACGCTGCGCCCCCGCCTCCTCCTGATCCCCCAGCAGGACCACCAACAACATTCGACGACATCAACCTCGACGAAGGAAGCGCACCCAAAATTGACATGAATAACAGTGATACAAGCGCAACGAAGTCTGGTTTTAATCTCCCTGGTCTTAGCAGCTGGACCTCTGGCTGGGGCTCATCAAACAAATCAAACAGATCATCCGGTTGGGGCGGATTAATCGACAGTGCAAAGAATTCTCATACAGAGGCTGACAGCTCGTGGGACTCCTTGGATAAGAAAAAAAAGAACGACTCTAACGGATTCGACTTTGACTTTGACGCTCACAAGGCTCCCGCCGCTGCGGAGGAGAAGCCCGCCGAGGATGATGGCTGGGGGAGCTTAGGCGCGACCAAATCAAAGAAGACCAAGAAGGGAATCTTGATAGACGATAGCGTGCCTGAGGAGCCAGCTCCAGAACCTCCCAAGAAAGAGGAAGACGATGCCTGGGGGTCTTTTTCCTTTGGTAATGCCAAAGACAAGAAGAAGAAGAAAAAGGGTGTAGTGGAAGAGGAGCCTCTACCCGAACCTGAACCTGAGCCTGTCGTCGAACCTGAGCCTGAGCCGGTCAAGGAGGAGGACCCATGGGGCAGCTGGGATGGAGCTGCCGCTGGCGTTAAGAAGAAGAAGAAAGGTAAGAAAGGAGCAGAGGAACTACCGCCACCTCCTCCTCCTCCTCCTCCTCCTCCCCCAGAACCAGAGCCAGAACCGGAGCCTGCTGAGCCGGAGCCGGAGCCAGAGCCTCCGCAACCAGAGGCACCACCTGTTGATCCATTTGCTGGCCTCAGCAAGTCCCAGGCGAAGAAGCTCAAGATCAAGCTGGATAAAGAGGCTAAAGAGGCAAAGTTGCGGGAAGAGGAAGAGGCTAAACGGCTAAAGGAAGAGGAAGAGGCGGCCGAGCTCCAGCGTCAGCAGGAAGAGGAAGAGGCAGAGGCAGAACAGAGGCGCATAGAAGAGGAAGAGGCTGAGGCTCAGAGGATCGCAGAAGAAGAGGCTGCTGCTGCCGCTGCCGCCGCCGAAGCTGAGAAAAGCAAGAAGAAGGAAGACGACATCTGGGGCGACTGGGGTGCTGCGGCGCCGACGACCAAGAAGAAGAAGGGCAAGAAAGGTGCAAAGGAAGAGCTTCCGCCTCCACCTCCCCCACCTCCTCCTGAGCCTGAAGTCTTGGAGCCGGAACCTGTCGAGGAGAAGCCCGCTGACCCTTGGGATGACTGGGGTTCAGCAGCGCCTGTCAAAAAGACAAAGAAAGGCAAAAAGGGTGCTGCTGTCATTATTGAAGAGCCACCTCCAGCCGAGCCTGAACCCATTCCAGAGCCCGAGCCCGAGCCCGAGCCGATCCAAGAAGAGGCAACCGGTGACTGGGCCCTAAGCTCGATATGGGGCGGATCAAAGAAAAAGAAGAAGAGCAAAGCGGTAGAGCTGCAATCCTTTTCGCCACCAGAGCCGGAACCAGAGCCAGAGCCAGTTGAAGAAGCGCCGCCCGTTCAGGAGCCCGAAGATGTCGAGGAGCCCGAAGACAACGCCGACGACTGGGGCGCGCCATCCTGGAGCAAGAGGAAGAAGAAGGACCCCAGGAAGGATGTCCCGATTGAGGTACTGGAGGACACTACAACACCTGTCCAAAAGCCTGATGAAGAGGATCCTTGGGGAAGCGCCGCGTTCAACATTGGCAAAAAGGGCAAGAAAGGCAAGAAGGGTCTTGTGCCGCCAAATGTACCAACGCCTCCAGGAGAGTTTGATCTTCCACCGCCCAAAGAGATTGAAGCACCTCCGCCCGCAGAAGATGAGGACATTTGGGGCGCCGGCACTACTTCTTTGAAGAAAAAGAAGAAGAGGAGCGAGGCTGTAGAAAGCGCGCCCGCTGATGCCTTTGAAGGTCTCATCTCGCTCGATGACCCACCACCACCTCCTCCTCCCGAGGAACCCCTGGTAGTGGAAGAGGTGCTCGTCGAAGAGAAGCCTGTGGAAGAGAAGAAGAAGAGCAGCAAGAAGGACAAGGAAAGCAAGTCGGGCAGCATCTGGGGCTCTCTAAGTAGCTCTAAACCGCCCAAGAAGGAGACTTCGACTGAGAAACGAGCTCGCGAGAAGCGCGAAAAGAAAGAGCGAGAGGAGCAAGAGCGACTAGAGAGGGAGGCCGCTGAGCGAGAAGAGGAAGAGCGACTTGCGCGTGAAGCTGAGGAAGAGGCTGAGGCTGAGAGAGCTCGTATTGAAGCCGAGGAGGCAGAGGCGGCTCGAATTGCAGCAGAAGAGGCAGAGGCAGCACGCATCGCGGCCGAGGAGGAAGAGGAGAGAAGGATCAAGGAAGAGGAATCTGCAGCATCCAAGCTTGCTGGATGGGGCGCCAGTATCTGGGGGGGTTCCTCGAAAAAGAAGGAGTCTACGCGAGAGAGAAGGGCCCGGGAAAGGAGAGAGGAAGAAGAGCGTCTGGCAAAAGAGGCTGCTGAGCAAGCGGAAAGGGAACGTCTCGAACGCGAAGAAGAGGAACGCCTAGAGCAGGAACGCCTGGAACGCGAAGAGCAAGAGCGTTTGGAGCAGGAGCGCCGCGAGGCGGAAGAGGCTGCGCGTTTGGCTGCGATAGAGGAAATGGAGCGCCTAGAACGCGAAGCTAATGAGGCTGCCGATTTCGCCGACAGGGCTCAAGCAGACTTCGAAGAAGCTGCAAACAACGCTGTTCCCGAAGCCGAGCAATCCTCTGGATGGGGCTTTTCGGGTTTGCTCAAAAAGAAGGAGACTATTAAACAGAAGCGCGAGCGCGAGGCTAAGGAGAGAGCAGCAATTGAAGAGCGGGACAGACTCGAAGTTGTGTCGAGAGAAGCTATTCAAGCTGCTCGCACAGCCAGGCGACTGGCTGATGAAGCCAGGGAGCGGTTCGAGGAATCTGAAGCCACTCGTCTTGCTGCTGAAGCTGCGCGTCTTGCTGCCGAGGGAGAAGCTGTTCCTGAGCCTGAAGCTGAGGCTGAACCTGAACCAGAAGCTGAACCTGAACCAGAAGCTGAACCAGAGCCTGAACCTGAACCTGAGGTTGAACCTGAGCCTGAACCTGAGCCGGAGGTCGAACCTGAACCTGAACCTGAACCTGAACCTGAGCCCGAGCCCGAAGCTGAGCCTGAGCCTGTGCCTGAGCCTGAACCCGAGCCCGAGCCTGTTGTCGTGGTTCGCGAGAAGAAGAAGAAAAAGAAGAGAGGCATCGTGGTCGAAGAAGCTCCTCCTCCACCGCCTCCGCCGCCTCCTCCACCTCCTGAAGAACCCACAAACGACGATGAATTGTTCGATCTTGTCAGCGAGGAAGATGCGAACGAGCTTTTGGTTGAGCTTGAGAAACCTACCAGGAAGGAAGAGAAGGCGGCGGCAGCGGCGATTGCAGGCGGCTGGGGTAGTGCTTGGGGCATTTCTCTCCGAAAGACCAAGATCGATCCTCAGAAGGTGGACATGCCTGTACCACGTGCTTCAATCTATGTACCTGAACCGGAACCTGAGGTTGAGCCTGAACCTGAACCGGAGCCCGGGCCCGAAGCAGAACCTGAACCAGAGCCCGAGCCCGAGCCAGAACCTGAAGTTGAGCCAGAACCTGAACCTGAACCGGAGCCTGTCATCGAGGAGCCACCTCCAAAGAAGCTGTCAAAAGAAGAGCGAAGGTTGCTCAAAAAGTCCAAAAAGAGTCGACATGCTGAGCCAGCGCCGGAACCGGTGCCAGAGCCTGAGCCTGTAAAGCCTGAGCCTGAGCCTGAACCGGAACCTGAACCTGAACCTGAACCTGAACCTCCAGTGGTCGAGGTTATCGAGGTGCCTCCTAAGAAACTATCCAAAGAGGAGAGAAGGCTTCTTAAGAAATCTAAAAAGAGTCGACATGTTGAGCCGGAGCCTGAGCCGATCCCAGAGCCAGTGCTTGTAGAGCCTGAACCTGAGCTTGAACCCGAGCCTGAACCAGAAGCTGAACCCGAGCCTGAGCCAAGCCCGCCTGCCATAGGCGCATTTCCTGATGACGATGACTTCATGGACTTTGTCGATGCGCCTCCACCGCCTGAGGTAGTTGAACCTGAGCCCGAGCCAGAACCGGAACCGGAACCTGAGCCTGAACCCGCTCCTGCGCCTGTTCCGAGCATTCTTCAAGAGCTCAAGAAGCTCAAAAAGTCCAAGAAGGGCGGCAAATCGAGAGGGCTGTCTTTCGTTGACCTTCCTCCACCGCCCCCGCCAGTGCCGGAAGAGCCTGAGCCTGAACCTGAACCTGAGCCTGAACCTGAACCTGAGCCTGAACCTGAACCAGAGGTTGAACCAGAGCCCGAGCCCGAGCCTGAGCCCGAGCCTGAAGTCGAGCCGGAACCAGAGCCGGAACCGGAACCAGAGCCTGAGCCCGAGCCTGAGCCAGAACCTGTCATAGTGGTTCGTGAGAAAAAGTCCAAAAAGTCCAAGAAGAGCAGCAAGACAAAGGCAGCGCCTCCACCTCCACCTCCAGAGCCTGAGCCTGAGCCTGAGCCTGAGCCCGAACCTGAAGCAGAGCCCGAGCCAGAGTTGATCATTGAAGAGCCGCCCGAGGAGGTAGAGGCACTGGATGATGAAGACGCCGCTCCACCAGAGGAAGACGATGCTCCGCCAGAAGATGATGATGTGCCAGCCAAACTTCCCACTCCACCCCCAGAACCTGTGCCAGAGCCCAAGCCAATTTCTCCAAAGAAGGAGCGCAACAGAGTTCGCAGTGGAACTACGTCTGGAGGATGGGGTGGCATGTTCGGTGCCTCCAAGCCCAAAAAGCGCACAACATCCGGTGGTGAGGATGGCATTGTCAAGCCTGATGCGACACGCACAAAGTCGCATCGACGAACATCTGAAGCCAAGGAAGTTGATATGAAGTCACGGTCATCAGGGTCTGACAAGGCGAACGCAGCAAGGCCAACAGTGTCACGTTCCAAGACTGCCCGCGCTTCTACAGGGTTTGGTGGCATGTTTGGCGTTGCTCCGCCCCCACCAACACGCTCCAAGTCACATCGCATTTCAGGAACGAAGGAATCTTCACGCCGACATGCTGCGGATCAAGACGCCGCCATGATGTCGCCGCCACAGACTGACACTGATGCAAAAGTGTCCTCCAAGGCGGCAAGGGTCATGGGCGAGAAGATTTCGTCACGCAGGACTAGTACGAGGGACAACAGAGACAAGGGTAGGACTCGAGGTAAGTCGCTTCCGATTAGCCACAATGCGCCTGTCATTGGCTGGCCCAGTTATATACAAACGTACAGAGCTGACTGCGTGACTCTTGTTCCAGACCCGTATCCAATGGACGATGACCATGACCTCGATGACGAATCCCCTCCCCCTGCTCCTCGTCCAGAGCATTCGCGTCGCAAATCCAAACGAGATTCCGCACAACCCCTCGAACCATTGACTGCACCGCCTAGCGCAGACGATCCTATTGTTGTGGACGCCATGGAGGACCTTGCCCCGATTGAGCCTGAGCGACCCCGCCGTGAGCGCGAGCGGGACCGGGAGCGACCTCGTCGCGCGCGCGGCAACTCTGATGCCATAGGCACACTTGCCGGCGTCGCAGGTACTGCTGCTGCTGTAAAGGGCTTCAAAGGTATGTTTGGGCTTGGTCGCAAGAAGGCAGCCGCACCTGAAGAGCCACCCCGCGAACGCGAACGCCGTCGCACCGCCTACGAGACCGAAGACGAGCGCAAGCGCCGCAAGCGATCTACCACACGCGGTGGAGTTACCGACGATGAAGCCAAGCGACTGCGACACGAGCGCCGCAGTTTGCGCACTCCGCGCGGTCATGATGAAGAAGTCATGATGTCTGGTGCCAACGGCGGGGCCAGTGGTAGCGCCGACTACGATGCCGAGCGGGAAGCGCGACGTGCCGAGCGTAGGGCGAAACGTGACGCCGAGAAAGAGGCTCGTCGTGCGGAAATGGAAGAAGCAGAGGCTAAGGCTGAACGGCGCCGGGAGCGCGAGCGTGAGAATGAGCGCGCGGCTCTGGCTGAGAAGAAGGCTCGCCAAATGGCCGAGTTGGAACGTCGCAACAAAGAGGCTGAAGAGCAACTGCGTCGCATGGCAGAAAAGGAAGAACGGCGAAAGGCACGAGGCGAGCGCAAGCCGACCGATGAGCGGGATCGCGAGAAGCGTTCATCGCGTCGCAAAGAAAAGGGCCGCGAAGAAGGTCGCCCCAAGACTGAACGCCGCCGAACATACATGGACGAAGACGAAGACCGCCGCCGTCGTCATGAAGAACGCCGTGCTGCTCGACGCAACTCTGAATACCCCGTCCAGGCCAGCGGCGAGCCCATCACCGACTACTTTGACGAGCGCAACGGCAGCGGCCACAGGTCCAAGCGCCGCAGCTCGCGTCAAGCGCGGGAAGAAGAAAACATGCCGTACCTCAACAACAAGAGCGGCGACAAGACATCATCATGGGTGGAATCGTTCTCCAACGAGCCGCCCCTGCCTCCCCCGATTTCCGAGACGGTACTCGACCCGGCGCCCGGCGCCGACGGCCACATTGACGAAGAAGAAGAAACGCAATCCCAAGACGAAGACATCCGCCTACGCATCGCAGGCCGCCGTGGCCCCAAGCGCGACAAGGAGCGCGCCGAGCGCCGCAAAGCAGAGGAGAAAGAGCGCGAGCGCGACAGAGCGTACAAGCACAGCGGCCGTCGCGCAACAAACTACGACGCCGTTCGCCCCGTCGAAGAAGACCGCGACCGCAAACGCAACCCCAGACGCTCCAGCTATGCGCCCGCCTACGAAGAGCCGCCCGTCAGAACGTGGGATGGCAGACCGGCTGTCGAGGGCGGGGCCCCGCCTGTCAAGAGGGGAAGTTGGTTCAAGAAGATTGCTGGCTTCTAGACCATGTAAAATGAAGAAATATGTGAAAAGAAAACTATTTGTAGGTGTTATGTGGGGGTGGGTGGCATCTTGCCTTGCTTTTTTTTTCTCCAGCACTATTTGCATCACTACGACGTTGGTTTTTTTTTCCCCATGACCTTGGTTGTTGTCCATGGGAGGGAGGGAGGGAGGGAGAGAGGGATTCCATGGGCATCATGATGAAGATGAAGATGATGAAGATGAAAAAAACGTGTATCATGGTTATGGTTATGGCTTTGGCTTTGGCTTTGGCAAATGTTGGATTTCCATGTCGGCGCGGCAAAATCTTTTTTGCATGTTATGGTTTTTTTTTCTATTTTGGTTTATCCTCCTCCTCTTCCTCCTTCTCCTCCTTCTCTTGGGGTCTATCTTTTTTTTTCTTTTCTTTTCTCCTAATGCACCCCCTTTTTTTTTTCTTGCATCGCGTAGGCGTTTTCTTTCTATTCTTCCTCTTCCTCTTTCTCTTCTTCTTCTTCTTCTTCTTCTTCGCCCTCATTGTTTTTACACAAATTCAAATTCAAATTTAAATTTAAATCTTACCAAAGCATATCTTCATCTTTATCTATTTTACCCTTTTTTTTCCCCCAACTTTTTGTAAGTTAGACTTTATACGTTTATTACTACTACTACTACTACTACTACTACTACTACTACTACTACTACTACTACCATCATTATCTTTATTTTCGGTTTTAAAAATCGAATCATATTCAATTTAACAATGGTTCTTTCGATTGAATTCACTTTGGTTTTAATATAGGTGGCTTCTTCTTGTTGTTGTCGCTTGGTATGTATGTATGTAGGTATGTATGTATGTTTGAGTAATACTCTCTCTCTCTCTGTTGATTTTTAAGCGGAAGGGGCCTTTTGTAGAGTTTAATGAATAGTTACTTATTCATCATTTACTGCATGTACGTGTTTTTCTTGTTTATAATGGTGTATCCTGTCTGCTTGTTCGTGTATCGTCATCCGTGTGTAGTCTGTAGTGGAGTGAAGTGGAGTGGACTGGTTGTATGAAGATGAAAAAGTAATGGAGAATACTAGTGTATGCATATCCCTTCACCCGTTGAGCAAATAATCTAAACCACTTTTCAACACGTATACATTTTCGGTTGTAAAAAAGAAAAAATCTGAATTACCTCATCGTCTCGGTTGGTGGTATATCAGTTAGTTTGTGGTTGTTGTACACCCAGCCATGACGCCCTTAGCGCCGAACCCATGCCAAGTCGTCGACATAATGCCCCAAACCCCCTTTCATAGCCCGGTCCTAATGTATACATCTTTGTTTTGTTGGTCTATAAATGTGGTTCAAAGCGACCGTTTACAGGCCCATCCGTCATAGCTGCTGTCCTGCCGCGCCCTGAGCACCCTCCTGAAGCTCCATGTCGTCATCGTCATCGTCGTCTTCTAGTTCCTCGTCCTCTTCCTCGAAGCCAGTCTCCATTTTCAGCGCCTTCAGTCGGTCTTTCATCTCGTCCTTCTTTTCCGCTTGCCACCGTGACAGCGCTGCTGCAGAATGCACCTTGAAGCCGAAGACGCGGGGCTCGTACCGTCGCTGGGATTTCGGAGGAAGCATAGCGGGATAGACTTGGAAGAGGATGTTGTGGAACGAGGTGCCAAAGTATGCACCGTCAATAATTGCGTGACGCGACGACTTGGGGTTGTATAGGTCTTCGCAGCGGGCGCAGTAGAGCTTTACGGGCGAGGCGTTGGGCACGTCGGACTGACCCATGGGAAGGAGAGGCTGCGATTCGCACATTACGCGTGGGCATTTGCCAAAGTCGGACTTTTTGAACTTTTCAAGCTGTTGTATATTGTGTCAGCAACAGGCTGGTAGCGGTACGAGAGTGCACAAGACACGTACCATCTTTGCCAGACCCCTAGTCGTGACAATGTACCTTGCGTGCACCAGACCGTATAGATGCCGCGCCGACTTCTCAATCTGTTCGCGCATATCATCGTCGCAGTCAAAGTCGAAGACGTCGGTTACGAGGTCCAGGGCATATTGGTAGTACTGGACTTCGGTGTTCAGGCCCGTGAGGTTGAAGCGGTCGGTGAGGTATTCTTCGTCAATCTCGCAAAAGTACTCGTTTCCTCGTGAGGATATGAACTGCGCAGAGGGTTAGCCTGCGTCGGAGCGGATATGCATTGTCTCTACGTCTTGACGGTTCCGCAAAAAGTCCAGCCACCAGCGAGACCTGAGAAGCATACGCCAGTCCCACTGCTCAACAAAGACATCGTTGTGCATGTCGTCCAGGGGGTGATGGCACTGGTACGCAGCGAGGTAGCCCTTGAGAGCGCAAGACATGCTGGCGCAAGGTCAGACACGGCCTGGCAGCGAAGGGCAGGCAGCTGGAGCATACCATGCGAAGAGCAGTTTGTGCCATCCATCATCACCCTGAACATTCTTGATAACCATGGCGGGCAGACAAGTATCACGTCGGGCAAAGAATAGTAAAGCTGAGAGTTGAGTAAGTGTGTGTACGTACCCAATCACGCCAGTAGCTCGTGTAGTCGCTGTCCGTCTCGCTATTGAAGTCGTCCATGATGCGCTTGCTGTTGGCTTGTGCTGGGGGAGGAGCGGGTGCGTGAATGTGCTGCGTGTAGGATGCGACCACCAGCGAGGTGGGGCAGTGCGATGAGGCGCGAGCTCGGGTCGGGACGCGGGTTGCGGTTGGGGTGTGAATTGCGCGCCCGCCTAGCGGATGTGCATCCCGCTCTGAGTCTTTGTTTCTCCGCTCCGGGCGCGCTAGTCGTCCTGATCCCTTAGCGGCCCCCAGACTTGCCCCACTTCAGTTTGCGCTGCATTGCATGCAATGCTTCCCATGTTCAGAACTATATCAAAACATGTCCATGACTCGAAATGCTCAATACAGCTGCACTTTCACGCATGGATCGTGACCATCGCATTTTGAGGTGGGGTAACCACGATATATTAAAGCACTCTCAACGGCCCGCGCGGGTGCAGAGGGTGAAGAATGTATTCAATCCCATCTAAGATGATCGATTGTCCTCCTGATGTGCTGCGCGCCCAAAGCCTGGCAACCCTGGGAATTGGCGCAATCCCCCCTCCCCCCATGTAACTGGACCATGTCTTCGACCCAAGAGTGCCGGTCATTGTGCCATTTCTCTTGTCGCAACTCGCTCTTCTTCACCAGGTCTAGCAACGACTGTGAATTCCTGCCACCTCCATACACCTCTGTCTTCAGTGCTGTTTTGACCAGACGCTTCCAGTCCTTGGCCTCTAACTCAATGTTGAAGCCCATGGGACAGTCGGGCGTGCCCGTGTGTAGATGAAGCAGAGCAGGATTGGTATCGCCAATCCGGTATGGCTTCTTCTGTCCTGTTTCCTCGAGGCGAGCCGCTTCGCGATCAATCCCTATCAGCACTTTATTGAAGCGCTCGGTTATTGCTTTCATCAACGAGACAATGGACTGGACATTTTGGATTGCGCAGAAGGGGTCCTTGGGGCACTGCGGACAAGCGATGATGTCTGCGAGGGCGGACATGGCTTTCCTCAAGGGTATGACGACCTGGGGGAAGTCGAATGATGTGACGGCTTGTAGCTCAGTCAGTGTTAGCCATGTTGTTGTCAGACAGGCGCATGGTCCTTCAATGTGTTGGCTTGACGGAGACTCAGCCACGTTGTCAGCTAAGAGGTCAGGCGGGAGGTCCCACAGCGATGGGTCGACTGGCAGATCAAAATTCGACCTGAACTATTTAGCATATGCCGAGCACGTTCAGTATCAGGTCACATACGCAAAGTCTTGGCCAGGAGATATCCCGAACTGACCAGGAAACGTGAAGTCAAATTGCCCGGGAGTAACCGCTTCATGAACCGACGAATGGCTGGAAGAGTATGCATTCTGAAGCGATGGCGCAGAAACCAGGCTATCGAAACTGGGATAGTTTGGAAGGTCAGGGACAGTGTTCAAGGTGTTGGCATATCCGTCATGCGCTTCCGTGAGCGGCCCTGTGGATTCGTCCGCCTCACCTTCCCTCCTTTTTTTCCGCGGACGGCCCATCTGTTTTTGGGGCGAGTAGAAGCAGACCATCTTTTCTTTCTTGCAGCGCACACATGCTGGCGTGTCGCCGGAGCATTTGAGCTTTCGCGTGCCTAGGAATTATTGAGACTGGTGTGGCCGAGGTGGGAGCCTGGCTCGAGGTACTCACGGCACTCGTCGCAGGCGGCGTGAAGCTTTTCGGCGGGTCGCACTGCTGCTTGCGCTTGGGCCATGATACAACGTCACTGAGGGTTAGCTGGACAAAGGAGGCAGGGTATGGGGTAGCGGAGTTGGGTGGTGCTATTTTGTGCTGGTGCCGTGGCTCGCGGTATGGCGGATGGAGCGCCAAGGCCAAGGCGAGGGAGGCTACAGGATAGGCCTCGCTCCACGTGCTTTCACATGCACATCACTGCAGAGGCCCGCCCCACTTGATGACGGTATGGAAACGGTGCACTACTACACTAAGTATTGTATGCGTGCACGCCGATGGCATGCAGAGGGAGAGTTGTCCCCAGAGCGCGGCTAGTGTAGGCGTAGCGAGGCCTCATGATTTGGAGTAGTGCAGTCACGACTCTTAGTCAACAGGGCAACAGGCAGCTATCCGCGGCCGTATGGGGCCTAGGCAGGCTGGATGGGGGACCCGCGGTGAAGGGCGGGCTTTGCTGTTCAGCAGTCGGCATTGTCGCCGGGCAGCCAACACAGCACCGGCGCGGGCGGCGATTGGACGGGCGGGCAGCGCGTTGGGTGGCTGATTACCGAGGGGGCGTATCGATAAGGCCCGAGTGCCCGCCGCTACCTGGCGTCTGACGCGTTGGACACGGCAAGACAGCCAGACAGACAGCCAGCACGCCGACAGCAGCCAGGCAGGCAATTGTTCCACGTCTCCCTTCACCGCTCTCCCGAAACCTTGTGCGCGCGCAACCGCCCAAGATGTGCCGCGTCACGCGCAGAAGCCGCCTTATCGCCCGCCGGCGGTGCCGTCGTGGTGCAGTTGACAGCAGCGTACCGCGCCTCTGCTAATCTGCCGTCGATGGAAAAGGGCGCAGCAGCTAAGCCCGGCTACTATGGAATGCCTTTGTAATATGCTCCACCCGTTGCAGCGCCAGGCCGCCATGGGGCCCCGGGCACATGTAACATGCTGCACGCCCTATTGATAGCGGCGCACAAATGCTGATGCCTGAAATTCGGCGGCCGCGGGCGCGAGCCCGTAGCAGTAGTGCAGGCAGAGGCCGCGGTCGAGGCTGAGGGCGGCGGCGGCGGCGGTGCAGCTGGCCGGTATCAGTATCGGTGTCGTCGAGCAGGGCGCGCGGCATGATTGGGAGAGCGAGAGAGAGAGAGACGGCCCAGCACACACGAGACGAGTGAAAGCTGAGGCCTCATTAGCCGGATGCGGGCCTAGGGCTGATGGCACAGAAAGTGCCGCCGGCCGTCGCCATTGGCGGGCGTGCGTTGCAGGCCCATTGGCGCTGCTGCACGTCTTGTGAGTCACAGGTCGGCCCTTCGTGATGCCGCGCTCGCTTCGCAGCACTTTTTAATCCCCCCACACCCCTCGCTGCCTAAATTTCCTCTCTCTCACCACCCATCCAACCACACCACACACGCATACATACAAGAGACAGTCACGAACCATGGCTGCCTTTTAGCTTCTCCCCGCGTCTCGCAGTCGACTCACAGTCGCCACCTTGGATCCCGCCACCATACCCACTCCCACCCCCTCCATTCCAACCACTACTCCAGAGTCTTCCTTTTTGGAACCTCTGAACTCAAGTCTCGCCTCGTGCAGCTTCAGTTCGCCGTCTTCCTCCCCGTTCGACTTCACGTCGTCCACCACGGCTTCCCAACAGTCAACATGGCTTTCCTCACCAGCTCCTCACGCCTCTCGGCAACCATTGAATACGAGTCAACCTCCATTCGCTCGTCGACAGACGGACTTTGTGCTCTACGACCAACCCGCTCAGGTCCCTCCACGGCCTCCGCGAGCACCCAACGCTCCTCAGCCTACGTTTAACAACGGCCAGCACTTTTACGCCAATTCTGCTCCCGCTTCCACGACAGAATTCCAACAGCCCCGGTTACGCCAGCGTCCCCCCGTCCCCCTGTTCTCCAGCTCTAGCAACAACATCATTCCACAACAACAGCACAACGTCGCAAACATGGCAGGTACGGTGCATGCTACCCACGTCCTCGGCCTCGAGCTCACGTTGCCCGCAGACTTGAATAGCAACAACTCCTTTGACTCGGGCGCAAGCCTGATGTCCAACTTCAATAACGGAGGCTTTTCTCTGGACCACGTGTCTGCGTTCACGGCCATCAACGATCATTCTGTTGCCGCCGGGTCCACGCGCACCGTGTCCCCCAAGGACATCTTCAATGATGGCTTTGGGTCTGCGCCACCATCTACGGCGCTTACAAACCTTACCTCTCCTGATATCGGTGACTCTCCCTTCATCAACGATAGCTTCGAGTGCTCCCCCATGTTCAACGGCGAGCCCAACATGACCGACACAAGCGACTGGTTCTCCCTGTTCCCCGAGCAGGAGACCAAGATTCCTGATGCCGTCTACGCGCCTGCCATTTCGATGCCTTTGGAGCGCACCATCAGCAGCCAGTCCATGGAGCGATCTGCTTCGTCCAGCACCGGCTCCCCCATCGTTTTGGACAACTACACTCGAAGGAAGTCATCCGTCACAAACTCTCCTGCTACCAACGGCATTAGCAAGTCTCGTCGCCGAAAGGGCCCTCTACCGAGCATCACGGTCGACCCCAATGACAAGGTTGCTATGAAGCGGGCGCGCAACACGCTTGCCGCTCGTGAGTCTCGACAGCGGAAGTTTGATCATGTCAGCACCCTTGAGCAACGCAACTCGGAGCTCATGGCTGAGGTCGAAAAATGGAAGAGCATTGCTATGGCTCATGGATACAGCGGACAGTAAATGTCCTCGTCTCTCTCAAATGGTCCCCCAGTGGTCGTAAGGAGCTGGTGAAGAACCAGCCCTGCCTTTCGGCAAAAATTTTCCTTTCTGGTCGCCCTCTGCGACCTTTCCTTTTACCCCATGGTTCGTGTTTACGCGATTTGGTCTTATTGGTTATGCCGGTGTGCAGTCTCCCCTTGATGGTTTAGATTGACTCCGCCTGGTGTGTGTGTGGTAATGTGTCGGTGGTGTTGATGTACTTGAGGTTTTGTTTTTGAGCAATCTCCTTGATACCGAAGCTGAGATGATCTCCTTATAAAACAATTTTGTTTATCAATGACTCCCACTTTGAATTTGCCACGGTGATGCCTAGTCTTGTATGACTCTTGCCTGGTGTGACTGTACTGGACATGGTTGGGTGCTGTGACACATTGAGCTCTGCGTGAGCTGGCGAAGCCTTGCATGCCTCACATTTTCTGTAGTTATCTGTTTCACATACATAAGAACATGGAAAAAATATAACATGTTTTCATTCGAATTGAATTATGCTATCCTGATGCTTTCAATCTATGCCTTTATGCTCGTATAGGTTTTACCACTACCCTACGTAAGGTGTAAGAACCTCACATATCATAATCTCAGCTAAACTCGAACGATTGCTTGTACCACTGAATCAATATTTAAAGACCTTGGCTATAGTCAAGGCTGATCGCGACAAAGTTCGAAGCTCGAAGAACGCGGCCCACACCAGGTAAAGGCGACAAGCGAAATATATGTGGATGAGAAGCGAAACCAGAATGCCTATGAGTGGTATGGTCTTGATCCCGAGTAGAAAGAGGCCGATCGGGAGGAATGAAACATACATGGATGCGCCTCTCCATGCTTGTTGGTGTCGAACATCCTCAAACTCGTGGTTCCATACGGAAGCGTGCAAGAGGCCAAACAAGACGCTTACAACAAGCAGAACACAACTCTGGTACAGGTTTCCCGACAGCAGACTTTCGAATCTGTTTTTTTTTGACCCTTGGCAACAGATACGGCTCCGTCCCGCGGTTCAGCAGGCATTCTTCCAACCCCCACTTGAGAGCAGCTTGGCGGGCAAGCCTCAGGCATTCAACCTGGTGCTCTTCCAAGAGTATAGGTTTTAGCCGGCGCGTTCCGTCCTTTTGTTTCTACCCAAAGTATCGAAAGCCGAAGAGAATCTGACCGGGAGCAAGACTGATTGTTCCATCGGGGGAGATCTGCGCGCATAAGTCTTGGTCGTCGCTGTCTGACTTCTTAAAGGCGAACTCTGGCCACCAGACATCGCTTTTCCAGAGTGTATGCGCGGAACAAAGCACTAGAAAGGCGGCGAGAGGATAGGAAACACCACTGACAATGACAAACGGTCGGTCGACGTCCAGTGGCTTTCGCCACCAAATGATTAGCGTCATAATGGTCAATGCTACATGGATGGATGTGGTCGACTCCAGCAGCGGTACAGCAAGTCCTAGCTCGACTCGTGTCATGACTCGGATGAGAAACCATCCGAGAGATACGCAGTGCAAAAACTTGCCGAAATTGTTGCTTTTGCTTTTGTCCTTGATGTCCTTGACATCGATGTCTGGTATAATCGAAGGGTCTATGCTGGCGATACATTCCAGCCCCCGCGCGGTTATTGCTAGAACCTTGGTATCTTTCGGAAAAACAGAAATCACTCCATCATCGACGCCGAATCCGTATCCGCCCATATGGGCAAGGAATCCATGAGTAAGACTGAATTCATGCTTCGGGTTCCAGATTCCCCTCGTTTCTGGATCTTTGTCGCTGATTCTTATTAGCCAATATGCTTGTGGGTTAAAAGATTTCACTTACTGTTTACTTGAAGGTTTCCGGAAAAGGCCAAACTGTTGGATCTTCTTGATCAATCTTGCCATGTAACAGTTCAGTAGAGGGTGGGGGCCTGTCTGCCCCAGACGTTTGCGGATCAACCTCGTTGTATGGACCGCCTCTGCAACCTCACAAAGCGCCAAGATCAACACTGCCTCTGGGAATATCGTTGTTAGAATGATGTTTGCTATGCTTCGTAAAAGGACAGATCGGAATGCTTCTCTGAACACGGGCAGAGATGGGTATGTCGTCAGGTGTGCACACATGATCATGGTGTAGATGCAGTGCACTGCAATCATCACTCCGTTTCGCGTCCGCTCACAGGAGTCTTCTGCAGCTTTGTGCATTGTAGTTGACATATTGAATGGCTGTTTTGAGCGATTGTCGAAAAAGTATATTATAACGATGTTCGCGGTGAGGAATGATGAGTGCAGGAGAGTGGACGCAGGAAGACCATAATAAATAGTGTGCTTACCAGGGAAGCCTCAACACTAGTCAATTTGCGCCCGCCTAACTATATGAGAGGCGATGTGGCTAAGAAAGCGCAAGCGCGAGCGCTTAGTAGCAGGTATGTTGGTACAAGGGAAAGGGGCGGTGACTGGATGCAGTCGCCACACCTACTTGTGCATTTCGACGTTAGAACCTAAATGATGCACCTATGTGCGATTATTCAATCTTAAGGACTTCACTCATATGTTTGATAAGGGAGCTTCTGATATACCGCTGTTATAATACGCAACGGTGTGTATTCTAATCTATCTATTCGCCCAATCCGCGTGTATATATTACTAGGGTTCTTTCTGAATAGTGGTACTATTACTACTACAACTATTTTCGTACAATGTTTGTGCAGAATTTTATCTATCACCGCTCTGATAGGACACAATAATTTGCGCAGACAGTGAACCGTGGTAAGATGCAAACCTCAGCCATGAAAATTAGCGGGGCAGTCACTCGAGTGACTACTTAAGCCGCATGTTCTTGCACATGTTCCGCACACCAGCTACTTTCATATTCCATACAGGAGATTCCCCTCAGAAAACAGGTTACGCTATTCGGAACAAAAAAGCACACAACAGTACGCTGTCCCACTCCTCTAGCGACTTGATATCTAATTTACTGTCCAGGTCTACAACCGCACTATTTCCTGGACTGAAACCCCTATCACGATAGCCATGTGTCTCAAGAAGCCAAGAACCAAGAAGCCAAGAACCAAGAAGACAGGCACCAAGAATCCAAATACCAACGAGGTACACATATCCGAAACTCGATGCGAAAGGGGTAGCGTGGAACACGTTGGGCACTACTATGAAGATCTATCACCACCAAAAGCTACTCGGTGGGAGTACTTAAGAGAAAAGGCATTATACGTTCTGTATGTATGTGGACAGGTACCTCACTAGGTACTACTCCTAGTAGCGAAGTCCGGAAGTGGTGGTGAACGTGCCTAGCTTTTCCAGGTACTGCCTCATAGATCATCGACTTAGGCATGGTTCCACTCTCCCATCGCTAAATTAGTGGAGGGTCAGAGAGGAGTATGGGGGGCCCAAGGCAATTGAATAACGCAGAGAAGCATATGATTCTGACATCCTCCCTTAATTATCTACACTATGCGTTGGTGTTAGTACACTACTTAGTAATGCATAAGTGCATGCTGCCTTCGTTTGAATTTGTCTTATGATCATGAAATGACGCACCAGACTTTCTCAGAATAACCGGCATCGATTGAGAACTTCCTGTACCCAGAGCATTGATAAGAAAATCGGTTTGAGTTGGTAGAAAAGTAATCTCTGGACTGCCAAGACACCGATATGACTAGTGTAGGGAAGGAATGTGAAAGCACGGTCCCTTCTTGACCAGCGCTATCGCGCAGCCGATTTTCAGCACTCACAAGCAACAGTATACTATCACGCAACTATCTCGACAAAAACGATCAAAAGTTCCACCATTAGAACTCCAACCATGCTGGCTGTCCCATTGACTGTGCGCAGCCATGGTCGCATCACATAGCATAACATTCAATGAAAATCGCACAAAGCTCATGAGTCTTCTCGGGTTTAGCCAGGAAGAAAATTTCTACGAATGGCGCCAATCCGAGTACTTTCTCTCAGCCTGGGACACATTCCAAAACGAGTTCATCCCCTCCTATGACTTAGCAGAAGAGATAGCATCATACACGACTAAAGACATCCTTGAATACATCGGAAACATGCCTGAAAACTACTTTACGCGGTTCGACTCTCCTGATATTATTGACGGACCGTTTGAATGGTGCATTTGGACGGTATCTCTTCTTATCCGGCTCAACTCAGATTGGCCCAAAGGCGCACCGAATCTCAGATACAAAGTATGCGACATGAAAATTCAGAGCATTGACCAAGCGAAGTCCAATGCTATATACGATACGGACCGAAAGTACCGTTACGATATCATGCTAGAGGTTGTTGACCACGAAGTCCGCTTTGCGAACGATATCGAGAAGGACATTGCCCGTCTGACACGCGCATTGAAGATCCCTTGTTCGACTGACGTATCCAAATACCCGGATGTAGGACTTGTGGAAATATTCTGGGAGAATGGGTTTGATTTTGTGGAGACGGAGGCAGAGAGACGCTGCATAATCAATGGTATATGCGGAAACACTATGAGCACTTTCGTCGATAGAGTTCGGGAAATCTTCAGGCTCAAGGAACGCAAGCAGACTATTGTGGCCCTCGGCATGGTCAGTGAATGGGGAACAGTGGACTACCACAGCTTCTCTCTTTTGCGGACCCAGAGACTCTCGATCAAAGCGAATGGGCAACGATCTTTCCGCCTTTTGACGAAGCAAATCCCCGAAGTGGCGTGCGTCGGAGGGCAATTTTCGGTGAATGATTGAAGAACAGATGTGTTTACTATGGTTTCGCAGTGCGTCAGGAAAGACATGTACATTTCATGTTTGAAAGAAAAACCAATGATAGTGATAGCTTGATTTGGTGGTGTATTTATAGTTGTATGGAAATAATTCTCGCATGAACTGTATAGGAACTTAATGCATCTCACTTCGTGTGTCGTATTTTCCTAGGTTTACTATGCATAAGTTGTTCCCAGAGTCAAGCAGTGTTTCACTGTAAGAATGAATTAGATGTTTTTTCTTTTTAATCAGTTTTAATTTTTTGTTCAGCTTAAAAATTTATAGGTGCACACACTGAGTTACATTTTGAGGGTGATGTCGAGTGCAGACAATATACTTAGCTTGCCAAGGCTGACATTTCCCTGCGTCCAATCAATCGATATCGCATCAGGTTGAACAATCAGAGATAACTGCCTTAGATATCTGCTTGGGATATTGTTAAGGGTTTTATAGCCTTTTCAGAGATCTAGTGACTAGATCTATAGTTTCTCGATCAGAGGGATAGTTTTGCAGGTATACGTGTCAAATATCTTTGTAGTTGAGGCTGGTAAGACAGTTTAGGCACAGTCATCGTCGAGGGTGGCTCTGGAATGAACTTACTGCTGTTTCACTCTTCTACAAGAAAGCGTCCCTATTGATATGTTTCAAGAGGGTTCAACTTATTGAAAGTAAATACAAATAAACATTCCTACAGCCCGTAACGGAGCTGAAAAGGGGTGCAGTCTTAGCTGTTGTTCTAGCCGTTCCGGCCGTTCCGGCTACTCTAGCTGCCCAGGCTATACTAGCTGCTCTGCTATACTAGCGTTCTGGTTGCTCTCGCGATTCTGGCGTTCTGGCGTTCGTCGCGTCTCACCCAAGACGGAGATTTCTAACATCTTGGCAAAGCCTTTTAACGGGCAATAAGCGTTAATTCTGCCGACGAAGTCTTGCATTTTGAGCCTCTAGTTATGGGAAAACACGACTAAGCTAAACACGTGACTGATTTTAATATGCAGCTAAAGCTGCAATTACTACTACTAGCTCTTTCTGTATATAGGTTTACCTTAATAGTTAGTTATACTCAGGGAACCTTCTCTAATTCTTTAGCTTGTGGCTGCGCACAATTCTGAAGTTTAGTGTCCTTACTATCTAACCACGGAAGCTACTACCAGTCGACCAGTGAGCCTTACTCCTGCACGCTTGCCGCTCGCCAACATTTGATTTTTAATGGAAGGTATTTGGTTCGAGCGGTTAGCTAATACTAGGAAATGGCAGCTGGTAGGATATCAGCTACCCTGCCAAAGCGCGTTCTTTGGCTGTCCTATGGCTTGGCACTATGACGTTGCGCTTATACTAAAATTACTGCGAGACAGAGGACAAGTCTTCTACTTAAGTTCACGGCAATCATTCCTCAAGCCTCATCCACATCAAGGCACCTCGCAACTACCAAAAAAGCGCATTTCCCACACAATGAAGAGACGCGCTTCCGATAGCGATATCGGGAAGGCACTGGATCGCCGTGCCTTCAGAAGCGCTGCTGCACTTAGCATGTGCATACCATCATGGAAGCCACCGTCTCCGAAGCCAACTTTGTCCAAACAAGCACTGTGCTTGGTTGACCTACCGAACCTTCAGCATCCCGCTAAACATCCCTCCTCCACGCATGTCTTGCAGTATACCTCTAAGCATACTTGGGAATTCATCAGACACTGGCTAGACAACAGTGGACCTAACTACGAGCCACATACAATGGCTCCTCAAACACCTCGAAGCACTCTCGCTAGTGAGCGGCACGGTTCAAGACGCCACAGATATACTCCAGACAGTCAGGCATCTGTTCGCTTCAAGACACCGCCTCCGCAAACATATCGAAATCGGAACATGAAACTTGCTAGCATCTACGTCGACCAAGTAATTGAGCTGCCACCTAAGATTGATGACTACATACGACACATTCTTGGGATCACGTCATGGAAAGACCCAGTGACAGCCCCAAACGAACTTCAAATGCATCCTCGTTTCACCAAGCTAGCGGATGAATTTTTGGCACGTTCAAGACAGGACGCCTCCCGGTGTGTGCTTGAGGCCGAGTGGCAGTCAAGCCTGCATCATATTGTCAGAACCATGGCCGAATCGTTGAAAGGTGCGGTTCAAATAAACATGTCTGAGAAGAGTGAGATTACTGAGCGTATTCAAGAGGTTGTCATGTGGAATACTAATTCTACGTTGTAGTTTGGAATGCAGATCTAAAACCGAAGCCGGCACCCCTCATGCTACAGAACGAAGCCCAGGACGGAAGACAAACCCCCACCTTCGAACAAGCGCAAACCGCTTCCCCCCAAATCGATCTAGGTCTCGACATGGTTACTGACCTTGATTGTTCTGAGTTAATGTCGCCACCTTCACATTCCGAATCAGCTGTCTCATCCACCAGTACTAATGTGGCAAACCCATACCATATCAGAACACCAAAACCAGACATTACGATCGGACTAGCAGATGATGCGTTCACACCACAGCAACAGGGGCTACTTGTCAGTCACCAGGCATACAAGTCAATCTTGAGCGATCCTTACGCAGCTGAAATGGGCTTCCGGTTTCCGTTCATGATTGTAGAGACAAAGGGCTTGAGCGAAAAGGGAACTCTCATAAGCGCTCAGAACCAAGCCGCCGTTGGCGGTGCTTGCATGCTGAAGATTCTGAAGGATCTAACTAACCAAGCTGCACGCAGCACAGATCTTCACCCAAAACAAGAATCTCCGCCAACAACACTAGCAGAGCTGTCTCCCGCGCCGACGTTATGTTTCTCTGTCGTGACTGAAGGGCCTGAGCACGAGCTGTGGGTGCATTTTGAGCGCGAAGACAGGTTCTACATGCACCATCTTGAGACGTGGCGCACTACAAAGAAATCTCATGTGGAGGAGCTTGTGAACTGGCTAGGCCGGATAATCGAATGGGGCAAAGGAGAATTCAAAGAGGGCATTGTTGAGAAACTGGGTCGAGTGCCAGAGGTACCGAACACATGAGTAACTGCGAACAGATGCTCTAGTATCACTAGGTAACATCTCTATGGTCTGCTGCATTTGTACGCGCAAAGCTTCTTCGAGCAATTAAAGAAGGGATAAAACGTATGCACAGCTATTCGAATTTATAAGACGAGGATCCATTCACTGAATTTTGAACTTTGATTCATATTGCTAACTGATCCTGGGTCCCTTGGGAGCTGACCAAATTCCTTCTCCGATACCATACCAAGTACTTCTTGAATAACCCTAAACCCACAATGGCTCCAATCTTCCTGCTACCTCGGAATACCTCTTAGGTTTTGTCGCCTCGCGAAGTGAAACTATGTCTCCTTCCAGTTCTTGACCAAGAAGTGTTTGCTGAATGTGTAGTAAAAGGGTATCAGGATCAAGAACAGGAAGTTCCAGGCCAACGACAGCGGGGTCATTGGCGGGGTAAAGACGCCCGTCGTGCTTTACGTAGTCACCCAATATTCTATCCTCATCGTTTGAATCCTCATCGCTGCCCCATATCTCCAAGTCGAGCTGAGTCAGAAGAGCTGGAAGGCTCTTAAGCAAAGATATTGCGGCCTGTTGTGTGTTGAATGAGTTCGCATTCCGCAAGCAGATATGGCGACACCATCTCGTTGCACCTTTTCGTCGAACTCTACCAATGCCCTGTTGTCGAACGCCCTCACTTGGAGCAGGCTCAAATTCGATGATTGTACGGCAGTTGTTTTGCATATTGATACCGGCGCAGGAGACCATCCAAGAGCAGATAAGAATCATAGTCTTGTCTGGTTTGTTGCGGAAGTCCTTCATGAGCTCATCGCGTTCGCTTCCTTTTAGGTCTGCTCGAAGTTGATGTGCGTCTAATCCACACAACTGTAGTACCTAGATCCGTCTATATTAGACAAGGAATTTGATGGAAGGCTGAAAAATACTTACACACCAGAGCCACTCCATTTGTGCTGGGGTGTTGCACCAAATGACAGCCTTTTCTTTCAACAAGACGACTATCTCAGCGAGAAGACCGAGAAGCGATCGGAGTTTTGGGGAACCTGTACAATGGGCTTGAAGAATTGACTGGATGTCCTCCTTTGACGGTACCTTGATGCATTTCTCTTCCGGGATGTTTGCTCTCTTCTGGCCAGCTCGAAGATCTTTGAGAATGGTAGTCGCATTTCCGTTTGTCTGCCGGAATTTCTTCAAAAAGGGAGCCTTGTAGTGCAGAAGGTAGGAGAAGCCGAGCCATGTAGACATGAGACACAACCTTCGGTATGTCGTCGTACTCCACATAAGCTTGGTCTCATCTTTGGCTTTTCTTACCAACCTGTTGGAGGTATCCATATAGGCAGCCTCATAATGCGCTCTTTCTTCAGGTGTATAATCACAATCGATGGTCAACCTTTGGAACTCAGGCAAAGTGTCCCCAATGCGCTTTCCACCAATGGAAGAGGCAAAGCTTCTTCGGATCATGATTTTACTGAGAACTTCCATCATACGAGTGCCCTGTTCGGCAGCTGTATAGCCCGAATCAAACACATATTGCTTCAGCGCCTGCGAACAGAACTTCAGCTGACTTCGTTGGTCATCATCATCCACTGACCAGGGATCAAATCTGGAGAGAACATCATCCAACGGATTGTCCACGGCGACGTCCTGGAAGCCTAAGGAAGTTAGATACGTGTGGTCATTGAGACCAGGATTTTGCATGAAAGCCATGATGCCCATAAACTCGTCGAGACCATTGAGTGTGGGAGTTCCAGTAATGACATCTCGATAATCAGCTTGTAGCCACTGAACAGCAGCGCCAACATTCTTCGGCATGTGTCGTATCAAGTGACCTTCATCGATTATGGCACGCTGCATCAAGCCCTGTAGCTGACCATCCCAGCTCATATCCGCCGACTGAGGATTGAAATTGGCGCGCACATAATTCTTTGCTTCCGAGAGGCGCATCCCATCTGCCTCACATTGACTGATGTGAAACTTTCTCTGCGCGGAGGGACCATGTCGTGCTGCCCATGTGGTGTAAGTAGAAAGAATAATAGTGTCAAAGTTCTTTTCATCGCTGGTGTTAAAGTACTCCGAACTCCTGTTGAGTTTGCCTTTGTGATAAATCACATTTTCTTCACTGGTCTTTATGGCTGTACCGTAGTAGACAACGACTCGAAATCGATCCGTGAACTTCAGAATCTCGTCCTTCCATTGAGTAACAAGTCCAGCCGGCATCAAAACCAAGGTTGGTTTTGCCGGACCAACGGTCTCTTTCTTCTCGAGGCGTCTGCGGCGTTGATTGGATCGAAACAAGAGAAGACCGAGCATTTCCAATGTTTTCCCTAGTCCTGGATCGTCTCCTAGAAGACCTGAGTGTGTTTTGGAGTTCTCAAAGTCAACCATGGCTTTGATTGCAGTTGGTTGGTAGAATTCTAGTTCGAAGGGAGCCCGGAGGCCGTCGATTCGAGGATGATCGGGATCCTCAATGCCTAAGAAACTGCATGCGTCTTCATGGTCTTGTCGCTGATACAACGGGTTATCCAGCCATGAAGTCTGCTTTCTGTACTCGTCCACTTCTTCTTGTGTGATTGGTTGGTAATCGGTCGGTGGTGGTGTGGGGTCTTTGGAAGAATATTGTTCGTTATCTTCCTCTTCTTGGCCTGACATTTTCTTGTTGAGCTTTCGCAAATCGTAACTGTACTAGAAATCTAAGTTAGTATTACCATTGCATTATGTTTGATTTTTGTCTCCCATTTACCTGAATGGCTTGATCAAGCACTTCCTCGTCGGTCAACTTCAGGACGACTTCGTCCATTTGGACTGCGGCTTCCGTCTTTGAAAGTGTGTACATCATATTGAATTGCCAAAGGCGCACATTCATGTTCATGCGATCTGCACCCTGTTCACGCGCTTCAGTGACCATAGCTGAATAGGCCAAAGACCTGTTCTCAGCCTCCTTGTCTGGGTCTTGCAGACTCTCGGGTGTTTTGATTGCAGCGTTAGGTGGTTCCTGTGGGGGTTCCTGTTGTTTCACCTCTGTTGTCTTGATCATCACCGCCACTTTGCCGTTCTTGGATGCTTCTGACTGAGCTTCCAAGAAGCTCAGGTCCTCTCCCATGGTGAGAGAGAGGAGTTGGTGGCCCCACTCTTTAAGGCTTAACCGTTCGACGACTTCTCTCTTGAAGTCGTCGAGGGTGTAGGACTGGAAGTCCTGCACCAGAGCTGTCGTCGGGACACCTTTTGTCAGCATTTCAATTGGCGGTGTTATCCAAAACACCGCCGCCAGTCCAGATTTGTGTTTCTGGCTATTGTCTTCCGACGAACCAGCACGTTTGCTGTTTGATCTTCTTTCGTGTTCCTTGGAGCTTGATCGCTTGGTGGAGACCGAGACATTACCTGACATTTTGGCGTCTCAAATGGTTACGCGGTGTTGTCTTGATCGTATACCGTGCGAGACGCTTGTGGAATGTGTACGTGGCGGAGTCGGATACAAGAAGCAAAAGCTAGCCAGAGCGCCACAAGACCTGTGCCGACTAAGAGACCTACTGGAATGGAGCAGGGGAGGTTTTAGACGAGAAAATTGTGCAAAGCTTTTTTAACCTGCGTGAAAAGGGACGTGGCTGGTGGTTTGTATTGCGGTCGATACGAGAGAAGTGTAGGTTTATTGCTAGCAACTCAGTATAGAATTCTGCAAGTGAGAGAGCTCGGTTGTGTTCTGTGCTAAATCTCGCAAACGCTCGTGGCGTATGATCTATCTGCTGGATTTCTATACGGAGAAGTGAATGCAGCAATGGATAGGGCAGCTGAGACTAATTCCTGGATACCCAACGCGCTGTATAAGAGCCAATCAATTCATACCCCAACTTAATACAAAAACTAAATTATTGCTTTTCATAGAATAAACTCCTCTAGTGAACGGATATGGAATATGGTATTGTGGTCTGAGCCGGGTCGCGCGCCAAGCACTGCGATCGAGAAGGTGTATTCAACGCAACCTAGTAAGTCTCATTCCATGTCAGTTACCCCACCAAACATTTATACAGTATAGCCTACCGCCCTAGTTCTACCACTCACGACTGTCGCCGCTCGGTCAAGCGTACTATCGAGCATTCTCAAAGAACAGTGAAGCCTGCTACCCAGTCCAACTCGCCTGCTCCAGTCCAACTCGCCTGTTCTCACCCACAACATCACTTCACAATACAGGATCCTACTCATACCAAAGTCGTCTCCACATCACTCTTAATCATGGACAACAATAACTCACGGCTGCTATACAACATATACTGCAAAGCGTTGCTAGTCTTACATTTCCCAAAAAGCACCGTAGAGACATTTACGCGCATCCAAGACCAGTGGAGCCAGAATACCGATAAGGATGAGATAGATGTCGCCGTCGCCAAGATTATTTCAGTTGGAGCATCTCATGAAGACTGGTATGGTGTCTGTCGAATCCTAATAGCTTGCGATCCCAAAAGCGAGCAGACCGAGAATATTCCGTTTCCAAAGCACGGCACGCCTGACTTCAACATGGATCAGTCATGGATGTTATATTCTCATTGTGCGGAAGAAGGATCAGATTTGGTGCGGCTATCTTGGAAGCGGTTCGACTACGCTTTGCGATACGATGCGCCCGATATACAGCAAAAACTTTCCCGTCATCAGAGGGGAGATTCCCCGATTCATGACCCCGTGCAGAACCCAAAAGCGACTTCGAATAAAAAACCACATCCGAAGCCGACGAATTCGATGCAGAGCTTGCAACCTTGCCGACAAATGAGCAAACGAGCTCCGGTCTGTATCGCATTGAAAGCACATGCTTTCTCAATTCCATTATCCAGATCATTGCCGCCACCCGTGGTATCGATGAAGTCATCTCGAAAACGGAAATGAGCGCTTCACCCACGATCCTATCCAGATTGGTTCAAGCTATGTATACAGGCGACGGTACATCTTGCGAGAAACTTCGACGATTCATAGCTCAAATTCGGGTTTGGAGCAAGAAACCACTCGGACAAACTGGTGATGATGACACAGATGAATACACGAGAACACTTCAGGCTAGAGAATTCAGTGGAGCCTCGCAACAGCAGTGTGAAAATCCATTCGTATTTTTAGTGCAATTCTGCTGGCCACGATTAGAACAACTTTTCACGTTAATCAACACATACGATTGTGACGTATGCCAGAAGTGTGGCAAAGTCAATCGGGGCAATCATTTTCATACTCACACCCTACGCCTGTTATTTCCCGATAAAATTCATTCCACCAAACGCTATCCGGTAAAGGATCTCTTACCTTGTAACGTGTCTAGCAAAATATGCTGTGGCCAAAATATGGACACCCAGACATTGATGGAGAACATGCCTGAAATATTTTCAGTCATTGTTCAGCGTATTAAAGTGACAAATCAGGTCTTCAAGCCTAAGCAAGCTTCTTCAAGTGGTGACGGAGAACCAACCAAGGACAATACGAGGAAATCAGAAGAATCCAAGGACACAACGGATAGTCAGTCAAATAGGAAGAAGGGCCAGAAATCAAAGGAAACCAAAGGTACAACGGATACGAAATTCGCTACGAAGAAGATACGTGGACGTGTAGTTATTCCCAAAGGCAGGTTCGAGTGGCCGCAACCTATTCTCTCAGATATAGAGAATACGCCTACATGTGAGGTATACGGTGTGGTAGTACACATAGGAGAGGGGACAGATTCTGGTCATTGGGTTACGTACATCAAAGAGGAAAACACGCCATCTAAGATGCGATGTTGGACCGAGTATAACGACTCTTTAAAAAAGATCAATCTGACCGATGAAGACATCAAGGTAGGCCGACTATTGATGCGCAGGAAATTGCCTACTGCTAATTAAATCACACAGGATCGAGATATTGTGATGCTTTACTTCAGGAAGGTTGCGGTAAAGGAATGACCTAGTCTTATCATCGATGAGCTTGAAACAGATCAGGTGTAGAGCATGTGAGAAATGGATGAGGCAAAAACTGTGGAACATCAAAGTTACTTAAAACTTTCAAGACTCGGTTTTCTACCCCGCAGCATCAATGAGATAATGCCAGTTTTCTGTGCTAATCACATCGAATGGAAGATATCTAGTGACTAGGCAGACTCATTCCATCATCTCCAAGTTGAATCATCATTATATATCTATGTTCAGCCCAGCCGTTTTTGAATAAGTACTGTTCAGCAGATAATGAGTGGCTCTAGTGGGGCGATAGGCTCTGTAGCCACTGCAAATAGTCGATATGTGGGTGCTACACCAGTAAAAGGGTCTCGTATCCTATCGTATCCAAGAGAAATGTTACCAGGCGAACTTTCCGAAACCTCTCTCTGAAAAAGGAGAGTGAACGGACTAGGAAGTGGCTCGCAGTATACACCTTTTGGTAGCCTTAACCAGTGTCTTTCTGGCTGCCGTGGATGTGGGTAGCGATGTTCATTCGGGATAATACCGAGGATGGTACCAGGTGTTATTGCGGTAGCAACTGTAAGGAATTCCATGCTTTCGTGCTTGACACAAAGGAGATTGTGGTATTGCAGTTCGCGTCCGTATAGGGAATTTATCCGAAGTATCTCCTCATCATCCGTGTTCTCGATGTGCTCCGAAAACCCGATGGTACGCGTATAATTCCTAGCCTCTTCGAAAGAGTGCCAATGCGTTTGACTGATGGTGAACCATTCATCTTTTGATCCTGGAAAATTTGTAACCTTGAAGAACTCTTTGAGTCGTGCAGACATTGGGGTTTTTTCGGGGACGAATGGAAAGTGCTGAATGTTTTCCATGTAAGCTCCGAATATCGCCACGATCTGCTGAGCTTTTTGCTGATTTTTTTTGTCTCTTCGGCAAAGCACCAGTTCAGTGAAGCTGATCGGAAGAGATAAATGATGTTGTACTGGTTGTTCCGTAGAGTATCAAGGAATACCAACAAACGACGAGCGGTAGCGGCACTTGAAATGGTGTCTCTCAAAGCTTTGTACTTGTCAGTGCCTAACAGTTGCTCAATATCTCTAGCTGTGGGATTTCCATTGCCCTTCTGCTTCAGGGCTTTCTCCAAGATTTCAATCCCGAACGCTTGATAAAACCTTCGGCGAACTTTTGTGTCATCTTCGCAATGTACCAAGTCTGTCAGCTGCTCCATCGCCGTAACCCCGTCCGGCCAAAGACTGTCAAGCTCATCCACCTTGATTGACGTAAAATTGAGAGATTTTCCGTCTTTGAAGTATTTGACTGCTGCATCAATTGTCTGCTTTACGGCTTTAAAATCTCTTTGGTCCATAGAATATCTTTCGGCAGACATCCTCATCTTCCCCTCCATAGCATTCTTCAATCGCTCGGGTGGTAAATCCAGACTCCATCTCATGAGACCACCAATTGGGAATGCTTGACCGCGCCATGCTGTAAGTCTGCCTAGTTTGTTTGGGGGGGTGTCGTTCATTTCAGGGATCCAGTAGGAACGATACATAATCCGGTTCGCCATAGTGATCGAGACTGTAACAAGACGAAGGTTTGGAAGAGTGAGTAGCAGTGGCGGCAGAATTCAGAGTCATAGTCAGTGTGGAAGTAGCGAGGCTGGCGCCTTGAGCCCGTTTAGGCTTAGCACTGCTCGATTTTATCTCCTTCACTCTCCTTCACCTTGCCGTCTCCATGTTCATATGTACAAGCTGAGCGAGTGAGCAGCTTTTCTTTCTCATCACCTCAACTGCACAATGGATCTTCAGGATATGGAATCTGTTAGTAACAGACATGATTACCCTACGGACGAAGAGAATACGACAACACAGTCAGTACATGGCATCAAACCGAATGCTGCTAGCGATGAATCGCACCCGACGAACGTTAAACCAGCCAAAACATACGCACATACTTCGGATCAAGACATCTCACGCTACAAAGACGATTGCGAAATGACGGTCCATCGCCAAGAAAACAGTCTCCACACGTTCCGCGTATGGTACGATGAGCTAGCAGCGATCGAACCGCAAATTAAGCCTTCAAGCATCGAACGGAATGTTATAAACACAGTGAATGATTATACTTGGAAACCCTGGGCACCGGAAGCATCTTTTACATCGGTAGGCAAAGTTATAGGTCACTTGAAGGATGTATTTCTGATGATGAAACGTAGGAGCCCGATTACGACAGCTCGCTCAACATTACACAAGAAGATTGGATTCAGTTCATGGAACGACTCTTTTCCGCAGAGACTCTGCCATTGGATATAACTCTTTTGATGCAAAGAATCTGGCCAATCTACAACATTGCTGCATCTGAAGACAAAGTGGGTCGACTAGGTTTCACTGTCCAAGCCGCAGCAGCTGATATATCGTTGCTCAAACGCGTCATGGAACAAGTACTTCACGATGAGCGATCCTGGCCTGCATTTCCATTAAGCGCTCGTGATCGTTTGGATGACAAAGTGGTGGAGGAGAGCATTTCGTTAGAAGACTGCAAATCCTGGAATGGCTACGAGAAAGACCTTGGAATTCTAATGCGCACGGTCTCTCGTGGAGTGACTCACAACCCTGCATCAATAGAGAGGTGGCAGGAGGCCTACCGCATAAGAAAGGTCAAGAATGAGGAGGAAGTACAGTCAACGCAGCAGCAAATAGAGTAATCAAGTTAGGATGATATCATCCGTCGTCATGAAAAATGCACTCGTGCATGTCTCAACATAGCGAATTGAATGTTTTTTTTTGCAAATCTACGTGAAACGCTGATTAACAGGACTTCACCTGTGAAGTTGTAGGTATCGGCTCCCTGGTCTGCTCTCACTTCCCGCGGCTGCTAGTCACTGTATCTACGCCCTATAATTCCCTCACACTCAAAATTTAACCCACTCTCTTACATCCAAACAACACACAACATCATGGCGCTCGAAAAGAAGAATACAATAGTCGTCGGCAAGCACCGCAAGCTCCTAATCTATACAGCTGCTGCCATGAGACTGGAGGTGGACATGAAGTTGTATGACACTATGGCCTCAAGCAGAAAGCCGGAAGTACAGTACACTTTGATCCAACTAAGAGAGTTGCTACCTCAGGCTATCGGAGACATCAGTAAAGACGATTTCAAAAACCAGATACCGACACATCTTTTCGGGGAGAGCATCAACAAAACGTTCAAAGGCAAGACAGTGCAGCAAGTCCTGGAGATGGCAAGAGATCTCCAGAAATCGCTGAGCTTGCTGGTGCAGCAGTATCCGATAGATCAAGATCCAACCTGGTATAGGCAGTATTATGGGATGGAGTTTCGATCGATGGCCGTCACAGCGGTTCCGGTTGGCTTTCTTCCTGCGAAGCCTAATGAGATACACCACATCTTAGTGTACGCGCGAGCGGACACAAAAGACAATATAACATTTGTTGACTCTGTTCATCGGCATGTCCGCATTCAGGATATATATTTCTTTGGAAAGGCTCGCGAATTGGATTATGTCAGTGAAGCCAAATATCGTCGCGATGTTGGCATGGTACGTACACTTCCTTAGAGGAAAGTCAGTTCGCTCATTCTCACATCAACAGGCTTTATCGCGCATGCACCGAATGAACCCCGCCCCTGCAAGCTTCGCCGAGATTGACATGGTTCGTAATGATCTACGGAGAGTGCCTGTGCTGGTCAAGGAAATCAAGATACGCGGTGAACTTGGCAATATTTCAAACCAAGAGATGGAATTCTACCAAGAGCGGCGCAATGACCTTCGCGGAAGCGTCTTAGGGATAGTTCAGCCTTTCTTGAGAGTTATCGAGGGCGACGAGCGCGCCTTCCTCGCGTTAATCGTCAGATCTATGGCGATACTCAGAGGCATTATGGATACTAGTGAGGAGGCGGCAACTCGAATTTCCAGTGGTTCGACCGACCGTTGGCTGTGGATTACCATGCGGCAGGCAGTGAATCTGACACACGCTGAGCCGACGTTTCGAGTATGGCATACGCAGGATGACTGGATCAAGTGGGCTATTGAAGAAGCAAACCCAACATCTGGGTCGGAAGACAGTTTTTTTTTTGGGGAATTCGTCTACCATCATCCCCATCGACAGATGGAACGATATCATGACCTTATGTCCAGCCGCCGCTTCTGAACCGTTTCAGACCCCGACAGACTCTAGACGCACCCTTCTTCTTGGGTACTTGTCTTACCAATATGCACCTAACCCCACGAGCAAACGAGTATTCCGGCGATTAGAGCCCATATGGACCACGAGTTATGTCAAATGTATGCAAGAGCTATACCCTTCCACAGTCAAGCATAGGCCTCCCCCAGTGGTGAGCCAGATTCCGGAGACTATACCGCCTCTAAAGAATGGTAACCTCGACCGTGACTTCATGACGACGCATTACAACAACCTAGTCAGTATATATGCGGATGGACGACCTGAAGGTGCACTTTACATAATCTTAAATCTTCTTCACGAGATACACAACGCAGTTTTGAAAGGTAACCAAAGCCGATTTGGGTATCTAGTCTCACTCTACAATAAGTGGTCAGAAAATGGGAGCCTGGAAGTAAGCATGGGCACACATGGCTTGACACACGCGCATGAAGAGCAGCTACGCAACGATTACTTGAGGAGCCAAAACAAGCTTCCGCTTGGAACTTCTGTTTACACTCATGAGTCACCAAAGGAGGCCTTACGTAGGCGCGCTGGCAAGAAATTGCGAGATAACCGGATCAGGATGGACCCTACGACCTACGAGCTTTTAGACAAAGACGGAAGGCATCCGGTGCCTACCGATCCAAGTCATGGATTGGGTCTAGGTGCTCTTACGAATGAAAAATCTGAGCACTAATGGAAAATATCGAATACACAGGAGGCATATTTGGAATCATTCTTGTATTTGAACTACTATTCGTCTCCAACAGACTCTGCAATATGCACAACGCATCTCAGTCTTTTTCCATCGGTCCATTAATTTGAAGTGATCCCTGTTGCATATGATATTGCCAATATTCACTAACTCTTCTTTCTTTTTCTACCAATTTGCATACCCGAGTTGGTGGCTTCCCTTGCTCTTCTGACTAGAGACACGATGCCCAGATGTCGTAATGTCTCTATCCAATTTGACCATCCTCATCTAGCTTAAACCATTTCCTGTTGCCCCTCAATCTGTTTGCATATGCTCGTCAAGGTGTTGTTGTTCGCTCGAAGATATCGACAGCCCTTCCATAGCCAGTTTGGCCATGTATTCGTCGACCATATGCTTGATCTCGCGGTACTGGATGCTTTTCTCTCCGAAAGTTGCTCGGACATTGCGTAGAGACGTCTGGAGCTGCAATGCATTAGTCATTCATGGGGCCAGAGTCGCGATGTGAATCGTGGAAGAAGACACCAAGTAGTCGGTGCAAGAATTGATGGTGGGGTTTCAAACACGCCCTTTACTTCTTCGCCATGGTATTAGGAATTAGGCTTTAGCATATCCAGGAATGGATCTGGTATCGCCTGGTTGTGTGAAAGTTGACGTACAGAGAGCAAGAGATTGTCTGGTTGAAAGGGCATATTCGTGCATGCGGTCAGGTGGTCCAGTTACTTTGAACACGCTCTTGGAAAAAGGAAGAAGGGACCGGCAATAGCTGAACTGGAAGGGTAAGTTCTCTAGCACAAAGGTTTTTTTATGGAGATCCAGACACTATCTTCGCACTGCAGTCGGGGAGATTGTGTAAATCCCTCAACAACTGTACAGCGAATGTGATGTGTGCCCCTCCACCAGCTGTGTCCATGATTAAGTAGAAAATTGGAGGGGCATTCGGCAGCCCCGCGCTTACCGACCACCAAATCGATATCTAGATTTTAATAACACAACAAAGTCCAGTGGTCACATGGAGCGGCTAACGTAGGCACCTAATCCCAAGCTCGTGATAGCGCTCCTAGCCCGAACGTAAATGAGGATTCCAACCCGTCGCGCAAGGCGCGGCAGCGTTGCGAGACCGGTACAGAGCTAGCGACAGGGTCTCCACACACACAGTTCTTTTCGACAATATATTAATACAATGATTCTATTATTACCATCACCATTAATTAATTAGGCAAGATGGCCGAGTGGTCTAAGGCGCTGCGTTTAGGTTCGTTCTAAACATCCTCCGCAGTCTTCACGGGCGTGGGTGTAAGTTATTCTGCCTGCATCCTTCTAGGCAGTTCACTAATGGCATTCAGTCGAATCCCACTCTTGTCAACATCATCTTTTTTGGATTTTTTTTTGCACTTCTCCGGGGACGTAACCCACAGTCCTTGTCTCTAGAGCTATTCAAATGTAACATTTTTATCATGAATATTTTTTTGATGCAAAGAGTGATAAGTATTATTATAGATTTAATACATGTCTTAACAAATGACAGCAGACGCGGATAACTTCAAGGATATTTCCCTTTGAATAGGCATCTCAACTTTTGAACCTACACGAGCTACGGCTCGAATAGTAACAAAACATTAAATAGAATCGATCAATGAACAAATGATAGGCTCCTACCACCTATCGGATTCACAGATAGAGATTTTCCGTAGCTAAAGTATTGATAGTAGCCTTGATTGCATCGGGAAGCAACATTTTGTGAGAATTTGATCTGTCCATTGATCTGAATTTTGCGGAGACTGAAGTTCCAAGTATAGTGAACAAAAAGCATGGGAAATATTGATCAAGCAGGTTGCATTTTTGGCATGACTACACATGGACCAGAGTGGTGCGACACAAGGGATCGTCTCCAGCATCATCTAGATCTGGGTACCGTACCTACGTTCCATCCACCTCTCGAATTCGATGTCCTTGTCCACGTCAGTTTTGGGAGGCTCATCGTCTGATGATGCATATACGACTGATGAATAATACTCCCAGTCTGCCGCATCCATATCATAGTCGTCCGAGTCGTCCTCTGCCTCTTCCCCACCTCCCACATCTTTCTCATCTCCCGCATCCTTTTTATCTCCCGCCTCTCCACTCATCATCTCGATCTCCTTAGATTCTTCCTTGATTTCCCCTGTCATAGTTGAAGCTGCTTCAGCTTCCTCCATGCTGGCCTTGATTTTTCTTTGGTACAGGTCGAAAAGTAGCTTTTCGGTGACCAAGTGCCGAACTTCTGGAGATACCTTCCTTCTGATACCTTCCAGCCACACCGCTTTTTGGTCATCGTTCATTGCTGTTATAATGTCACTGAAGTCTCCCGTGTCGGTCAGATGCTCTCTTTGAAGTTCTTGGGAGTACGTCATTAGTGAGCATGTCACAGGTTTTTTTTCGATTTCCAATTTTTGAAATCGCGAAAAAAAGTCATCCTCGCCCTCTGCTTGTCCTACCACGGGTTACTACAAATTCCTATGTTGAAGTGGCATTTACTGTACCTTTTTCTGACTTCTTCAAAAGCTTGTCTCGGGCCTTCTCCACTCTCATCTTGGTCTTTTCATCGACACTGAACATGCGAACGACTTTCTCTGGATCGCCCAGCTCCATTTTGTTCAAGGCAGAACAGAACTCATCCATGCCTCTTTGGTACGTCGTGATGTCGTCTGGATCCTCGAGTGCTATTACGCCCTTTCTCCTGTCCCTGATGTCCTTGTGCTTGATCTGTGAAACAAACTCCGCAAGATCAGGCCGAGATCGTTGTTTGCATACCTTCTCCAGGCTGTGTATAGAATCCGGTGCGACCAACACCTGTGATGGAATAGATGAGAAATCTTCGACCATCACGGGCCTGGAACTTGTCGCCCCCAATACTGCAGCGCTATTATCTTGACTATGAGTCCATGTCGCCCTCTCACTTTCGTATTCGGTTTGACATCTCTGGTCGTTCTTTTGGGTGTCTTCTTGTGCTTCGGTCGGGTCATACTTGGGAGCCTTGCCTTTGCCGCTTTCGAGCGCGTTCTGAGGCAGCCGTTTCATTGTCGTAGTGGTGCTTAAGCAGTCTTTCGTATGTTCAAAGTAAGTAATGGGAATTGTGAGTAAGCGTCGGTAAGGGTAAGTGACAAGCTATTCATTAGAGGAATATTTCGCTTGAGATTTTCTAGAGTGGGGCGTCGCTCTCACCTTTGTCTACGTGAATGCTGGAGTTAGCGCGCGTTTGCTCGAAGGGTCAGATTCAAAGGTAGAGGTTCTCCAAAGTCGGAAGCATCAGATTTCTAGCGATAATGCAAAATAAAACTCCTTAGCTCCATATACGAGAATCCAGCTATCAGCAATATTCATATTATTTCATGCATGCCTTTTCTCCAGCCCAAGGTCCACACCTCTGCCCATGCCTGAATATCATTCCCAGAAAGTAACGCCGAAGAACCAGCCCAGCATTATGACCTGTAGGTATGGTCGCCCACATATCTTCAGGAGGTGTTGGAAATTCACTGATTACTTGAGCATGTGCGCACACGTACAGCCCACAGGCCGTCTCATCTTGAGTGACACTATTGGTCTTTCGCATTTTCCACTTCGATGGCTGCTTTTCACCTAGGTATTCTTCAGAGATGGTTTTGGCTATCCAAGTATTCAATTGTTTCATATAGCTTTCTTCGTTCGGTGTCCCGCTGTTGTAAATGGAGTATTGCAAACGCTTCGGCTCCAACACAATCAGTGACCAGTGCTTAGCAGCCGGATCATGGAATGGGATGAATACGTATCGCAACGACTTTTTTGGATTCTTAGAAAGACTTGAGTTACCATGCTAATGTGTTACATACCTTGAATGACTCTGCGTCGGTGTGGTTGATGAAATGCGTGAGTCTCCGACGGGAAGGAAAGGTATTGTTCTGCCTTGTATTGAACAATAGCGGGTCCATGATGCGAATATCCGCCAGGCCTTTCACAATGAGTGTGAGCACCGTGAACAAGACACTTCCAGTCACAAGTTGCCCCGGAGTGGAAAGCCAGTGAAGTTCTTGTACACTAAGATGTATCTCACGTAGCCAGGCGGCATCACACTGAATCCTGATGGTTGAGCCTTCTTCATCATCCGTCTCTTCGCCGTTTTCTTCTGAGACAAGCTGCACGATTTTGGAATTGTCTTGCTCCATCCAACGAATCCATGGGGCCCAAAAACGAGGCATACCTCGGGTACGGACGCCTGCTGGTATGTAAATCATATCCGCGAAGCCTCTTTCTGGGTCGCGTTGCATCCTTGCCCTTTCGTTCCGATACCACATCCTGACTTCCTCGTTGATAAAACTGTCTTCTGGTGTTACTGTGTCGAGTGGCTTTAGATCTAATGGTCCTTTGAACGAAGGACCCATATAGGGCGTGTATGTGGACGAAAGCCATGGTGCCATTCTGTAGGCTGGGGCGTAGGTACGAGATTGTGGGGGTTGTAGAAGAAGTACGGTTCTAGCTGCACAAACAAGCCACAAGCTCCCGTCAAAATGATTATCGGTGAGAGAACCCTTTCCTTCCTTTGTGAGTCTAGAAGCTTCCGTGGTTCCATATTGCTGATCCAAACAAACAGAACACTCACACCGTATTCCAGTTAGTGAACAAAATATGTGCTTCCATTATTGTTTGGATCAGACGTGAGGTTGAACAATTCTAATCAATTGCAACTAACATCCGGTGTCTAAATCTACAGTAATGCGCTCTTTTCACATTTGAAAATCCACAAAAGTCTAGGACACTCTACATGGACCAAGTGCGGCAGCTCGCGTCTCCTCAACAGGCTCTGTAAACATTCAACTTTTCCAACTTCTAATTCAACTTTTGGAATTTTACTCGGAATTTGTCTCTCTCTCTCCTGATTTCCCGTACCTGGATTTTGCATGTCATTTCTCTTGCGGTTCTGTTGTTTAGTTGTTTAGCATGGTTGTCCCTGCGAGGCGCCGGTCCTTGTTCCTCAAGGCTTCTTTGTGCGAATGGATTTTCTGCCGGAATCCCAACAAGGTAATTTTCTTCCATCAGACTCAAAATTGTGGAGAACAAGGTAACTGACGGTATGGAGGTGAGACTCGACGAGAACAATTGCCCGACAGTATCTTGCGAGAATTGTGCTGCCTTGGTGCACAGCTGGGCCGATGAGGACTCTTCCTCTGTGTAGTTGTTTGCTGCTAGATGCGGAGACCAGGCACGAGAAGGGTTGGGCGGACCTGGAAAAGGCGTAAGAACTCTGTTATCCACAATACCCTCCTAGTTGCACTTGAGGTGCCGTCGTTTCCGAAAGATGGCCTAAGGGGTGTCCTTCTGTTGAGGTACATCGCAAGGAAATGGTGCTGTATCCAAGGGGTCCGGCAGCCATTGTTGGACTGCATCAAGAGAGAGACGTGGGTGTGGGCGGCGTCTTACAAGCCCAGCTTCATCATATGGGAACAAAACGTCAAAAAGCACAAGCGCCCCGGGGGACGTCAAGAAAGACTTTTCTGCTCAGTTACAACCCTCGAGCTCATGTTGAGGGGCCTGGCTGGGCACCCCCGTGACGTCCTCTGGGCGCAAAGCCCCGCCCACTGCCGCGAGCAGGCCCTTGAGGTTGACGGAGCGGCTTCTCCTGTGTGCTGGGTGTCGATGGGCGACTGATGCCAGACTCCTTCTTCTGCATGTGTGCCGAGCCAGGCTTGGGGGTGTAGTTGGGATCGAAGAGCTGGCGTGCGGGCGCTGCTGCTCGCGCGGGGGACTGCTCGTTGCTTGACCTCGGCTGGCTGTCCCTCCCACCACGGCCTCGACCCTTTCCTCTTGTAGGCTTGTTCGGCGAGTTGCTGCGCGAGTCTTCTGCAGCCGAAGCAGCGGGCGAGCCAAAGATGCGCTCACGAGCTTCGGCGTATTTGCGCTCCTTTTCTGCGCGTTCCCTCTGCGCGCGTGCCTTGCGTTCTTCGAAATCAGCCTCGGCTTTCTTCTTGCGCTCCTCTTCGCTGTCGTCATCCTCGAGGCTCATGCCGGCCATGGTGCGGGACAGAACCTGGGGCGAGGGCTTGCGCGCGAGCATGGTGACTTTGGGCTTGAAGGTTGCGGCGACGGGCGCAGGGTGGGCTTGGGGGTACCATTGCGGCTCGGGGTTTTCGCTGGTCGAGACAGTGGTTAGCTGTGGGCTCGGCGACACAAGACGACGGACGTACGCGGCCTGCCAGAGCTGCTTGTTGAACTCAGCGTGCTGGGCTCTCAGTTGGGCCTTGGTCAGTTTTGGCTTCGGCTGCTCTTCGGCTGGCTTCTCTTCGTCCTTCTACAAGGTGTGAGCGAATGGCTGCAAGAAAGAGGGGCACATGTACATCGGCGAGCGATTCCCAGTCGTCGTCCCAAGCATCGGCGAGAGCGTTCTTCGGGGGCATTTTGGGCGCTGCGGTTGGTCTGGCTGCAGTGGCGAGGAGAAGCAAGAGAGCCGCGCGGTGCAGGGAAGCCGACTGGGGACAGAGAGATGTCGGGTCCACGGTTATGATGTCGCTGCCCGCCAATATTGCGAAGGCTCCACCCGGCACCCCGGTCTGCAGCGGGAGCTAGCCACCACGTCCCGCCGCCTGGATGCGTGTATGTCGTTCACTGCTGCCTCTCACCTGCATCCACCCCGAGTCGTCCACACTCTCACCGCCGCCGGCCTTGGCTTGTTGCACTCGTACAACGCTCGAAAACATGTCTGGTAAGTCGGGCGCCACCAGCATTGCCCGCCATGGCTCTCGAGCGGCAGCGCATCCAGCTAACGCCCCCGGCAGACCGCGATGGCGACTCCACCATGCACTCGTCCCCCCGCAATGGCTCAGACGACGAAATGTTCCCTGACGAGGCGCTGCCAAACGAGCCCGTCACGCCCCACAACGCCCATCTTGCCGGCGTAAACGACATCTCGCCACCCAACTCGCAGTCGCAGACGCGCGAGATGCTGGGTGTCAACTCCAACGGCAAGCGGCCATTGTCCGGCGGTGCCATGCAGTCGTCGGCAACCAGCACCGTGGGCGCGAGCGGAACCCACCACGACGCCGAGACGGGCTACCAGTGGAGCAAGCAGGAGGACCAGCCAGGCTTCGAGTGGATGAACACGAGGGCAAGAGAGGAGGAGAACAGGGCGCTGGACAACATTGTCGACAAGGGATACATGATTAAGCGTGGGTGGCATGCTGTTGTGGGCCAAAAGCATGGGCTAACATGCACCTAGTGCGATACGGAGATCCGCTCGACGAAAGCGTGGCTCCAAAGACTAAGCGTTGAAGCAGAGCGTGGCGCATCATGAGACCAAGAACATGAACGAACGGGTACATTATGGTTGCAGGACATACGGAGCGCGAAGACTTGCATCGTCATAGTAACGCGGTATGCGCACCATGTCCAGCGCATTCTCAGGCAGTCGGCCATACGCAGCAGTTATGCAGCATCTTCTATACGAGATGCCGCACACGCCCACAGCCCTGTGCTGGCATTCAAGAATAGTCCAGCGTCAACTGGCTTCTTCCGTAGATGCGCATCTCCATTGTTCAAGCCCTTTCATCCTAAACGCCCTTTGTATGCAGTGATATCTTGGTAGCCATGAGATATGCATAACTCGTCAGTCGCTGTCGTTGCCATCGTCCTCGTCCTCATCGTCCTTGCTCTCCTTCTCTTCAAGTGGATCCTCCACCAGCCGCTCCTCTTCCACCTCCTCTTCAATCTCGTCGTCCTCGACCTCGTCGTCTTCAACATCGACTGTCTCGTCCACCTCGTCTTCGGTCACGTCTCCGTCCCCGTTGTCCCCGCTCTCCCTCCTTGCCCTCTTCGCCGCCCTTTCACCACTGTCCTCCGCCCCCTCCATGACCACGTCTCCGTTCGCTTCTTGCTTGGTGGGTGTTGATTCTGGCGCAGCTCCGGCCGAAGATGATGCCTTCTTCTCCTCGCGGACCTTTTTCCTATACGTGTTACGCTTATCGGCTTGTATGCTCGTAAACTTTGTGACTTCGGCTTCGAGACGGGGCAGCATAAAGCCAAACTCGAGTTCTGTCATGGCATCGAAGACGTCCTTGGGCATGACGGTTTTCTTGCCGCTGCTGAGGGCTTTTTCGGCGGCGCTACAGACGGTTCGGTCAGTGCCGATTCAATGTGCGATGGTGGTTTGAGCGAAAAGGTGCGAGAGATATAGAACGACGTACCATGATGTGATATAGTTGACAAACACGGTTGCGCTCTTGCTCATGGCCAGTAGCGCATCTTTCTGTATCTGTGTGTTGGGCGGCAGCACACCCTTTGCCAGACGTTGCACTATGGATTTGGGCAAGTTGAGGTCCTACAACCGCATCGTCAGCGTTGCGCTCAAATTCTGACTCGCTATGCGCCCTACCTCGACACCCAGACTGTCGTCCCGCGGCGCTGATCTTGTTGCTGCGGGACTCGGTTCGTTGGACACGGCAGACACATTACTTTTCCGGGGAGACATTGCGCGCTGCAAGAATTAGTCGGCGAGAACCAGGACTGCGGGATATTTTGTAGGGGTGTGCGACTGCGGCGAGGGTATGCTGGTGGGAGGTGGTAGGTGTCAAGGTGCGAATGCGATAGTTTTAGTGGGACCCTGACGCGTGAGCACGCGTTGAGGTCTGGGCGCGATGTGGCTGTATACGACGCATGCGTCATAGTCTGGACTTTTGTTGGCATCAGACACTCTGAATTAGTTATTTTTATCCGTCGCTCACTTGACATGCTCCAGCGTGAGGCACATGAATGGGGTATCGGTATTTTCCAAAATTAATGCTCAAGGCACATCGAACCCGACGGCTGCTACATGCTGCAATGACAGCCTATCAAATACAGTGCTTAGACAGTTTCAACAGTATTAGCTGTAGATGCTCAGAGAATTCTTGGTACAGCTTTCTTCGTTGCCGCTTATTTATCAATGTGTTGAAGCGTCATGTTTGATACTGCTGAATTTACAATCAGCCTAATGCATTAGTGAAGGCTTAAATCTATTCATATCCCAGGCTAGATTCGTGTAAAACCCCAGTTTTCATATGTCGTATGCGTCTTGTGAGGGCGTAAGAACACTTGGACTCCAATGAACCACTGTTTGTCAGATATACTTAGGGTTTCAAACGACCTTGAACCAAAACTGCTCTAGTGAAATGACCATCATGTTACATGGTATGCAGTGATCTTGTTCTCTGTGTGCAAAGACCTGGTTGATGAATATGTACTTGGTTTTCAAAGTTCTTCAATGTTAATGCATGCCATCGCTCTTTTCGCTCATGGAGATAAACATCTCGATGAAAGACAAACGTCTGACACAAGGACCATGTTACTCTTCTGTTGCATAGTCATGTCTGGGATGATCTTTTTTCCAGGCTAAGAAACCAGGCCAACATGACTGGTGTATAATTTGAACTGTAAAAGTAGTCTTGTAGTAATCTTATCAACTACATCATCACACCAACTGCAAAAAGCACTTTGCTCCACGTAAACCATACAATCAGTGAGCACCACTCATCTTCATACGGACCAGCCGAGGCAAGAAGACAGCCATACTATTTGCCCAGCACCAACCCTCCTCCAAGCCCAACCCTCGTACCCAGCACACGTGAGACGCCACGAAACCCAATCCACCCCCCAGCACCTCGAATGTCTCAGCCCAAAAAAAGCAAGCCAAGCCAATCCTCCCATCACGCAAAGCCAAGGCCGAGTTCGAGGCCCCAAGTCGTCCAGCAACCCCACCTGCGCCTACCCCCACCATGCAGCGCGGCTAGACACGGGTGACGTCAGACCCAGACCCTGCAACGCAACTCTACACCTATCTTTGCCGCCTAGTGACGAAGAGAGGGACCGATCGCCCCAAACACAGAACCAAGGCCCTTTACCAGCTGATGAACAAGGGTTACTCGCGCATACACATAAGTACTTTTACTCTCTCTCTCTCTCTCTCTTTCTCTCCAACAACCACCCCAACCCACCACCACCACCAAACAAACTACTACTACGGCTACTACCAAGCCCAGGCCTTTCCGATACCCAAACTTACTGTTTCAAAGAGCCTTTTCGACACCGATTTCCCGACTCAAAATGCCTCTCGTAGTCCCCGGTCTGCAGTCCAAGGATGGAAACGGCAGCGACGACTGGATGAGCAAGTTGATGGGCAAGAAGCTCGGTGATCAGCATGATGAGGTGGTGCGTTTCCCTCTTTTTCCTTTTCCCCTTCATTACTTACCTTCCTACCTACCTATCTACCTACTCCCCCACACCCCTCCTCCCTGCTTTGAGTACGGAAGACTGACAATCGATGTGTCCAGACGTTCGCAAAAGCCGATCTCCCCAAGGAACACCGCATTCTCAAGCCCGACTCGATGAAAACTATGGACCACAAGCCCGAGAGGCTCAATGTCCATGTTGATGAGGACGGTACTGTCAAGGACATTACGCATGGCTAGAATGCGTCTGCAGCTATCCAGACGTATGGAAACGACAGGGACATGATGATTAGGATATTGTAATGACGACGGATACATGGCAGTGCAGTGCTCTTAGGTGCTCTATATGCAGAACAGGGCAGAGTCCCGGATACATATCAAGTCACGGCTCTTTTTTCTTGCTTTCTCAATACAAGTTACACGATGTGTTTCTGGAACGTGATGCCATGTCGTCAATGTAAATGATGCGTATTCAGGAGAAGCAGAGAGTGTTCTCCAGTGCTACACTCAGCTAGTTGGTATCGATCTGCGGCTGAATGCCCCCAAAAAAACCCCGTATCCAACGCCATGCTTCCAACAAAAAGAAAGAAAGAGAAAGAGAGATTTGCTGCCCAGTCATATCATACAGCCCACCACCCAAAACACATGAAAGGAAGTAGCACAGCCTGTTGAAGCCGCCGAAAAAACAAAAAGAGGAGGAAAAAAGGAAGTGAGAGAGACACCCACTCATCTTGGCTTTTGTGACTCCAAAATTGCCTCTTCGGGACCCACGCACCCCCCCCCCCCGTCCTGGTCCCGTATACATACTTCAGCCCTACGACACTTGGGTGCACGGTCACTCAGCAAAACAAAGAAATATCGCCACTGTGGGGAAACGGAGAAAAACCTTATCGCAACGTCCCCCGATGCTCCAGCTCACGCCGGTCTACTGCGTTTCCTCGGCGCGTCCACATCTCTCCTGACGAGCTGCGCAGCGGTGGCAGAATCGTTCGAGGTGGCGCCGAGGGCCTCAACGACCTGCGTCATCTGCAGCATGGTGGCATGCATAGCCTGGGGGTGCTCGAAGCAGAGCATGATGCAGGCGCGGATGGTGAGGGCGGAAAAGTAGCGGCGCGTGGGCTTGTGGGTTTCGTGGTAGCTTGCGGCGCCCATGACGAGGCCGATCCAGAGGAGCACGCCGGCCATGTCGCCCCAGCAGTAGGATAGGTTTGATTTTTCCAGCGCGTCTTTGACGTCTGAAAGCGTGGTGAAGCGGCGTTGGTGCTGGCGCTGTGTTTCTGATGATGTGCATGTGGATGCGGATGTGGATGCTTGGGAAGAGAAGACCGGGTATTGGGAGTGTGTGGACGCGTCTGAAGAGCGGTGCTGTGAGAAGGGAAAACCGGAGTGTTGGCTGGAAAAGCTGGTGCGGAACGAGGTGCTGTAGGATGGGCTTGTGGAGTACTCGGTCACTGGCGTGCTGTAGGAGATGTCGAGGGGCGAAGGTAACGATTCGGTGGATTGCGAGGCCAGGGATGGTGTGTAGATTGCGGATGACGATCTTCTCGTCGGACATGCATGTAGAATAGCCTCGGAAATTGGTGTTCGATTGGCGAGTGCGTGTGCCTGCACAATAGCAGTTATGCGGATTGCTTCGTACTTCCAGTCTTCGGTTGTCGACACATGGTCCTTGGACATTTGTTGCAGAGGCTGGTATTGACTGATGCGGTTATACATTGCTGTAAGTTTTTCAGAGTTCCAGTGTGCTTTCCTTGATTCCCGGAGGAAATCTCCAATCATGGTCCGCATGTCGTTTAGAAGCTTCAGCGTGTTGGGCTGGTATTTGACGGCTTTTGATCTTTCAATCGTCACAAACTTGCCGTGGGGACAGTAGAGCGGCGACTCCGGGATGGTGACGTGAAGAGGGTATCTCTTGACCGAGTTGCTAGCGCAGTATTCGACATACATGGGGCTCGGGGTTCCTTCGCGGAGAACAGCAGTGGCCAGATGTGCCCAAGATACGGCGGATGCTAGAAGACCATTCATGCCCAGCTGGTTGAGCCCACCGCGCTGCTTAATCATCTGCTCAATACCGTTCTGGTGGAAAGCCATACTCGTCTCTGTGCGGCCAATGACTTCGCCGAGAATGAGTTGGCTGACTGCAATGATGTTGCTGTCATCTACCATTTTTTCCGGGTCTGTCAGATTGGCACCGATATGATGGATGACGTCCTGCCGCAATGCTGCCGTTTCGAGGCTCTCCACTTCGCGACCATATATCGTGTCGTCGTGCGCGGCAGCCATGTACAGGGTGCTGAGAAAGGTATGGTGATGATCGAGACACTTTGGGATCCACAGTCTTCCCAGGCCCCGCGAGCCAAAGTAGGTTCTGCAGTGGTGCTTCAACCTCTCTACCGAAACGCGTGAATCATTCGATTGGAACATGGTGCGGAAAGGGTCCAGGCTCACGCCTATTGAGACCAGAGGCGGCATGCGGAACTCGTCAAAGGGATAGCGGATTTCAGGTTGCAAGGGAACGACTATGGGTGTTTGAGGGATGACGGACTGCAGCGACTTTGCTTTTACTATCCGGGTGTCCGGACTCGAGCCTTCCTGGGGCTCTCCTTTTGGCGAATGCTGGGGAGGAGACTGCTTCTTTTTCCGGCTGCTGCTCTTCTTCCTGGCTGCGGCGATTGGGCGACTCTGCCTCTCTCCGCCCGATTGGGATCCGTCGGAAGCGTCACTGCCTGCTCGTGACTTTGCGCTGCCCTGCGTCTTGCCCGTCTTGAGGTAGCTGACCATGGCGGTTTGGCGCACCATGTGCATGGCGTCTCTCGTCTTGAAGTCCGAGGGAGCTTGGCCGACAATCCAGCAGAAGCCTCCATTCTTTGCTGGCGCCTCTGTGGGCGAAAGACTCGAGGTCTTCCGCGAACGCGATGCTGCAACATGTGCTGTTAGTGTTTGCTACCACACAAGAGACCATGGCTATCCAAGTGCACGCAGGGACATGCGGGGGCGTGCGGGTGCAGGCCGCGTGCCTGTGTACAGCGTCGTGGCCATGGACGCGCCGCAAGCTCCATGCTGGAGCGGCAGAAAGAGAGGGCGCCGCTTACATTTGGGTTCGGGTGGTGGCGACATAGGGCTCCAATGCAAGGTCGTATCAGAGTCAACGGTGGATGCAGGCGAAGGATAGGCGAACTGCATGTGGTGAGCAGCAAAGAGGGATGATCGCTCGGCTGGAGGGGCAGTCATTGTTGCCGACTCGTCCAATATGCTTCCAGGATGCTTGTGGGCAGCGCAAAACAGTCAACAAGATGGCGCGACGCTCTTGGTCGTTCCGCAGCTGGATCACAGCGACGTCTGAATCATGTTGGGGAGCGTGTGGGCGAGGGATCGGGGCAGTTTTTAGATAGGGCTGAGTGGATGGGGGCCAGGAGCATATATATGCAGCCTGGTTGCTGTAGGTATGCCTTGCCGTGTGGGCTGGAGGATTCTTAGTCCCGAAAGCGCAGTGCAGGCGGTATGCTGGACCGCCTGTGTCGCACCGTCGAGCGGGCAGTAGGCAACGGTGCGTCATGCAGTGTGTGTTGGAGGGGTGTGTGTGTGCATCGCGGTCGGTATAGCGTGGCTGTGTTCCTGATGCTTACACGGGCGAGTGAACGACGGTTCCGCGCCCGTCGACGGGGGGAGGCATTGCTGGCCTGACAGCCGGCCCACGGCCATGCAGCAGCGCCTCCCAAAAAGCCTCAGAGTATCAGGAACATGGCTCCGCCGACACTGTCTTGCCACCACGCGCCATTGGTCGTCGTCTCACACGTGCGGGCGCTGACACCAAGGCCTCGCTGTGACGGCCGCCATGAAGCCAACCTCACCGCCCCAGCTGCCATGCCACGACCTTGTCCCGACCACTGCCCATGCTGTCCCGCCTATATCTGCCTCGACTTACACACCACATCTGCCCCCCAGTCAACGGCGCTCTGGACCGGCCTCGTCTGCGGCCCGCCATGCTATGCCCACAGAGGCCCTGGATGGCCTGATCACGCACAAAGAAAGGCACCCACCCTGACGCTACACGAGACACGACCTGTCCTGCAAATCTCACATTACACCAGACGCACAAGCCGCTGCTGCAGTCTGAGCGTTGGCCTACCGGCGTACCACCGAGCTGGGTGCGCCATGCCTTGGGTTCAGGTGGCATGGCCATGGTATAGGCATCTTACCCGCCAGCCTCACCCAATCACTACATGCTCCCAATGCGGCGCGAAACCCCTTCAGCAGCCCTGTGGAGTCAAACACGAACCTAGAGTGCTTGGTAATTGGCATGCCCACGAGCCCACAGCGACCTTGGGCCCCACGGATGTAGGCCTGTGGATTCCGAAGATCAAACGGCCTGTGTCTGCTAATGCAACCCCGGCAGCAATCAATCTTTGGCTCACTTGGACGTGTTATCCGTGCATCAATCCATATGTCTACAAAGCGCCCTGCCGCCATTACTACTAGCTCATCCCAAGCCCGAAATAGTCCCTGGGAGCTGTCTGCCCAGCCCCGATCCCCTCCCGCGCACTACCCCCTCCAGCTCCAGGGCTGATATCGTCGCTGTCTCCGGACGTTCGACTGGCACCGTCGGCCCCAGCGTCGCCCCCTGGCTCCCCTAGTGCTCCATGGCCGTTGATGCGCCCCCTCGAAGGCACGCTGAGCCGCGTAGATTCAAACGTGAAATGGGACTGGCCCAAGCTGGACTCTGCTGACGGCGTCTTCAGCTCCACAAGCTCCAACGTGCTCCGGAGCGTTGCACCAGACTCATCCAGGGCCATGAGAAACCGCGCTAGTTCTTTACATAGCTCCCAATCACCTTCTTCTTTGGCCCGCTGCAGTAAGCGCACTACCTGGTCGCCTGTGGCTCGCAGCTCCTCAAACGTGTGCAGAACAAGCAGATAGCCACCCGCAGTCTTGAGGTTTCCTTTCTGCAGCGATTCCTCAAACAGCTCTTCAGGCGGCGGCAGATTCGAAAACAGTGTTCTCCACGACCGCACTTCTGTCTTGCGAGTGCACTGCACCACAATGTCGAGATACTGAGGAAATGAACTCAGAAACGAGAGCACGCTCGGCAGGAGGGCTTGTTCAGGCGGCGGCTGCGTGTCGACTTCCTCGTCCAATACTTCATGCAATAAGATTTCCAGAGCATGGGCAAAGTACTGCAGGTGCTGGTAATGATGGCTGAGATGGAGAGCCGCCGGGTGGTTGAACTGGGCCAAATGGGAGCGCAGCAGTGCGGGAAGGAAGAGGTGCGTCTGCCATGTATGTCAGCGATTCATGTCGCATGGCGCTGAAGCACGCGCGCAAACTCACCCTTGCTCCAAAGCGCAGAAACGCAAAATTGGTATCCCTGCGCTGGATCAATTCAGACTCAACCCCAAATATAATCGCCTTGTTAATCAATGCTGACAGAGGGTAAAAGTCGACGGGGATTTGCACAGCTGTGGGCAGCTCCCTGCCAATCTCAGGAGACGCCGAAGCCAGCACGTCTTGCATATCGATCCATACTCGCATATCTTGGCCATCAAAAAACCACAGTGAATCGCGCAAATCATGCCCGTGCACGCCCTCCATAGTCAGCCCTACAGAGGGGCTGGGCGGCAACGAGTCGGGCTGCATGTCCAGTGCGAAAGCAGGGTGGTCGCGCATCAGAGCATACGTCTCTACGTTTTGCGCAATAATACGCATCTCGTATTTGAGTTCACCGCTTTCCGTCGTCGTGGGTTGTAGCAATACAAGCTTGCCGTCCACGAGGAATAGTATCGTGGCAACCGACACGTCTTGCGATGGGTCTCCATTGTCTAACTTGATTAGCAAATGTACAACCATGCTCTGCTCCAACTTACGCATTTGGTCTTCGGGCAGAATCCAGCTGAGTGCTCGCACGCGTGGTGGCGCGCGAATGATACCGTTTAGGGCAATGTGGCCAACTTGAACTAGTTTGACACTGGCGTCCGCAACACTAATTACATAGTGGTGCAGCACGTTTTCATACGTATAGACTAGAAGCGAGTCCTCTCCTGACGGAGAAATCAGTACTATTGGTGCGGGCAGCCTCTGCACGTGCATGATGCGGCTTCTGTCGAGTGCCGTCTCTCGTGAGTACACCCGAACCTTTGTGTCGCTGTGTCAGTATCAATGGTACCAAAATGTCACACAATGCCCGTACCTCGTGGGATTCGTGACACTCGACTGCTGCAATTAGAACATGCTGAAACCAGCACATGCCTCCTCGAACAGTGAACTCGTTTTCGCCGAAAGGGTCGTCAAACATTTTCCAACGTCCGCTATTAACGCTGTAATGCGCGAGCCCTCTTTTCCCCGCCACTGCGACGTATCGGCCGTCGTTCGAGATGACTGCACTTTTAATTGGCCACTGGTCGACGAGGTAGGCCGAAGGAACCTGCACATGGTGCCAGAGCGGGACATCGGCGGATATAGTTGTCAAATCTGGAAGGTCGTAACCACGGTAGATCATGAAGCCGGTGCTTGTTTGCATCAAAGAACGCGATATGTTGGCCGACAAGAAGCAGCCAGTGACGGCGCTCCGGGCCATCTCCATCGTATAGAGACGGTTGTCGTTGTTACTCAACATCAAGAGCTCGGCGCCGCCACCAATCCAAAAGGCCTCTTTGATGCTAAGAAGCCATCCCTCTTTGTTCGCCTCGGAAAGCTTCCTGTCTGCGCTAAAGCTGGTGGCTCCAGGTTTGCCGTACACACTCCACATGGCCCAACCATTCTCGTACCCAGCGAACAAGCAGTACCCGTCGGGCGAGTACGTCAGTGTAGTCAATTGCCCAGGCGACGTGGTGTTTGGACGCAGCTTGTGCGAAAGAGGAATGTTGCCCGTGTAGTCTCGCGCAGTATACACATAGATCTCGCCACTGCCGCAGCCGACTGCCAGCAGAGAGAACCTCGCATTGATTGCAGCTTTGATGCCCTTGTCAGCATCGGCCTCGGGCGTGTGGAAGCCGTGGCCGCGAAAGATGGCGGCATCTACACTGTCTTTTTTGGCAATCTTTTGAACAGCAAATGCTCGTCCATCGCTGGTAATCCAACATGATAGATTCATGGGCCGGTCATGAACCATGTCACGTAGTGTTGTCTTCTTTCCAATCCACGCCATCTTAGATAACAACTCGGTCGTTGTTTGACCTCCAGAGCTGTCTGGCGCCCATCGGATGCATTGCACAGTGGCAGGCTTCTCCGTGGCAACAATCAATTCGTCGTCTAGAGCCAGCGCCCGTATGATTCCAGCATCGACCCGTATCACCATGCGGAAGCGTAGGCTGAGCTCCCGCAGGCCACTGCCTTCTCCCGGCCCCGCATTGACATCGTGCTGCCGTTGTATTTTGAAGCCAGTGACGGCACTGCTTTTTCTGGCATGTGCTCCGTGTGTATTGGTGAATTGGGTCTTGTAGAGGCGTGACGTAGGGTCTGTCGCGAGCGAGTATGTGATGAGGAAGCCGAGCGAGGTTTGTACGACGAATATCTGGGAGTCAGGGCGAAGAAGGACATCGATATTCGGGCCATATGTTCTGACGGATTGTTCTGAGCGGAGTACGGAGGCCAAAACAACAGTAGGCTGCGTCATCGATCAGTACATGGCGACCCAACACGCGATCAATAGATACCTTTGTCTGCCAGACTGTAAGAGTTGTTCTGGTGAGGGTTGCGAACAAGTGACCGTTCCTAGTCACCCGCACAGCAACGATGGTTCCATGAATGTCATCCTCCACCTGCTGACCGCGAGCCGCCGCCCGCGACAGCTGGTCATTTCCATTTTCTTCCACTCCACGCGTCTCCTTTGCAGCCTTCTCTTTCTCTGAATGAGCCGCCGAGCCATTGTCTGGCCCGGCGTCTTGGTCGCCTAATTGCTTGCGCTCCACGCCATCGCTGGAGACACGAGAGCGCCCTAGATCCGTACGTTTAGTAGCCGCGAAGACGGAGGGCGACGAGATAGGCCAATACGTCATGGCGCTTTACCGCAAGCGATGGCTGCATTTGCGCGCGCCCATCTCACTGCGGGGATGTATGCTTCGCGAAGCTCATGCTAGCTGGCTCAGGGCAGGGCAGGGTGGCTGTGGTGTCTGCGGTGTCTGCGGTGAACGTGCTGATCCACACGAGGCGCAGCACCTGTTGTGGCTGACGGGTCCGTGCTTAGATGCGATAGTGAACTCAACAAGTGATACGCGCCAATCTCATGTGATAATGGGTCCAAAAGCATGCACATGTGGGATGAGCGGTCTGTTTGGGCAAATTGTCATGAATTCTGCCGAGGGCGTCCTATGTACACCGCAAGCACCCCGGGATTGATGATAACACATCTAGACGCCATGGAGTCCAATCATCTTTTTACGAAGCTTGGGATTTTGGTTAGTGCAGCTGCATATGGAAACATAACTCAGCCAGCAGTTCCCTTATCAAATCCCTGTGTCATGTCTACGTTTCTGAATTACATAGTACTGTTCAGCTTATGGGATTAGATAATTGGATGACCAGACCAATTGTAGGAATAGATAGCAAATCGGTTGCCTCGGCGAAATTCACCATATGCCCCGCATCCCACACAGTGCGAAAACTCAGCAGGATCTAATTTCACGCGCTCAAATGACTAAGATGTATTGAATTCAAATTTTCTGTCTTCCATCAAATCCGTTACGGTGAGATGGCCGAGTTGGTTATGGCGCCAGGTTAAGGTCTCCCCTTAACACACACCAGAAACAACAGTTTCTGATGCTTCCTGGTCACGAAAGTGGCGTGGGTTCGAGTCCCACTCTCATCAGCATTCGTCTGGCTATAGTCAGATACCCCAGGATCTTTTTTTGTGGTTGTGGTGGAGGTGAGGAGTGGCTGCAATGTTTCATAGTTGATGTAACCCACCAGTTGTGGCCACGCTGGAGAATTTATTTTTGCATGGATATTATGATATCTATATCAATATCGATAAATAGAGACTTGAACTGATGCCGATTAAGTTTGACGCTTGGTTGCGGGTGACATCATGAGTTACCCATGGATTACTTCACTTTGAGGCTGTCGACTGCGGACTGGTAATGAAGTTTCAATGTATAGGAACCAGCGGCTGTCTTGAAAGTATACAATATTCACCGCATGCTGCTTCTTGGTCTGAGCTCATGTCCTCGGTTTTTGCTACGGGTAACTTTAAGATGACGTTTTCCAATCGTTCAGTCTGAACAACCGACATATGCTCTCATCATGAATATTGTTTAGTATAGTAGTTTCCCTCAACATAATAACAGTATTAAAAAGAAGAAGAAGAGAATTCATCCATCCACGGTAAAGTCCCAATCACTCATGTCATACGCCGCCGCAACCTCTGTACTGCATTGCGAACCTGAAGGATTCACCGATGACGTACTAGATACCTACGTACCTAGTTTTATCGCGACCAACGCCGCTATCGATCGGCATCTAGAAGAAAGAAAAAATAAGACCTCCAACGTCATACATCTTGCAGACTAAGAAAAAACCTCAATGCACATGTATTGCAACAAATAAGATCTGCTTTTTTTTCTTTCTTTTCTTCTTTTCTTCTCTTGTTTGGTTGGATTAGAAGTAGCAGAGGGTAAGAAAAAAAAGGTGTGCATATGTCATGTCTGGAAATACAAATTCGGATATTCTGATTGTAAGTACATGATGCGTGAGAAGGAGAAGATGAAGATGAAGATGAAGATGTACTAACACCAGCATAATCCCAGGCCGGCGCCATCGCAGCCTTCACAGTCGACCTCCTCGTGTACCCGCTCGACACACTCAAAACACGGCTGCAATCACCCGACTACGCGCGGGTATACACACATGCGGCGACGGGCAAGCCGAATAGCGCGCTGTTCCGGGGCGTGTACCAGGGGCTGGGCAGTGTGATTGTCGCGACGTTGCCGGCATGTAAGTCTGATTTTATAGTCTTGGCTGTGGTGACTTGTCTGGATTTGAGATTCGCAGTCGTACTCGCATTTCGTATTCCTTTGGCTATTCTGGCTGGTCTACCAAGAAAAACACGCACAAGTACAAGGACAAAGACAAAGGACAAGGGACAAGGGACAAGGAATACACGGGAATCTGAACTAACAACTGGCATGATTGGCAAATAGCAGGAGCCTTTTTCACGACATACGAGCACTCCAAAGCCATCTTGACACGCCTCAGCACGACAACATGTTCCAATGGAACCAGTACGACTGTCGTCCCAACACCTCTAGTCCACGCGGCCGCCTCGTCACTCGCAGAACTCGTATCCTGTGCGCTTCTCACGCCGGCAGAAGTAATAAAGCAGAATGCGCAAATGGTCTCGTCCTCAACATCGCCCAACGCGACACTAAGCACGCTCTCGCGCTTCCGGTCGCAGCCGCTCGCGCTGTGGCGCGGCTACACGGCGCTGGCAGGGCGCAACCTCCCGTTTACAGGGCTCCAGTTTCCGCTGTTCGAGCGGCTCAAGCAGGGCATCAAGCGGTACCGCGATGAGCGGGGGCTTACGCGCGGGACGGTGGTGGAGAGCGGGTTGGTTACGGCGGGGAGTGCGGGGAGTGCTGGGGCGGTGGCGGCGGTGTTGACGACGCCGGTGGATGTGGTCAAGACGAGGATTATGTTGGCTGCTGCTGGGGAGGCGTCGTCGTCGTCGTCGTCTTCATCATCACCGTCATCGTCTTCTGGTTCTTCTTCAACAGCATCAAAGCAAGGACCCAAGTCCGGCCTTGTAAATGCCGTGGGAAACTCAGCAGCGAGAAGAAGTGGTCGGAAAAGTAGCTGGGAAGTTGGCCAGGAAATCGTAGCTGAAAAGGGATTCAAGGGGCTATGGAGAGGCGGTGCATTGAGGGGTATCTGGACGTTTATAGGCGCAGGCTTGTATCTGGGAGCGTATGAGACTGGGAGAGTGTATTTGGCTCGGCGTCGAGGGGAAACAGTGAATGAAGACGAATTACTCTAGCATATACGAATAAGGTTGGCACGTATAATCAGGCATGAAGAACTGGTTCAGAAATAAAAAACCGAATCGTCATTCTCAATCATAATGCTATGTGATATCTACGAGCGGCACCAAAAGATGCAGAGAAAAGAGAGAGAGAGAGATAAGATAAAAAAGGGGTATATTTGATCCCACACTCGAACCTAAGCAGTTCCAAACTCCCACGAGAAAGCCAACCCGGCTTCTTTACAAAATATAAGCCCCGGTATCACTTGGTTGAAACGCCTCGAATGTCATCTTTCGTCGTAAAAAGTCATGTCGTGTCATAGACCGACCTACCTGCGATCGGAGATGAAGGAAAAGAGATGCAGACCTACAACTTGGTATCCTGTCTGTTGGAGTCGCTCAGCCGTCGGAAAGGCGCTTGTGACAGGACACTAGGTCCGGGTCCGGGTCTGGCACTGTTGACTCGTGATGCGTTGCTCGCACTTGCATTTGTAGGCGTGCTGGCTGGGCTTCTCGAGTTGCCGGCGGCATTGGAGCGTTGCTGAAGCGTTGCACTAACTACCCACTGCAGATGCATGCGCATGTTGCTAATGGCAGCGTTGACATGCAGCATCTCATCCTTAGCCCGCTGGCTCTCGTTGATAATCATCATGTTTGTGCGGCCATCGAGATCAGTCAAGGCATTGGCAATGCGAGAGACTTCCTCGCGGAGAGAGTCATGCAGCGTAAGGAGGTGATGGATCTGGGAGTCGAAAGGTGGCTGGGCGGGGTTGCTGTCATTGGCGGGCGGAACTGGTGGAAAGGAAGCGGGGGGCAGCCGGAAGTCAGGGGTCGGTGTATGCGGGTCGGTGTCGTTGGCATTCAAGGGATCCGTGACAGGGAACGACGTGTCATTGCCATTGGCGGGATACAGGTAGTTTGTGATGTTGGTGAGGCCGTCTTCGAGTATGCCCACCTTCCTGGCAAGCGGCTCCATGCGGGCTTCATTCCTCTCGATGCGAGCCTGCTGCTCGCGGAAGTGCGGCGCCATGGTGGCCATGGGACATGTGGTTTCATGGGCAAGGACCTGGGTGCGCTCGGCCTGGAACTTGCACCCCACGATTGTGCCCTGGCATGAAATGACATACTCGGGACAGTCGTTGTTGATGTGGTGCTTGAGGTCCAGACGGAGGACTTGGGCCGAGCACAGAGTGCAGGATGTGATGCGGTTACCGCACATGCTTCGCTGGTGCTCCTACATGACCGCCATTAGCCGCTGTCCAGCCACAACGGCAGACCGACGTACCTCGAGATCCTTCTTCATGAGCGACGTGTGGCAGTCGTCGCAGCTCACCGTGTAGTGCAAGCAGCCCTTGTGAAAGTCTTTCTGGGTGGTTGGCAGGCGGCAGTCGTGGGCCGAGCACATGACGGGCGTGTATTCACAGTACAGCATGACATGGTCGTGCACATTGACGCGCTGCGAGGACCAGGTGCAGCCGGCCTTGTGGTTCGGGCACTTTACGAGCAGCTCGTCCAGCATTGTCTCGATGATGCGGGGCACGGGGCGGATGTCGCCTTCGGTCTCGACGGCACGGCGGCAGGTGGGACAGGATCGGCGGCCATGGGGCTGGGGCGCCCAGGCGTGGTCGAGGCATTCGCGGCAAAAGTAGTGCTCGCACGCGAGCTGGACGGGGCGGTCAAAGGGCGTGTGGCAGATGAGGCAGACGAGGTTGCTGTCGGCGTCGGCGAGATAGTCGAGGTTCTGGAAGTCGGGAGCGACCTTGAGGATGCGGCCGTGGCTGTGGCGGCGCTTCGAAGAGGGTGAGTTTGACACACGAAGAGCCAGAGGCGAGGGACTGCTGGGAGGGCCACCGACCGTCACTCTTTCGTCGTGCTCGGGGTGCGAGAGCGCGCGGTTGGCGTCGCTGGACGCGCGCGACGACCGCCGGTCGGCGGCGGCAAAGGGAATGGGGCTGGGCGTCGACATGGCGGCGGTGGGTGGGCAGCGTGTCGGCTTGTTTGGGACGAGCAAATGCTATGGTATTCTGATTCTGATTCTGATTCTGATTCTGATTCTGATTCTGATTCTGATTCTGATTCTGATTCTGATTCTGATGCTCGTTCTTGTTCTTATTATTCACCGCACCGGGCGCGACTGACTCGGAAGGGGGCCGGGCCGAGGATCTGGTGCAGCCGCCAGCGGATCGAGGGCCGGTCTCTGGTGCGATGTGGTGGTGGTGGTGGTGGATGGATGGATGGACGGATGGACGATGTAGACGATGGCGATGGCGGAGGAGCGTCAACGGAGGCCAGAGACAGAAGCAAACATGGGGCGGGCGTGGAGGCGGTCAGGGCTGGACATGGCCCTCAGGCACTCGCGGGCAGCACGCGGGCGTTGGTGTCGTGCTGTACTGGACTTGGTGCTGGCGGGCTGGCGGGCTGGCGGGCTGGCACTCGATGCTCGCCGCCCCTCGATGCCATCTTCCCGCCCAGCCCCCCTGCGAGGCGGGTGGAGCCTGTCGTCAGCGGCCGCTGCAACGTCGTGCGTGTCCGACGACGGCCCATTGCTGCACAACAACATACCGAACCTCGTGGTTGTGGTCGCTGTCGCTGTCGCTGCCGCTGCCGCTGTCGCTGTCGCCGCTGTCTGTCCACTCCCTCCCCGAGTCTCCACTCTTCCTCGCTGCCGCCGCCCCGCCGCCGCCGCCGACACGCTCCCTCCACCATGGCAACAAATCCTCCGCAGCTGTTCCTCCTGGCCGACCACATCAAACTGTCGCTGCTCGAGCGCCAGCGCGCCCTCTCGCTCAACCTGCCCTCCAACACCCAGGACGGCCAAATCTCGCGCTCGCTCGAGCAACTGCGCTCCGGCATCGAGTCGCTGGAATCCCAGGTGCTCGACACTGCCGACGAGTAAGCCCCCCTTTGGACACTTGTCCCCCTCCACGACCTCTCTCACCAACACAAACACCCCCGCTCGCAGGTCCATAACATCGCAGCTGCCGCGGCTGCGCGCCCAGCTCGCCGAACTCAGCGCCCAATTCGAGGCGTCTGCCGCGGGCGCCTCGTCGTCGCCCGTCGTGACCAAGCCCAACTCCGCATCGCTGACATCCGACTTTGGCGCTGCGCAAACCCGCCACGCCAGCAACACCAGCAAGGCGCGACAGGCCTCCAAATCCGTGCGCTTCACCGACAACCCCGCCGCTGCCGCTGCCGCTGCTGCCGACGACGATGCCGCCAACCGTGCCGCCCTGTTCCCCTACCGCGACGACCCTGCCGACCCGCACGCTGCGCCCGACCACTCACACCTCGACAACCAGCAGATCCACGAGTACCACAGCCAGGTCTTGCGCGACCAGGACGACCAACTCGACCGCCTCGGCGAGAGCATCGGCCGCCAGCGTGAGCTCAGCATGCAGATTGGCGACGAGCTCGACTCCCACGTCATGCTGCTCGACGACGTCGAGGAGGGCGTCGACCGCCACCAAGCCCAGTTTCAGCGTGCCCGCGGCAGACTCGATCGCTTCTCCCGCAAGGCAAAGGAGAACTGGAGTCTGACCATTATCGTCGTCTTGATTATCATTCTCGTGCTGCTGATTGTCATTACAAAATAGTTTTTTTTCTCATTTTAAACCAAAGTAAGGGAAGCAAAACTAATATCCATCTATCAATCTATCGCGGCATCTATCGGCGTTCACTCTCTCTCTCTCTCACTCTCTCTCTCTCTCTTTCTGGCATGGGGCGTTTTATCTCAAAACAGACACACAGACAGACAGACAGATAGCAGCGTTGACTTACTTCAATAGACGCAATCGTTTTTTTAATTGTCTTTGTTCCATCATCATCATCATCATCACCATCTTCTTCTTCTTTTTAGCCATTTGAACAAAGTTGCTCTCTCTCCCTCTCTCCATCTCTCCATCTCTCTCGCCAAATCTGCTGCTTACTACTCTCTCCACCCAACCAAAACAAAAATTTAAATCTATACACACACTCTTATATATATATATATATATATACATAACTGCCTGCTAGAAAGGGGCCCAAACACCAAACACACACACACACACATACACATACATACATACACATACATCGTACAAAGCAACATCCCCCTCCCCCTCCGCCTAAAAAACCAAAAAAAGACGCTCTTTTTGTTTCGTCTCTGTTTCTGGGGCAAAATACACACAAAAGGAACAAAGTTTAGGAAAGAAAGAAAAAAAGAAAGACACCGCCTCTCTCTCTGCAAAAAAACTCTTGATGCTTAGATTTTCTGCAAGCCTAAAAGGGGGGGGGGTATCACTGTCGGGGGGATATGCAAATGGGGGTAGGGGGGGGGGAGAAAAAACACACACGCGCGCGCTTGGTGCTTCGAGCATCCTAGGGGGTCCAAATGCGTCTCTAATTAGGTCCTCCTCTGCCTCTGCCTTGGTGCTAGTCGCTCCACCAGTCTTTAGGCGGTAAGTGCTAGATGTTCCCCACGTCACGGTATACCAATGGCCTTTTTCGACTTGTCGTAGACGACATATGTAATCGACACGGCAGGCACAACCTTGAGCAGGTTGGGGGTAAGGCCCTTGAACAAACCCCTAACACCCTCGCCCGCAATCGTCTGCCTCGTCACGTCCACGATGCCCGTATACGTCCTTGGATGCAGCACCGTGCCCTGGCTCTGTAGTCGTGTCCGGAGGAGATTGAGCGGGTACACGGCGCTCGCTCCAAACGCGCCAGAGAAGCCGCCAATCGCCGCCGTCATGAAGCCACCGGGCTCCGCGTCCTGCTCGTGGCATCCAAGTCGTTTTGCGTTGCGACGGGCTACGTAGCGCTTAAGATACTCAAACGTGCCCAGATCAAGTGCCGCATACGGGAATATGCCCATGATACCCATGGGCAGCCCACGGTAGTAAGCACTAACGCCGCCTGTGTTCCACATCTTCTTCGCCGTGGCCCAAATTAGGCGATTGCCGTGTAAGCCACCAGACACGGTTTCACATTGCATCCGACTGGAAACAGTTAGCCCAAGTCATCCATGCACGGATCCATCCTACTCACAACTTCAGTGTATCGATGGGATACACGGCGAATTGTGACACCATTCCTACAGCCCCGTTAGCTTCACGTCTAGATAGCACTGCAACTCCCATCACCTACCAGCAAGCCCTCCGGCGACAAACTTGGACCACGAGTGTATGATGGCAGGGTCGTTGTGTCCTTCTATCTTGGCAAAGATGCGTTTTGCGGCCTAGGCAAGTTAGGAGTGCGCTGCATTTTACTTCTAACCACACTTGCCTCGTAAGAGCCAAACTTGATGGCTGATTCTGGCATCACCTTGATGACGTTCAAGCCGTTGCCTAGCGCATTCCCGTCAGCCCAAAACAAAGCCAAGCCCTCTCAAAGCACTCACCAGCGTACAAACTGCGCATGCCACCAGCCTGCCATAGCTCCCTGGTGGCGGTCGCAAGTGGTCTCCAGGCGTTCATGGCAGCCTTGACAACGTTGCCATGCTTCGCCGCCACAACAGCTTCTTCCGCCACACTCGTCTGGGCTATGAGGTAGACTTTTAGACGATCGAGGGGTGCAGTCGAGGTACGAGAAACAATGCCTGCGATGCCTCCCGCCACAAAATAGCCTGGATTGGGAACACAAGCAATCAGCATGGTTCCTAAGCTCTCTATGATTCCTGCCTGTATCTCGTCGAGAGAAGAACCCGCCTTCTCATCTGCAGACCGTGGCGGGAGGGTGCTGGGAAAGGCAAGCGCCGAATCGGAAGCTGGCTCCATATCGACCGGCGCGTGCTGTTCTTGTAGAGGGGGCTGATAGGGCGGTGTGTGCGCTATCAGAAAAAGAGAACCAAATAGAAAACGAAGAAAACGCTGTGCAGTACCTAAGCCTTGGATTGTGTCGTCACTTATAAGAACATCGCCCTCCTGGTTCACTTTTGTCGTGGCCGAAAAGTACGACATGACGGCGTGCAGCGAGGGCGTGCTGGCGGGAATAAAGAGAAGAAAGTCCCTTTTATGCCAGTCAGCATGCGCTTGTAGATAATCGACAAACGCTACCCGCGGCTTGGGTACCTACCGCCATTCCTCAAAACTAATCACTCCATCCCTATTGGTGTCGACTTCGGTGAAGAAGTTGTCGAGGCTGCTGTTGGGGACCGCGAGTCCGGCGGTTCGCAAGGCGGAGCGCAGCTCGTCCTTGGAAATCTTGCCGTCGTGGTTGTAGTCGATACTCTGGAATAGCTGGCGGAGTTCCTTTTCCGTCTCGTGCACAAAGGTGCGGAACTCTGGGGGAGCAGTCAGTACGGCTCCGAGGGTTGCGCAAACTTGCACCAGGGCGACTGACCGTGATATGTGATTCTTCCGTTCCCGTCTATATCGACCGCCTCCATGACCTCGTCCAACAGCTGGTCCGCATTTTTCAAGGCTGCAGTCTGCTCTTAGCAACGCAACACACGTGGGGGGGGGCCATGTCCGCCCTTACGATGATCCAGCTTCCGCAGGCCCTTTTTGAGGCCCGCCAGGTCGAGGTGGCCTTGTTTGCGCGTGTCGAGAGTCGACCATAGTTTGTCCACCCTGGCGTCGGTCACGCTTGCGCTCTGTGTGTCCATTGTCGTCCTGCTATCTTGGGTCTATCATGGCTAAGGTCGCGACACGCGAGGGAGGGCGGCTATCGACGCCGCGACGAGGGCAGGTTGCGGGTAGAATGGCTGGCTGGGAGGACACGAGCTCGTAGGAGGCCGACGTGGGGTATGAGGTCAGTCTCAAAGCTTGGAGACGGCGGCTGAAAGCGGCTAGCTTGACAGGTCGCAACCACCGAGGGAAGCCACGACAGGACTCGCGACTGCCCCCGTCATTCGCTTGCACATGATTGGGCCCCCAAGCCTGTATCCCGACTCACGACTCACGACTACATACACCTGGCCCCTTTGACGTTTGCCATTATGCATGCCGTGTGTTTCTAGAATAGCACTAGACGCGGCTTGTCAAAGTCGCAGTCCGCCGTGACAGAGGCCAGCACCGATCCTGCTCGACTGCCGTGTGTGCCTTGCATTGGTGTACCAGCCCTGGAGCTGGACAAACCCACCGGCGGAAACGACGGTTCCCTCGACGGTCAGCTGGAGCATAGGCTAGGCCGACTTTAAGAGGGAGGTATAGACAGCCATCGCTGCACGACGGGAAAAAGACTCGATTCATTCAAACACGGCCAGAGAGGGCTCCGCACAGCAGGCATCCACCATGTCGTCGAGCTACTGGGAGTCGACGCAGCGCAAGTTCTGGACGTTTACCAAACAAGACCTCGCCCTGGAACGGAAGCGCATGGAGGATGCGGAGCGGAACCTGGTGAACCTGTATCCGCTCCCGGACCGAAGACATCTCAGCATCTACTTCTCTCACCGTACGTCTTTCTGGAACAAGGGCGTGGAACCGAGGCTGATACATGACAGAACTATCTAAAATGGCAAGGCCTCTGGGGGTGCGGCAGCAGGCCCTGGCTACGGCCCAAGTCTACGTGCGGCGCTTCTACACAAAGGTGGAGATTCGCAGGACGAACCCAGCGCTCGTGCTGGCGACAGCCCTGTATCTCGCGTGCAAGATGGAGGAGTGCCCACAGCACATCCGCATGGTTTTGGCAGAGGCGCGTCACTGTTGGGGTAGCGTCATCACGAGCCCGTGTCTAACATGTCTAACAAGCCGACAGATACGCCATTCAACGACATATCCAAGATCGGCGAGTGCGAGTTCTCGCTGATATCCGAAATGAACTCGCAGCTGATACTCCACCACCCCTATCGCAGCCTTGCCGAGCTGCAGACGCAGTTCCAGCTTACCCAAGAAGAGAACGCACTGGCATGGTCCATCATCAACGATCACTATCTGACCGATCTCCCGCTTCTCCATGCGCCGCACGTGATTGCCATCACGGCCATGTTCTTAGCAGTCGTCTTGAAACCAATCGGTTCGCAGGTCAATGCCGCTGGCATGAACAACGCCCTGCAAACACTGGGCAATGCTCGCGGCGGGCAAGGGATGCAAGCACGGATCCAAAAGCTGGTTGATTGGCTGGCGGAGAGCAATGTGGATATCGAGGCGGTTGTTGAATGCACCCAGGAGCTCATCTCGCTGTATGAAGTGTGGGAGTCGTATACCGACAAGATGTGCAAGGACCAGATTGCAAAGTTTGTCAAGGCGAGAGGGCTCGACAAGTAGCAGTTTCTGGTTGCGCTCGGCCTCGTCTCAGGGGGTCAATACTTGTAGACTGTCAGGACGCGGGAACGCGCCCACTGCAATCAAAGCTTGGCGTTCCATAGTTGAGAACATGCAAAGCCATCAGTGCCGAGCGCTCGCAAATGCAACATGGATATCTCATCAGCCACGGTTTCCAATGGGTTTGCGCCTAGACAAACGGCGCCAACGGGCGACATGGCCGAAGGACTGCTCAACCAAAGAGCGTGCCCATGCGCGGGAGCGACCACTGTGCTGAGCCACACCCAAGAGCAGGCCCCAAGGCCGTTGGACCTGGGCATGGTGGTCAGCGCTCAAGGTAGTAAGCAAGCCATGCCGCCATACAGGGTGCCCAATGGCCGTCGATGCGGATGCTCCTCCTTGCCCTCCCCCCCTCATACACTGCTTTCCAAACTTTGGCGACGACTGCTTCTTTTCACGTGCGGGGCCCATGGACGCCAGCCGCGTCGAGTTGCACCCATGGCGCAGGGCGGGCAGACGATCAAATGAGCGTGTTTCGAGTTCGAAGAGCAGCATTCATGCGTTGGGTCTTGGCCTGTCACAGGCATGTTTTGCGCGGAGGGGACGACGCCACGGAAGTTTGCGATTCAAGTGGCCGCCGTCATCCACAGGGAGGGGGCAGAGCATGGTAGCGAAGTTGCATGTCGTGAAGATGGGGTGACGGCATGCGCGAACGCCAGTCCTCAGTCGCAGTGGCAGTCGGTCGATCCCTGGGCGCTGGGCAGGCCGTCGAGCGCCCGGGCCGGGCAGCACCAGCAGTGAGCGCTATTTTGGTCTGGCTTGGGTGCGGCGCGTGATTGGCCCGCGCCGGGCGACCCTCGCCATCGGAACGTCACTCGGGACGGGGGTCCGGGCGTGTTCGGAAACATCGACAGAAGAAATTGTCTCGCATCGCAGCGAGCGTCTACCGCGCAGCGACGGGCGGCCTCGACGGCGCGGGCTCGACGTGTGGCGAGGCGAGGCGAGGAGACGAGATGCGACGCGTGAGGGCTGGCGGGCGAGGCGGGAGGGGGCCACGCCGGTCGTTGGGCGTGCTGGAGGGCGGGCATCTGGACACCGGCACCACTCGCACACCACCACACACAGCGCTGGCATTCGAGAACAGACTCAAGAGGGAAATGATGGGCAGTGGGCGGCGACAGGGACTGGATCGTGACCAGCAGATCCCTGGCGCCCCTCAACCACCGTGGGCGCGCTCCTGGGTGGCCGGCGACAGGCACAGCCAGCCACGCACTGCGTTAGCGTTGCAGGCGGGCGCCCTCGACGACTCGAGGCAGAGGGCGGCAGGATGCGCTCTTGGGATGCGGCCGCCCTTGCCGACAGCGCACATCGTCGGGGGGGGGTGGGCTGCTGGCTGGGCTGCTGGCTGGGCACACTGCGAGTGCGAGAGTGCGAGGCATGCATTCCCCTGGACGCGGTACAGGTGCGGAAGAAGAAGCGGTCAGGGCGCTGGCGCTGGTGCATGGTCACTTGCCCGCCAGCTCACAGCCTCGCTGGGCTGGCAAGTGTTAGCGTCGTGTGTCGCATAAGTGTTGTTTGATAATGCGCCGCCTCTGAGCAGCATGACGGGGGGGGCGGAGGGGGGGAGGGGAGGGGGGGTCGCTTTCGCTCTGGCGTGGCCCCGTCTTTTGGTTGTGGTGGTGGTCGTCGTCGAGGAGATGAGCTTGCCGGATGCGGGCGGCTTTTGGCGGCGCTGCCACTGGCGGCGCGGTGCGGTGCAGTGTCGTGTCGGTGTAGACGTAGGCAGAGGTGTAGGCGACGGAGGTCGCGGTCGCGGGCGAGGTCGAGGTGTAGGCACTGCTGCTGTCAATGGGCGCCCACGCGACGAGGCGACTCGCTAACAGACTCGCAGTGCCAGTGCCAGTGCTGTGTGCGCACGGCGGCGCTTCACCCTCGCGGTGCAGAGCGTTCGTACGGCCCCTAGGCCCTCGCGGCCCTTGTCAGGCTAGAACGCTTCCGGCCCAGGGGGCGCGTGGTGGCAATTCGCATGGCCAATGAGCCAGCCCGGGCCCACTGTATGCACGCGCACGGCCCGCCACCCAACTCGTCTGACCCAGCCTGTTCTTCTCCAGCCCTCTCGCCCTCTTTGCTCCTCGCCCTCTCGCACCCAGCGCTTCCCCAACCCATCTTCTCAGCCTCGCATCGCAGTACCCATAGTTAATACTCCTCGCTCTTGCTCCTCGCCCGACACCTCTGCTGCCTCCCGCTCCTCCTCAACCACTCCCACCCGAAGCTACCACACACACCACCCCCCCTTTGACTCACCTTTGTTGTGCTCGAGCTCCCCCCCGGCTTGCAACACAACCCCTCACCACCCAAGCGTCGTCGTCGCCTGCACCCACCCAGCCCGCAGTCATGTCGCAGTTCTTCAACTACGGTGCCCAACAGCACCACGCCCAGCACCTCAACGCCCACTCGCACAACCACCACGGTGGCCGATCGCGGAGGGCGCCCCGGATCTCGGCGCAGCAGCACAACAAGCAGTTCCGCCAAGTCCGCACCCCCAAGGAGTTCAACGTCGAGCCCCCCACGCTCATCGCATACAAGCGCGACTTCGAGGCCGCCCGCTCCTTTGACATTGAAGACGACGAGATGTTCTGCCCCTTCCACCTGCTCACCGAGGATGATGTAAGTCGCTTGGCTCCCGACAGCTGCCACCCATCCCACCATGTCGTCGAATCCGCCCCAACAGGCGCTGACACTCGATGAACAGTTGCAGTCGATCCACTCGTCTGGCTCGGACCGCTCGTCGCTCTCGAGCGGCTCGCCCGAGCAGTCGCCTCTGCAGCACCAGCTGCAGCCGACGCCCTCGTTTGTGCTCTCGTCGGCGCCCAACCCATACACGCCCGTCGGCTTCCAGCAGAACAACTCGCAAACCAAGCTGCACCAGCCGCTAGCCCAGCGCACGCGCAATGCCATTCCCATTGTCGACCCCTCGACGCGCACAGTTGCCAGCCCCCCGCCCAGCGTCTCGCCCAACCGCCAGATGCAGCAACAGTTCATGTCGCGACGCTGGTAAGAGTCTTGGCTGGCACGAGACCATGCGTCTGTTCGGTTGGCACGGTTGCAACGCGTTTTACGGCTGGGCTAGTGGCTGCCTGCATCGACTCCTCTTCTTCTCGATATCCACCGGAGCCTCATCCGTTTACACGACCGACTCTCCCTGTATAAACTACGATATCTTCTTCGACATGTTGGCCTTACCACTGAACCGGCGACGGCGTTGCACTTGTAGCACTCAAAACATGATTTCCGGATAGAGCGCATTGGTCTCTTGCTTTCCAGCGCTAACGCATTCACGGCGGTTGCACTTACTGGTGTTCATTGGGTCTCGCATTTCTTGGTCATTTTTATCCCTTTCAAAGACTTTTAAAAACTTGTGGTTACAGACGTTGGTGTTCTGTAGCGTCGCTCCCATACACTATTGTCGCCCGGCTGCCATTCCCATGGCGCCTTACAACGGGTAGATTTCCTATGTACGGTTGGTCTCTCGGTTTCAAGCGGTCGGTATATACCATTGTTGGCGCGATCTTGCGAAGCGGCGGTGTCAAAGCGTGTTGTGGGTCATCGGTTCTTGGGTGCATTAACATCTGTACGACGCTGGGATGATTCTACGCAGTCATTGGCGCAGGGTCGTTTTCGTTGGTCTTTTCTCTCTCGTCGTTTTTTTCTTGTCGCTTCCTTTCCTTTTCTTTCTTTCTTTCTTTCTTTTTTTTTCCTTTCTTTCCATTGTATGAGGATTTATACGACGCCCTCGAGTGGGCGATTGCCATCTCTTCTTGGATCTTTCCGATCTCACCCTTTCCCTTGGGAGCTCGATTCTCCTCATACATTACACGCCTCGTTTCGAGGGCAGTGAATCCTAGGAAATGGAAACGCAAACTTGTTGAATATGCAATCAAGGCTCAATGTGCATTAGGCTGTGATGATTTGTCCAGGTGACGTGGTGTGCCTTAGTCTGCGTGCGAGGAGCCAGGCTGGGACGAGTAGGATAGGGCCCGGCACCCAGGCGAAGCTATGCGCTCAGCTCAGCCATTCACACAGCCGCCCCCGCCATTCCAAGTGCAGGTCGAAGACTACCCCGTGGAGTTAGACCTTCTGCGCCACGCTGGGTGTGCGGCCAGGCACAGGGGGAAGCTGGGCCGGCCCCCGGCCATAGCTCCTTTTCATCAATCTCGCACACACGTGGGCAGCAGCCAGGTCAGGTGCGTCGACGCCTTTACTTTATTCTTAGGCATCGCCGGCAAAAAAGCACTTGGTCCTCGGCTTGTTTGTGTCATGTCTGGCACAGAAACAAAACACGCATGACTAATCCGCATGCTCTTGTTTGCGGCGGCTGGCACACTTGCACTGGGCCCAGTCGTCGTAATGGTGATTGCCCGCCGGGACAGCTATGACGTTATGACGTCTTCTCGAAGCTAGCTCTCCACTAACCGAGGAACCTGTGTTTTCTCCCAGCAACACATGCCTTCTTTCCGAGTCTATTTACTGCTGTCTCTATCTCCTTTTGAATCGCAGACACCAATTCCATCTTCTTTTTCACAAAAACCCTTCAGCGTGTAAGAAGAGCTACAATCTGAAGCCCCACGACTAGACCATCGGAACCCCACAACCTACAACCACAACACCTCACTCCCTTTACGCCAGCAACAAAACCAGCCATGTCTGCTATCCGTGCCTTTGCGACCCGCCGTGCTCCTGTTGCCTTTGTCCAGCGCGCAGCTTTCTCGCAGTCGATAGCCCGTCCTGCTGGCAAGGAGTCCGCCCTTCGTATGTTCACCCTCTGCTCACTTTTTGATCAACACGACAATGCTCTTTACTATTCAATGACGCGAGTACAATGGATCGAAGCTGACGATGTTGCAACAGACACCGAAAACCGCGCCGAAGAGGTCGAGAAGAAGAAGCAGGAGCAGTTGAGCAAGCAGAAGCAGGGCAAGGCAAGCTGGGAGGAGCAGCTTGCTAGTGACAGCGAGAGTGCCGTACGTGTACCCGATATCCCAAAACATGCTTGGACAAAAGGATGTGCTGTGATGAACATTGGCTAACAAGGCTGCAGGTCAAAGCGGATCGATCCGAGACGGGCAAGGACACTCAACAGCAAATCAAGGAGCTCCAGCAAGAGTCCAAGAAGGTCAACTCTGGTCATTAAATCAAGACGCGGATAGCATTGAGATGTCGAGCATGTATCTATAGAGACCCGAGTGAGAGGCTAAACATGGGCCAGCTGCACAACCCAAAGTGCAAGCTTTCGGGCGTGATGTGGGGGAAAAGCATTTGACGAGCCATCTTGTAATAATTCAATGATACGGTTTTCTCATTTTTTTCGTTCGTGTCAATTACACTTAATCGCTTCCTGGTCACTGATACCTTCTCCCAAGCAAGTCTTCTAGCCAGCCAGCCACGGCGCCGTACCCTCGACGTATCAGATGAGTAAATACGGAAATCAAATCTGAACATTCAATCGTATCCTCCAATTCTCATTAAAGTACCTAGTTCGTCAAAAAGCAAATATCACACGCCTTAATCGACTTGTCTTACAACTTGGCCTGAACACCTTCAATACATACCACCAGACATGAACAAAAAAGGAGCTCCATCCCATATTCCCAGCTACTCAGTATCTCCCCCTCGCCCTCTCCACACGCCTCCTCTCCCTCTCCACATCTTCCATGATGAACTCATACTCGCTACGCACCCACTTATCCCACCCGCCCATTCTCTCCATGCGCTCCGTCACCGTCAGTCCATCATCGCTTGTCTTTGCATTCACATCCGCCCCGTTATCCAGCAGCACCTCGTACGTCTTGACCCAGCACCTATCGACAGCATGATGCAAGGGCGTCCAGCCATTTGGCTCGGCGTGATGCACATCGGCGCCATGCTGCACCAGCGCCATTGCGATGTCCGGATTCGAACACAGCGACAGCGGCGTCCGGCCTTTGTCGTCGACGGAGTTTACAGCGACGTCCGGCTGATCCAGCAGCATCTTTGCGGCGGCCACGTTGTGGAATGCAGCGGCGAGGTGCAGCGGCGTGCGCAGCCGTGTGTCGCGTACCGTGGTATCGGTGTCTGGGGCGCGAAGCAGTGTGAGAGCTGGGTCTTCGTGCTTGGAGTCCCGGCGTGCCATGTGCAAGGGTCGCTTGAGGGCGAGGTGCAAGGGTGCGTTTCCGGTGAGGGGGTTGACCGTGTTGGTGTTTGCGCCGTGGGCGAGCAGTGTGTTGATAATGGTGGGCGACGGCGCGGTACACGCGGCGGCGAGGGGCGTCCAGCCTTCGTTGTCTTGGGCGTTGACGAGGTCGCTTGCCGAGGGCGACGCGAGCACTTTGTCCGCGACCCGCTGCATGCTGCTTGTTGCCGCGTACTGCAGCACTGTGCGGCCTTTGTGCATGCGGTGGCGAGCCGACGCCCCGCGACTGAGCAGGTACAGCGCTGCGTCTTCGTAGTCGGCCGCTATGGCCGTCATCAGCGCGGTATGCCCGTGGTTGTCCGTACTATCAATCTCCAGTGCGTGGGCGCCCGTGAGGTCGAGGAGCACCCGGAGGACGTCGACTTGGCCGTGGGCCGCAGCAAGATGCAGTGCAGAGTAGCCGCCCGCATTCACAGCATGAACATCTGCGCCGCGGGCGATCAGACAGTCGAGCATCTCTGCGTTGCTCCCACAGGCTGTCAGGAAAGGCGTATCGCCCCATTTGTCCTTTGAATTCATATCCGCGCCTTTGTCCCGCAGAGCGTCTATCAGCTTGGTTTTTCCATGCCACACAGCCATGTGCATCAGTGTGGATCCGTCGGCAGAGCAGTCGTCGTTTACATCTGAAACGGAGTCGAGCATGCGCAATGCGAGGGCCTCGGCGGCTCCGTCTTTCCAGCGGCTGATTCGACCAAGTATGTATGCGAATGCGGTGGACTTTGCGTCGTTTCCCACCATGAGTTTGCACTTCCGCGTGGCAAGCAGGATATCGACGATTGACGTATCTTTTCCCGCGTCGTCTTCCAACTGCATCATCGCCTGGTGGAGCGGCGTGATCATGGGCGAATCGGTGCTTGTCGAGACGCGAGCTGCATCGGCGCCCGCGTCGACAAGGACTCGGATGAGGTTTTTGTTGCGGTGGCTCACGGCAGCGTGGAGTGGCGTTTCCCCGTCGAAAATGGTCATGTTGGGGTCGACGCCCAGGCGGAGGAGCTCAGTGACCATGTCTGTTTGTTCCGTCTCGAGTGCAAAATGCATGAGATTGCGCAGTGCGCGTGGTCTGACGAGGTCGCCGCCTTGATCCAGCACCCATTCGATCCAATCCAATTTGCCCACTGGACTGCGAGCAGTGCTGATTTGGGGGTACATGATGGAAATGCAGTTGACCAGCGGCCGGCTGTCAGCTAGACAGCTTGTCAGAGCGATTTGCACGGCCACACTGTCCTTTGGGTAGTCGGGTCCGCCAATCGCCTCGAGCAGTATCTGCGTCGTGTTGAGGCGTCCTCTTTTCATCGCAGCCTCAAGCATGGTGAATTTGTCGTATACGGTAATGGAAAGGTCGGCTCCATGGCGTATCAGTGCCTGGAGCACTTGGCCGTGACCTGAGAGTGCGGCCCACGCCGCCGGACTACACTTGCTTGGTTTCTTGCTGAGCGCGTTGACATTGGCCCCCTTTTCAAGCAGCATTTCGACAATCTCCAGGAAGCCCGCGCGGCTGGCGACTGCAAGGGCAGCTGAGAAGTGTCAGTCACGATATGTAATACTTGAACGAAACTGGTAGACTTACTCATGCCCTCGTCGTCGTAATCCTCAACCCTGGCGCCCTTTTCCAGCAAGAATCTGACGGTGTCTGCATGTCCGCAGCTCGAGGCCCACATCAGTGGAGTGCCGCCGTTTCTGCTGTGCACATGGATATCTGAACCCTTTGCGTGGAGGAGTCTGACCATTTCAGTGTGTCCCTTTTCCGCGGCAAAAAGCAGAGGCGTTTTCCCCGTCATGCATGTCCTGTTGATATCCGCTCCCTTGCTGATGAGGAAGTCGGTGGCATGAAGCGTATTATTGCCTACGGCCCAGTGCAAGACGCTCAAGTGCGTGTCGGATGCAGTGGCTTCAAGGTCGGCACCATGGTCGAGCAGCACCTGGATAAGTTCAGGCGCGTGTTCGGATCTTGTGGCTGCGTGGAATATGGGGGGTGAATCGATGACCGGGCTGTTTACATCTGCGCCCCGTTCCAACAAGAGTTTGACAATGTCGACGTGGTGCTTGTAGATGGCGATGAGTAGTGGAGTGCCGCCGTCGTCTCTTTCGCGTTCTATGTTTGCGCCAGCGTCCAGCATGGCCTTGACCTTGTCGATGTCTCCGCGCGTGATGGCATCGTAGAACTGGCCGTAGTCAAGGAATGGGCGTCGGCCAGATTGCACTTCAACTCTCATGATGATGGCTGTTGAGGCTTTCGTGTGTCGCAAAGCCGTGACGATAACCAGCAAGTCGCAGCCAGCACCATTGTCGCCAGGCAGCAGCCAGCAGCCAGCAGCGTACCCAGCACATTGTGTACAGCAGATTGGTCGCCGGCTTCACAGGCATAAGCGGGATTGTTTCAGCTGAGCGACCCCCCTCGCGCTCGCGATCAGGCCCCCGAATGCATCATGCGAGCGCAGCATGGTGGGGCAAGTGTGGCGCAGGCAACCCAACGTCACATCGGGCAGCAAAGCCTCACGAGATGTGGGGGTTTCAAGGCCAAGAGGACGTCCAATTTTTGCACCCACTGTGAATGCTCGTCTTGGCGCTGTACTTGAAATTTCTTTGGGTGACTGGCTGGTGACGTGTGGCGTCATTCTTGCACCGCCTTCCTTAGCCGTGGACGGTGACAGCTGACGGCGTGGCGCATAAGTCATCAGCCCCGACAAGATTCTTGCTCGACTCTCCTACCAGACTTCACCCTCCTACCTCTTCCTCGATATTCCACCCATGGGTATCTCATCCAAATACGTGCTGCTTGTCGCCCTCGCCATCCTGGTGCTTCTGCCTGCCGGCGCCGACGCCTTTGGCGCGGGCAATATCGCATCCATCTCCAAGATTGAGGGGCAGAACTGGCGCCATGGAGATATCGAAGATATGCTGGCCACGGTAGCCTGCTTGAAGGGACACAAGTGGAAGAGTAACATGATCAAGGTGGGAGAAGGCCGTCGCGTCACCCAGTGCAGCCACTGACATTTGGCACAGCGCGTGTATTTTGGCAACTGGCTCCGCGACTACTCACAAGTAAGCCTGATGGAGCTCGGGATATCTGGAATATGCTGACTTTGCAAGGCTATCGATGTCGGCACGTTGGCCAAGGTCCAGGTATGTCCGACTGGGAGGTGCGCTGCACGTCACACATATTGACCATTGCCAGGGCGAAACCATTCGCGTTCTAGTCTGGGTCCTGTCTTTCATGTCCTTTGGTTATGCAACTGGAGAATTCGAAGTCACGGCCGAACGACTGGGTTGCTACAGGCCTGAAGAGCACATTGGTAAGCCAAGTCTACCAAGCCACGATTATACGCGCTAACAAGGACATAGATAACCCCGTAAGCCTGCACCAGAAGCAACCAATTGCGCGCTAGTTCTAACGTCCTTGCAGAAAGATTATGCAGACAACGAAGATGCTCGCCAATACGACCCGCGTCTCCGTGGTCCGGTATCAGAAGCTGAGCTGGCCGTCGATCCTGAGACGGGCATGAAAAACTACATTGCCAATGAGCGTGGCGATTGGTCTACATCTTCAGGATACGTCAAGTATTCCTTTGCACGTGCCATTCACTTTGGCCGTCTATACACCCACGGTCCCGACGGCCAGCGTGGACGAGACGAGGACCTCTCCGAAGCGCTTCGTTGTCTGGGCCAAGGATTGCACTGTCTTGAAGACTATGGTGCCCATACAAACTACACTGAGCTGGTGTTGAGAGAGCTTGGCTACACCAACGTGTTCCCTCATACGGGCGCAGAAACTGCCATCAATCTTCACGGCAAGCACACTTACCCGCTCGTTACAGGCACATTTGGTGGCGTCGACTTCTTCCACTCGGTCCTGGGAGAGGCCAACGACCACATTACGCAAACCGAGATTGACGAAGTCAACACTGCCCTTGTAGATGCAGTGTCTGGAAATGGGAGCCGGTCAGGGCCAGGAGGAACCGACGCCTGTGGTGGTCTGATAGATGCCCTGAGCAAGGTCCCGGGCACTGGCGACCTCATCAGCCAGGCAAGGAGTCTGCAGGCCTCGTCAGACGCACAAGCTGCAGAGAATGCCCGCTCCGGATTCGGCGACTACAGTTCGTCAAGAGCTGGACCCAACGAGTTCGACGCTCCACCTGGCTCGATGGGCGGTCCACCAGGACCAGACATCCCAGGCACGAACACTGATCCCGCGACTATTATTCCAAAGATCTACCCCATCCTCGTCTTCAGGGACAACGTCGTGCGCAGCATCTCCAATATCATCTCCAAGATCCCCGGACTCGAGAAGCTCATCGAGACCATCACCGAACGCGTGACCATCTTCGTGCTGTCTCTGCTCGCGCCCTTTATACTTCCAATTATCAAGACCGCATCATCCCAGCTGAAGAGCGGTTCGTCGGCCGTCATCGACTCGGCAGCCAAGCACCAGTTTGAAGTCTGGACGGATCCCACCTCGACCAACCCCACGCACAGCATGCTGTCCAAGGACCATTTCTCAAACATTCTGAACGCACCTGCTGGCCAAGTCGCCGTCGCCATCCTGCAATACGTCGCGCCCCGCGTCATCTACGCCTGGGACCACCCCGACGTCCCCGTCGACCAGGTCCTGAACGATGTCGTCCGCGTGTTCCACCACCCAGCCATTCGCGACCCGCACTGCGAGGTCCACAACAATATGTTCGAGGTCGTCAAGAACTGGGCGCACAACTACCACGGCAAAGACCTGAACGACATCCTGTCGTCGGAATCCGTAAAGGCTGGACACAACCACAGCGGTACCCACGACCACTCGTCGGGCCACGGACACGGCGCAGCAAACGTAGCGAGCTTCGGCCACAGCCATGGCAGCGGCCACTCTTCTAAACCATCAGGCGGATCCGGCGGCCTTCTTGGTTCGCTAGGCAGCAAGCTTCCTGGCCCTCTTGGCGGCGTCCTCAGCAGCTTTGGCGGTAACTCGGGTCAGAATCGCGAACTGGGCGACGACCTGCCTACTTCTCCGCACGCAGCGCCGCCATACCGCGCGCCACCCTCGCCTCAGCCGTCTCCGCAGTGGGCAAACTTCCAACCTTACCAGTCGTCGTATGCGGGCGAAGGATACCACCCGCCTGCAGAGTACAGCAATGCCGTCCCCGCCGGAGGCTACGGATGGGCCCACGGCCAGTACTCGGGCGGCCAGGGTGCAGAACCCAGCTATGCAATGCCGACAAACTATCAGCAGGGTTACGAAAACTATGGAACTGCGCCTGGTGCTTATGGTGCGCCCCCGGCTCATCAACCCCAGCCAGGAACTTATGGCGCTTACAACCAGGGCGGTGCATACAATTCGTATGACCAGGGCCATACGGGCGGTACGGGAAGGCAATGGGGTAGTGGACCTAATTCAGCTTGGTAGGCGTTGAGTGGATTGAGGACTGTAGTGTGTCGAGGGCCTTTGGCATGAATTCCATCACCTAGATTTATGAGTAATGCCAGAATGAAACTCTGCACTTTGCACATGTTTGATGTGACCAAGCTCAGCAACCACATATATGAAGGGCATTAGAGCAGAGATTCTTATTTCATTTCGTGGTCGTTTCGTTTCTCCATTGACATTCCTTTCCACCAAGTCAACCGTCTCTTGTAAATACATGCATAGAAGAATCGCTTTCCAAACAACAAAATTTTTGCCCAAGCCAAAAAAGTATAGGTATGCCGACGAACGCCCCGGCGGGTATGCTAGCGCATCGCGTGAAATTTTTGGTATGTAGGTATGGATTCAAAACGGAAAGCGTCAGAGGTATTGGTCGTGGGTACTGATACAAGATGTAGATGCAATCTACTCGATTTTCGCCTTTACTCGTTGATCTTGGCAAGCAGCCTATTGAAATCGCCAGTTAGCTACTTTCTTCGCAAGGCGCAAAAAAAAGACTTACTCAGCGTCCCTGAACAGGCTCAACTCCTCGTCGCCGACCTTGATTGGGCTGCCGCCGAATTGAGGAATCAGGACCTTGTCGCCGGGCTGGACGCTGGGCGCAATGCGCTTTCCGTCCTTGTCAATGGCGCCGGGGCCGACGGCAATCACCTTGGCCTCGTTGAGGTCCTTGACGGCTGTCTCGGGGAGGAAGATGCCAGTGGCGGTCTTGGCTTCGGGCTTGATGCGCTGCACGAGAATGCGGTCGAGGAGGGGTGCAATGCTGCGGATCGACTTGATGGTGGACTAGGTGGGGATTGTTAGCATACGTACGAGGCTGTGGGCAGGTCATGTCAAGGCGAAGCGCTTACCATTTTGGCGGATTAGAAGGGGAGGAGACGGAAACTGGGGTATCACAAGGAGCTATGAGTGGGCGGTACGGAGAGAGAGAGAGAGAGAGAGGAATTGGGTCGTTGGCAGAACGTCGATGTTGTAGTAGAGAAAGATGTTGTTGCTTTGCCATTCCAGAAAATTCCATGTCCGTGCACCGTACCTCGGACTCAGCTGCGGAACACATCCATCTCACGCATTACCGGAACCAGTAATATTTTTCTTTTCCCTTCGTCTTTTTTTTTACTCGTTGCTGTGCTTGTTTGGCGGCGGTTGGGACAGACGTGGGGTACTGGGTGCCTATATGTGGAGAAGCAATGTCCTCGGATGGAGGAATTGTTCCTCTGTTGCAAGACTCTACCATGGAGTGAAAACGCTGCGAGGGTATAGCTCTATGACGAGCTTACCGGTTACGAGTGATGAGTTTAAGCAGGCTCTAGCGGGCGGCTTGTTGCATGAAGCTTCAGGCCATTTTGCTGGCAAACAAGTCTTGGGTGCGTGTTGTACGAACGGCTCCAAGCATAATGGCTGACTGCTTGCATAGGCATTGCAATCAGCGGCGGCGTAGATTCCATGGCGCTAGCTGCGCTCTACAGAGAGTATCAGGAAGAAAATGAATCGCACCCCAAGGCCCATGGCTTCATCATAGACCATGGAGTGCGTCCAGAGAGTACAGAAGAAGCTAGTTGGGTGGCAGAGCAATTGCGCTCCAAGCGTGAGGCATACAGACCCTCTGCCCTGCAAGAGCTGACTTGATCAAGTTGGTATTGATTCGACTGTAATCCCGCTCGCATGGCCCAAGGACTTTGACTCCCGCGACGCCAGGCGATTCGAGACCGACGCACGCATGCTGCGTTACCAGGCGTTGGGTCGAGCATGTAGAGATATGCGCATCAACCAATTGATGGTGGCGCATCATGCCGACGACCAAGCCGAGACTGTCATGATGAGGATGGCAAACAGCCGGCTGCGGTCGGGACTGCAAGCAATGCAGCGCAAAGAGTGGATACCAGAATGCGAGGGCATATACGGCGTGTACCATAGCGGCAGTCTGCAGGAGCCCAATGCCAACTTGAAAATTCCATTTCCGGTCGAACAGGGCGGCATACAGATTCTCCGCCCACTACTGGGGTATGAAAAGGCACGGCTCATTGCGACGTGTGAAAACAAGGGCATTGCTTGGGCAGAAGACAAGACGAACCAGATACAGACGCTCACGTCCCGCAACGCTATTCGGCACATCTACAAGAACCACCGGCTTCCAGAGGCACTTGGGGTCAGATCGCTAGTTGCAGTTTCGTTGCACATGCAAGAGCGCATCAAGAGACACAAAGAGCATGCAAGGGAGCTCTTCGACAAGTGCTTGATCAAGCTCGATATCCAAACCGGCAGTCTCATGATTCGATTCCCGCCTTTTTCTGACCTTGTTCGGCGCCCAATCGAGACTACCTCCGACAAGATCGAGGCAAAGAACACTGCGTACTGCCTCTTGGAACGGGTAGCTGAACTCGTCACGCCGCGAGCGAAAGCGCCTCTTGGCCAGCTCGCCGCAACCACGCACCGCATCTATCCAGAGCTCGCTGGTTTGGAGGACAGCGAGGCGGGTGATTGGGATGGAATCCGCAAGAAAAACTACAGCGTGTTTAGTGTATGGTGGCGCTTCTGGGACCAGCCGAGTCCCTTTTCTGAGCACAAGGAAGAGGGTATCAATCCAGGCCTGGCACACCCGCGAGAATGGCTTCTCACGCGCCAGCCGCTTGAAGTGAGCGAGAGGAGAGACGCTGCAAACTACATCGTGTACCCCCCGTCTCCGGACTCTAGTGCCCCGCAAAACGAGACGTATCGCCTCTTTGACGGGCGCCACTGGATCCTTATCCGCAACCTCCTGGCCAAGGATAATCTCATCCTCCGCATCTTCCATAAAGAGGATTCCCGACTCTTGCCAACGTACCAGCAGAACAAAGCCGACATGTATCATGCCGATGCAGAGCGGCCGTACCGCTACATTTCGGCAGCGTTTGACCTCCTCAAGCCGGCAGACGTGCGCTACACCCTGCCTGCAGTGTTCCGGCAAGACCGCGAGACTGGCGAGGAGACGCTGATCGGGTTCCCAACGTTAGACGTGCGTATTGATGGATTCGGGGCGCCGCCCGGCGTGTGTGAATGGAGTGTGCGGTACAAGAAGATTGACTTTGGGTCGCGGACAGCAGAGCATGTCATCGTGGCTGGCATCTCAAGGAAAGACATGATTACCGAGGAGAAGAAGCAGCGCAAGATCCAGCAGGGGTTGCACAAGGCACGCTTGGCAAGGCACAAGCGGCGCCAACACGAGGGCACGCAGCACCAGGTTCCCCGTAGCCATTGAGGCTTTTACCACCGGGGCTAAGCTGGTGGGGCGTGTCGATGGGAGGAGCCGTCCAAAGCAAAGTATGCAGTAATAGGGTTACAGGGGGGGGCGGGGAGATGAGGCGATTGGCGTGTGTGGTTGCTCGATGCGGAAAGTCGGAAGCTGAGCTGCGTTGGATGAGGTAAGACGGGGCGTGGTTGATTGATACTGCATTTGTGTTCATGGTTGACATGGGAGAAACATCTTGTTCGTTTTGAGCTGTCCATGTTGGTGGCATAAGTGTATTAGTGAAGGGAGAGTGCAGCATACACATGTATATATATATGCATTTGGCGCGTGAGCAATCAAACGTTACATTGCAACCCAACGAGGACAATCCCAATCTCCCGCACCATATCTGTATATCGAAGTGCCGTCCTGCAAATTCTAGGCATACATTCGCATATATGTCTGTATTTCTCATATACATCCGCACACACGCAAACACAGATACTTGGATATATATATATATATATATATCCCACTACCCAAAACCCCGTATATATATATATATATATATACCTCTCCCATGTTTCGACGCGTCAACGAATAAGTGTTGTTAGCGTGCATGTGGAATGCATGTTGGAATATCGAGCACTTTGTTATATAGACTATGTATATATATTCCGTATCCATATGTTTGTAGGCGTGCGTGCGTGAATACATATATACATACATACATACATATATATATACATACATATATACATATATACATACATACATACATACATACATACATACATACATACATACATACATACATACATACATACATACATACATATATACATATATACATACATACATACATACATACATACATACATACATACATACATACATATATACATATATACATACATACATACATACATACATACATACATACATATATTACATAGTACCCAGTCCCAATTCCTCCTCGACTAATGACCCTCGATGCAATATTTCAGCACACGACATGACACGACACGACACAACACAACACGATGTAGCACAGCATGTCGACTTCACATTCACATTCACATTTACATTTACATTCACACTTGCACTGCTATAACATCCCATCATTATCGCTAACGCTAACCATACACCTACGTACAGTAAGAGATGGAGACAGCAAACGGGTAGACTAGGCAGGATAAAATTAATTTTTTTTTTCGTTGAGAAAAAAGGGCGGCATGTACATGCATGGGTCTTGTATTTCCCGATGGGCGGAGAGCGGGTGTGGCTAGCGGGGGGGGGGAGCCAAGGCGGTAGTGGTGGTACTGTAGTGGTAAGTAAGTGTTTGGCGCGAGGGGGAGCGAAGGGAACCAAGGGGGTAAAGTAAAGTACGTAAGTAGGTCGGTAATGGGTAGCGGGAAACACGAGGGCTGGGGCGAAGGGAAAGAATTGGGGATTTTCTCATACATGTGTGTATTACTGTGTATGTATCCGAGTATGTCTATGTGTATGTCAGTGTCAGTGTCTGTGTCTGTGGATACGGGTATGCAAAGCACAGCAACTGAGATTGAATTGAGATTTGAGATTTGGGCACACGGGCCAGGCGACCAGCCAGCCAGCCAGCCAGCCAGCCATGCCATCCAACCCATGCAGGGACACACGATTTATCGTGTGCATGGGACGGGGCGGCATGTCATGACGGCGAATAAAAACATGTGGCTTGTACAGTTAATCAGTTTATATGGGGGGTTGCGCTATTGGGATGGGCTATGTAGGGTAATGTCATGTACGGCAGAACGGGTGGCGCTTTTTTTTTATGTGCCTCCTTGCCGGGACGGCATATGTCAGTCATGACATGACGCGATGCAAAGCGATGCAAAGCGATGAACAGCGTCGAGTCGCAGGTATATTACCGCGTATGTGCAAATTGATTGTACAGAAAGCTTGTTTCGAGGCGTGTCGATATTGGAAAGACGAGGTGGATGGAGGTGTAAAAATAAAAAAAAGGGCGTTTCTACTACACCTATTTCTTGTTGCCCGTGGGGTCATGCAGGTTTCATGGCCATGGATGAAACGGCATGTGGGGAACGAAGAGGGGAAAATGGCAAAAGAAAAGGGTGGAAAAAAAGAAAAAGACGGTCATGACTGGCTTTGGCTTGGCGGAGAGGGGGGGCGCTTCATACAATGGCTGACCGACGGCGAATATGAACGACGCGTCGCAGTTGCGGCCAAGTCTATTCGCCAACAGTGCATTTGTGGGCGTGCAGAAAAGTCGACCCGCGTGCCCGCCCGCCCGCGGTGCTGGCTCGCTCACTGTGGCGGTGTGTGTGTGTGTGTGTGTGTGTGTGTGTGAGTGAGTGAGTGAGGGTGTGTGTGTGTGGTACATATCCAGTAACATGAGCGGGTAATTTCCAATTCCAACATGAGCCAGGGCAGAGAGCCACGGCGCGGCCTGAAGAGATTTATTGGCTTCTGGAAGATCTGCCATTGCGGAGTGTATCGAGTGCTCTGTGCGTGCCGCGCGACTTGGGCGTGGAAGAGGACAGAGTGAGCCAGAAAGAGAGGTCGACGAGGGGAGATGAAAGGGAGGACATGCAGATCAGTCTAAAATGGCTGCTGATGCATGCAAGGTACACCTTACCTGTACGGTAATTTTGCGTAGTGTCTCATGTATGGTGGTTGGTGACTGGGCAGCGTGGCGCTGATACGGTGCGACGATGCTACACCTAGCAGAGCGGCCATCAAGACCATTGTCGAGTGTTTTGGGCGGCATGTGAAAGCCGGTGGATTTGCTTTTTCTTTGTTAGACGAGCTGGCTTGATGCGTAGTGCGGCGTCGATGGGTTTGAGGCCGCCCTCTGTTGCCCCTCACCCCTTTCACGTGAGCACAGGGATCAAATAAGCCGGCCGTGGCCCATGGCCCTAGTCACATTGGCCAGGTGTTTTCGGCTGATCAGAAGGGTGGAGAGTGGTCTTTTGGGAGAAGGCCAGGCTGTTTTTTTTTTCGCAGGTTATTGTGGCAGCGATTTTGCCTCGACCCGCGCGAGGTGTGCGGGGGCCTGAATCAGGCAGTGTCAATTACGATGGGGAAATGATTAGCTTTGGGGCTAGGAGGCGGGCGTAGGTGTAGTGGCAGGTGGTTGAGCCATGGGCGGCATGGGCCGAGAAAGAGGCGAGGGCAGCTTTGGAGGGGTGACGACACAGTGCATGGTGAGCATGTGACACTGGGGCGTATATGTATGTGGATGGAGGTATGTGGGTGACAGGTCTTGCCTTGGGCTGCATCGAGGGGGATGGCGGTTTGGGTGGCCAGGGTCGTGGTCGCGACGTCTTTTTGTACAAGTAAACGGGCAGCGAGCGCTTGGACCGCGGCCGCGCGCGATTCGTTGCGGTGCATGCCGCTAGGCTGTGCTAGCCGCATTGGGCTAGCCGTCTCTTGGCGAGGGCGCGTCAAGGTTTCCCTCTGGACGTGAGTGGACTTGTGCATGCCACGCCCTTGCACGTGGCTGGTGGCGGGCTTGACGTTGGCACGCGGCGAGACGAGATGCGATGCGAGAGCAGCGGCGACGAGACGAGAGAGAGAGAGTGCAAACACGGGGTGAATGAGACGGACAGGCCGAGAGAGCGAGAGAGAGAGCGAGAGCGAGAGAGAGAGAGAGAGAGAGAGAGAGAGACTTGCACACAGCGGGCACAAGCAGAGCCCAATGCAACGTCGCAAGCGCCCAGGTCCTGCGCCATAGTAGACACTTACTTGGAGCATCCACAATGCATGTGCCTGCTGATGCCCATCGCGCCATGGTCATGGGCAAAGACGACACCATTGGCAACGCCGTGAGGATGCTCGCAAGCCCGCCTGCGACTGCGGTGCGGTATGCCAGGCCAGCGGGATACGAGAGGCCCGTATCTCTCCGCCGCCGGCCAAGCTGCTGTATCTGCCCTGCCCGCCTGCACGCCTGCTGCACCACTCAGACGGCGTCTCGTGAGCCGGGTGAGCAGCAGAAAAAAAAGGGACCTTGACCTGTCGACGGAGCTTGGCCCATTCTGCTTCCACCAAAAGCTGCCTGCGCAAGAGGGGCAGCGCGATCATGCGACCTGGGCTCGACCTTGTTGTTTGGCCACTTCTGCTTATCCGACGCGTGATCCATTCTCCCCCCCCCTCTCTCCCATCCCATCCCCTCCCCTCCAAACTGGTGCTGGCCTAATCCACACCCCCCCCCTCCACCCCCCTTCTACGTACGTACTATTACTATACAGTACGTACACCTACACACTGGTGCTGCGGGTGCTGCTCATCATCATCACCACCACCACCACCACCATCACGGTGCAATGCCGCATCTTGCCCGTCTCGTGCAGGCCCCTCGGGTGCACACAGCGGCTGCCCCGTCCCCGCCCTCATATCAGCAGCAGCGAGAGCCCACAGCCATGCCGCCGTGTGCACAGCTGCTGTGTTTCAGGGCGTGAGCATTGCATAACGCTGGTGAAGGCTGCTATTCGGGCGGGCTAGTTGCAGGCGGGTCCATGTTAGTGGACGTGCTGCCGCGAGACCAATTTCGCTGCTCCCCACCCCTGCTGCCACACCCCTACCTAGCAACACCGCCCTCACCTTAAAGTTCTCCCACCCCATGGCCGCTCGACGTTTTCCCTATCCTTCTTTCCTCCCTACACTGCCGTTCGCATCCTTATAACAAGGTCCGAGCCTGCACGACTGCCGCTGCACATTGCGAGCAGGAACTTCTTTCCCTTTTTGTACTCTTTTGTAATACACGCAACCCCCCCTCCCTCCCCTTCGCCCGCTCCCCCCTTCTCCGCCACACCCACTTCACCACCCACCACCACCCACCTTTTTTTCTCACCACCGCCACCCACCGCCCATCGCCATGTCTGCCGCCGTCGACACCCCCAAGCCCGCCGACCAGCCAGAGCTGGCCGGCACCACGGAGCCTGCCCCCGCCCCGGTCCTGGCTGCCGACAACGCTGCTGCCCCCGTAGAGGAGCCCAAGCAAGACGACGCTCCCAAGGCCGAGGCCGAGGCTGCTGCTGAGGAGGCCAAGGAGGAGGCCAAGGCTGAAGAAGCCAAGGACGAGCCCAAGGAGGACAAGGTCGTCGAGCCCATCTACAGCGGCGCGCTCGGCTACAAGGCGCCTGGTCTGAAGAAGTGAGTGTGCTGTGATTTGTGCCTGCATCAAATCATGCTGACCGCCACTGCAGCGCCTTCCGCTTTGCCAAGAAGTACTTCTGGTTTGGCGAGGAGCCCGTTCCTGCTGAGAACCTGGGCGAGTACCTCCGCGGCGAGAAGCCCGAGGTTGCTCACCCCACCGTCGCCTGGTCCAGCCAGACTGGAAAGGGGCTGCTTTTCTTCGTCAAGCACGCCGACAAGAAGGACCACCCCGCCGGCGTCCTCAACCTGGTAAGCTGCAGTCGCCACGAAAAAAAAACACGCGCCATCAAGACGTTGACTGACACTGCAAAAAAGGCCTACGCGACCGACCTCGCCAAGGACGGTGCTGTTGCTTTTGCTTTCAAGCTCTCGGGCCACAAGCACACGTTCGAGGCCTCGACTGCTGCTGAGCGCGACGGATGGTTCGTCGCCGTCGAGAAGGCCATCACCGAGGCCAAGGCATCCAAGGACGGAGTCGAGTCGAGCGAGGGTTACAAGGAGGCCAAGGAGAAGATTGGTAAGTCCCAATGTGGTTTGCATCGCATCCTTCGCGACGCGACAGGACTAGCGGGCGATCAAGCCGTTCCACCTGCATGACACTGACATGGCGCAGGCAAGCCCACCACGCTAGCGGGCGCTACCGCCCCCAAGCTCGCCGAGGGAGAGACTGCCGGCGAGTCTTCGACCGCCCCAGTCCGCACTGGATCTTCGTCCAGCTCGTCTTCGGATGAGGCCAAGGCAAAGAAGGCCAGCAAGAGCAAGTCGCGCTCCGTGTCGCGCGGCAAGCGCACGAGCCTGCTCGGAGGATTACTCGGCAAGAAGGACAAGGAGCACAAGGGCGAGAGCGAGGCCGTCAAGGAGGAGCCTGAGCACAAGACCGAGGAGCCCGCTGCCACTGCTCCCCACCTCGACGAGAGTAGGTCGACTCGAAAAGTACGTGATTTGACTACAACTAACAAAGCGCCAGTCCCCACGACTGCTCCCGTTGATGCCAACGACGTTGTGAAGCCGGCTGAGGAGTCGACCGCCGAGCCTGCTGCCGCTGCCGCCGCTCCCGTCGAGGAGGCTCCCAAGGCCGAGGAGACTGCCGTCCCTGCTGTCGCTGCCGAGAAGCCCAAGCCCACTAAGCGTGCCTCCATCTTCGGCACCTTTGTTGAGAAGCTCAAGTCGCCCACGACGGAGAAGAAGGAGGCTGATGCTGGCCTCGCCGCCACTCCTGTCAAAGAGACTGAGACGGCTGCTGAGCCGACCGAGGAGGCGGCTGCGGCTCCCTCTGCCAACGAGGCTGCGGCTGCTGAGCTGAACAAGGACGAGACCAAGCCCGCCGTTGCCACCAGCACTCCCTCCAAGGAGAAGGAGCACTTTAGCTTCGGCAAGCTTTTCGGTTCCAAGGACCGCGCCAAGTCGCCCGCTGCTCAGGACAAGGTCCCTGAGGCCAAGACGGATGCTGCTCCTCAGATTGAGGACAAGGCCGCCGAGGCTCCTGCTGCTGCTGCTGCTGCTGCCGCCGCCGACGTGCCTGAGGCGACTCCGGCCGTCGAGGCCAAGGCCGAGACTGAGGAGCCCAAGCAGGACAAGCGAAAGTCCTTCTTTGGCAACCTCGGCCGCTCTCTCAGCAAGGCGGCTGGCAACAAGAACCAGGGCAACAAGGAGAAGAAGGAGGCTGCCGCTGCCCCCGCGCCCGCTCCGGTTGTTGAGGAGGAGGCTGCTCCGGCGGCCGCGCCCGTTGCCGAGGAGGCCAAGGAAGAGATGCCCGTGCCCGCTGCTGCCGTTGCAGATGTCCCCGCTGAGAACAGTGTGGGCGATGCTTCGAAAAGCGCCAACCCGACTGTCGCTACAACTGCGTGAAGTGTGGTGGGAGGATGTCAGCCTCTGCAACGACAGCCATGACGGAATGACGGAAAAGCAAAGACACCGTACATCCCTTGTTTGACCGTACGGCCAACACCGATACCCCCCGGGTGCACGTCTGCTCTTGACGAGATTGCAGAGGTGCACTTGGACTCTTTATTTTCTTTGTTCTAGTCGCCTGCCTGCGTTTTCATTGCATTTGGACCAACTCCTCGTCGCTCTCTACCCCGTGGATCACCATGTGTGTGGCATTGACATGTAGGAGGCGTCCATTTCTTGGCTGTTCTGTGCTTCATGCCCACTGCTTGTTTAGACTGATACCACTGTACCTGTTTCTCTCCTTTTTCTCTTTTGATACCATTTGCTGATTTTATCGCGCAATACCCCGGATACCCTCTGCGTACAGCCTTGTCGGGCGTACACAAGCGGCCACTAGGGCACACATCGACGTACTAATACCTAATACACTGTCGTTTGCTCTACATGGTGCTGGTGAGATGGTGGCTGTGACTGTGCACGTGAAGCCGAGGGCATGGATGGAGGGTGCGGCGGCAGAGACGGTGTGCGTGTGCGTGTGCGGAGAAGGCCGCCATGGCCATGGCAATGCCAGGGCGTCGATGGCGTCGATGGGCGTAGATAGGCGTAGGTGTGCATGACGCCGTCTCGCAGGCATTGCCTGCCATGGCCATGAAGGTGGCAGACGTGGACGCAGCACGCACAAGCATACGCCTGAGCATGCGTCTGAGTGTAGTACCGTGACTCGGCTACCAAGACACGCCTCTTCGCCATGCGCCCGTATGGTCATAGCCTCGCCGCAGTCTCGGCCGCTTCCAGCCTCTGCCCTCCCGCTGGCGAGCCAATATGCTCATGCCATCGCCGCCTACTCACTGCAATACACCCGTCTCTGTGCTGCCGCCCGGCCACGCTCCCTCTGCCCATTGCTACATCCCACGAATGTGCGCTCAGCCATCCGGTTGAGGGGTAGCAGGCGTCCACCATGGTATGAAGACATTCCAGGACCACCACCATGTGCTGAGATGCAAGTCTAGGGTTGTTGCGCCTCTCGCCCGACCGACGACGGCACGCCAGCTGTGCGCGCGCATTCGTCGTCGTCGCGCAACATTACAGCGCCGTCGACGCGACGAGCCCCTACCACGTCGCCGCGCGCATCGCACGTCTCGCAGCCAAATGCCCCGCCGTCGCGAAGCCGCTCCGAAGTCATAGAGCGCCCAAACACAGCGCTCAAGCCCATTCCGCCAGCCCAGCGCTCACGGCTGCCCACCACGCTCGCCTCGTCAGCCAGCAAGACCAGCAGCCGCATCAAGCCTCTGACCGACCCCACCAGCCTGACATGGACCCGCGCACGCCTGCAAAAGGAGCGCGACGACTGGTGGGACACGCAGGTCACGGGCTCGGAAGAGATCTGGGGAGCCATTCGCCTGGCCGCACAGCATTTGCAGGCCGGCCAGCTCCAGGAGGCTCAGACGATGCTTGACGTCACCGGGTGCACATGCCCGACAGGCCTCTTCTGGCGCGGCGTCTACGACCCCACGGGCGTGCAGTACAAAGTCCCCGAATGGGTTGTCGTCGAGCCCGACGGCCTAGTCGAAGACCATGTCGATGACAAGATGCTGGCTGGGCCTGTAGCCGCCAGCCCGGATGCCCAAGACGACGACGACGACGGCCCGGACGAGCTGGCGAGCGTGCGTGTGAGGACGAGTCATGATTCAAAGGACGTTATACTCGACATCCACAAGAAGGACTCGGTTGCTGTGATTATCGGTAAACTCAAGGAAGCCGCACAGGTATGTTTATTTATTTATTTGTTTTATACCCTTGACTGCGTGTGTGTGTGTATATATGTATTCATGAGGTGACACGCTGCTAATATCCACATGCAAAAAAAAAAGATCAATGCCTCCGCCAGAGTCCGCCTAGCCTACGGCGGCCGCGTATACCACGACTACGAAGTCCTTGAAGCGCAACCACATTGGAACTTTGCCAATGGCTTTGTGCTGAATGCTCTTGTTTTTCAATAATCATCTTTTTTCTTTTTGGGGGGGGGGAGTTCTAGTTTTCTGTCTACTAATGAATAGCATAATCATCACCACTCTCCAACACTACTACTACTACTACTACTACTACTACTACTACTACTACTACTACTACTACTACTACTACTACTACTACTACTACTACTACTACTA